TACTTTTATATTCGTACGAACTCGTTTAATAAGTTATTTATTTATTATTTTTTATTATATATCGTTAATATTAATACACTACGTATAAATTTATATTTTATTATTATTAAATTTTAATATTAAATTTTCTTTTATAATTATATACTATTTTTATAAACTTTAAATATCTTTTTCGTTTTAATATCGAAAATATTTTTATTAACGAAAAGCCTTATTAATGTTATTTATATTTAAAATAAGTTTTACCGGGTTACTTAAATATATTATTATAACGAGTATACTTATATTATTTTTAAGGCCGAATCGAATTAGTTTATTAATAATTAAATAAACTAATATTCGTTGAATTTAAGGAATTTTCTTAAAATAAATAACATTAATAATACGTTATTTTTTCGTTTTAATATTTATAAAATATTTAATTTAAAAAAACTTATTATTATTTTTAAAAAGTAAAAAAATAATTATAAATTATCGTTACACGTATTTCATTCGTAACTTTAATATTTTTTTAAATAAAATAACTTATATTATAATTAATTATTATAATTAATTATTAATATTAAGCCCGAGTTTTTTTTCGCTTAATTTATATAATTATTATTTAGTAATATAATATTAAGGATTTTTAAATTTAACCGTTTATATATTAAAATCTTTATTTATTAATTAAGGACTTTTAATTAACTAAATTTAATTATTTAAAATAACGGGACTTTAGCTTAATTTTATACCTTTTAAAATAACGTTTAAAAGCCCGCTAAAAATAACGAAACGGCTAATTCTTTAAGTAAAAAACGTTCGAAATTTACCCGTAATAAAAATACCTATTAATTTTATTTTATTTTTAAAAAATGCATGATAAATTTTCCCGACAATGAAAAATATAATTTACGTACTTTAAAAGTTAAGAACGATTTATATAACGAAAATAGTAATAATAATAATAAAAAACTTTATAAAAAACGTAAATTAAAACGTATTATCGATTTACCGTATTAAAACTTTATTTTTAATTTATCGCTATTAATTATTAATATTATTAATAATGACCGTTTTAATAAGTTAAAAAACATTAAAACGAAAATTAAATTAAATTTTAATAATAAAAATATTAAACTAATAATTTTTTTTAAATACGAAAAGTGATATTATATAAATAATAACACTTAAACTTTCGCATACGTTATTATGTATAAATTAATTTTATACTTAATAAATCACTTTTTTTCTTTAATTAATAACTTTACCTCGTATAATTAAACATTATTAAGCTAAAAATAATTTATTAGTTATTTTTTTCCAAGCTTTTTTATTAACATTTTTAAATCCAAATACGCGAAACCTTTTACCTTTATTAATTTCATTTACCCCACTTTTAGTTATTTAATTTTAAATATTTCCAACGTATAATAAATTATTTATCTAATTTAAACTATTAATTATATTTAACTTGTTATTTATAATTAACTTTTTATTTATACTTTCCGATTTTTTACTTTTAACACTTATTTTTAACAAAAAGCGTGGACGTTTATACGATTAAGTCGAAATATTTTCGTAATTATTAATATTATTACTAAAATCGTTTTAATTATATATATTATTAAAATAATTATTATAATAAATAAAGTTAAATATATTTTAAAAAGTATTAATATTATATTTATTTTTATTATCGTTTTATTCGTTCGAATAAAGACGTTTTATTTTAATTAATTTATTAATATGGTTTTCACTTTGTAATTAAAAATAATTACCTATAAAATTTTTTTAAACTTTTTTAATTTTGCTATTTTTTTAAATTTTAAACATATTAAAATATATTATTTTATTTACGTTCGGTTTTTTAAAAATTAATATAACTTATTTAATAAAAATTAATTACGTAAATCGAGCGAAAAAATATTCCCGAAATAATTTTTTAAGTAAAAAAAGCGGCTTATTATAATAATATGTAATTAATTTTAAGTTATTATTAATTAATTTACCCGGAACTATAAATATATGAAAATATAAATAAAATTAACGGTTACCTTAAACATTTAATTTAAAGAAGAAAATAAAATTATTATAATTAAAAAATTAATAAATATTTTTACGAAAAAGTAAAAAATTAAAATAACTATTAAATAAATCGTTCCGTAAAAACCTTTCGATTATAACGTAATCGCGTATATAATTTCTTTTAAACCATGCCTTATTTAAAATTAATTTTAAAATAATATAATAAAATTCTAACCTATAAACTATCCCGTTAAAACGATAATACTTATTATATAATATTACGGTAAGGAAAGACGTATATAATTCGAATTATTCTACTTTTATTTTATTTAATTCGTTAATATTAAAAAAAAAAATTTCGGCGAATATTTTAAATATTTTTTTAAGAAATAATTAACTCGCAAAATCTAAATAAAAAGGATATTATTTTATAATAAAGTATTAATACGAAAAACGATAAAAATATTAATATATTATTAAATATAATATACTTTTAATTTAATTTAAAATATAAAAATAATATTTATTACTTCGTAATATATTATTATTAAATATTTTCACGGTAAGTTTACTTACGTTTATAAATTTCGATATAAATAATTTATTTTTTCGATTTCGTTCCTCGTTTTCGGTCCATACGTTATAAATTATAATATAATAAATATAATATAAAAAAAAATAATAAAGTTTTTTATTAATAACTTATAAACTTATTAATGAATTTAAATATAAATAACTTAAATAATAAACGTTAATACGCCGAAATAAACTTTTAATTTTACTACTTTATAAAAATAATTAAAGTATAAAAAAATCGTAAGCGTTTATTTTTTTTAATTTAATAACGATATTTTCTTAATAATTTAATAATAGTATTTTATAATAATATTATTATAAAATTTAAAATTAAAGGTGGTTAAAATTACTTAAGTACTTAAATAAATAAGTAAGTAACGAAAAATAAAAAATAATATTAAACCGGACCTAACAATTAATATTTATTAAATAAAATTTACGCTTTTACCGATAAATTATTATAAATAATATTATTTATAACACGAATTATATTTCTTTTTTATATATTTATATTATAAAGCTTATTACATGCATAAGTTAAAATAATTTAGCGGGATAGCGGATTTTCGAACTATCGACTTCCGTCGATAAGTTAACCTCTATGCCACCACCTGTCAAAGAATGGCTGGCGCGAAGCTATTCGTTGAACAATCATGCAGGGGGAGGATAGAACTAACGGCAAACCCGCCGCAAAACGTCCGAAAAAAGACATAATACCTAAGTGCTATACTGGATGAAATTTTCAGAAATAGAAAAGGCACGAAAAAAAAAAGAAAAAAAGAAAAAAAAAGTAAACGTCTCGTCATAATCTGAGTCAGATTTGTTCCTACTTATAAGAAATGGTTAACATACAAACATGAACATGAACATGAACATGAACATGAACATGAACATGAACAACATATAATGTAAGATTAGGTATATTATAGCAAAAAAGAACTGACAAATATCCATGAATGTTTATGTATATCCCACCGCATCGTATCATGGTTAGGTAATTATTCATCGCATGAACTTGGAAGTTGGTGCCACCTCGTATACCTCTCTCTCTCTCTCGTTCAGCTGTCTACTTGTGGACTCACTAATCCAGCTGGATCGATAAGGCGAGTGATGGATCGACTAGTACATAGTAAATATGTAGCCAGGATCACGTTTTGTTTTGTTTCGTTTCCATTGATCGATTTTACCATGTCTATGATCATTCTAGACCATAACCGCAGGGCTGTTTTGGTAAGGATTTTGGAAGTTGAAGCTGATCTTTTACCCCTTTAATAATTAAAAATAAGATAAAAAGGTAAGAAGCGAGGTACAGGTAAATCGGTACCTGCCTAAAGATCCATGGTTCGTTCCCATCAAGCTCGGGTAGATCTGAAACCACGCTAATGTGGGCCATGGATATGGAGTTTAAATCTTAGCGTTTAATTGGATAAGATTTCGGGTCGCTACCGTCTTTAGGCAACTCTGGCAACTTTGGCAACTCACATTCCTGTTTCTCGAATTCCTTTTTTTTTTCTTTCCCTGCTTGACACTAAAATCAACATTTATCTTGATGACTTAGTATGTAACGGCAATTGCCTACTTCGGCTACTTTGTTATGAAGTATAAGAAGATGAATTATCTTTCGTCGGTCCCGAGTCGGAGCCTCATTAATAGAACTACCCACCTATGCACTTAACAAGAAGACAATGGGAAAAATAGGGGAAGAGGAGAGAAAAGGGGCTACCCCTCTCGCTACTGCAAGGAGTCAGCCGTTTACTGGGTGGCTTACTTTTTACATACTTGCCCGGTGAGGTGCGTCGAGCACCGAAACAAGAATACATCCATGGATATCATTACGTACCTCATCTCTAGGTAGCTTTGTACATGTACGTATTTAAATCTACCTAGGTAGTAAGACCCGGGTCGCTCTGCACCGTTACGGAACACATCCATGGATGTCCCATTTATGTAGTACAGGATAACGGGAGACAATGTCGTACCGGTAATAGTTACCATCCCGATGGTAATTCTTGTATTATAAAAAAATGTGGGCGAGCTGAAAAACTTGCTACTACATAATAGTGCCTAGGCAGGTGCAGTAGGTATGTATAATTAAAGGTTATTCTTGAAGACCCGATTCCATGCGCGCGGCTCTGGAACTTGATCTTCGCGCCAACCACTTTCTTCTTGGCACGAAAACGCAGGTATACACATACACCTACATACACCTATCCGACTACATTATTCACACACACACACAAAAACAAAAACTAATTTGGTCACATCGGGCGCTTCGCCAGCGAGATGCGGTATGCTAAACCTACATCACATCAATCCGACCTAGGCGACACGTCTATTGTAGGAGCCATTACCGTTCCGTATATCTATAGCTTGACGTCACACCAGTCTACTGGTCCAACCACTCGCATCGTTGGTCCTGAGTAAAAATGAGTACCTAGTATATCTTTGATTTAGGCTATCTCTATCGTTTCTTAGACTTCCATTATGTAACGCCTTGCTTGGAATTGACCAAGATGAAGTCGATGCTCAGCCATCGATTCTATTCGAAAAAGCAAATTTATACCCCCAAAGGCCTGCTAGTCCCAACGCCAATTATCATTCGATATCGATTCAGGCGGCGTTTCGTTGTCGCCTTCTAGGTGACCTTCGAATAGGGGTCTCTGTGTCCCCTTCGCCATCCACATCTTCACCCAAGTCATTATCATTCGCCAGGATCGATAATATCGATTTCTCAATGTCTTCCCTGACCCCCATTAACTGTTCTTCCTCAATCCATCCCGATTCTACCGCGAATCTCACAACATCGCTCGCGCTATCGAAACCGGGGACGCTGTCGTCGGCGTCAGGATCTAAGTACAGCCAAAGTTCTTTCGTCAGGCGCTTAAAGGCATTCAGCTCCTTCTTGGTTCCTCGGAAATGGTTCGTTATCCACTCGTAAATATACGCAAGCCACAGGACATTTGTGTATGGCTCGTGTTGGGCCCACATGATTGGGCCATCGACTCCGTTTTCGTAGGCAGTCTTGTGACTTTGCGGTGGGAGGCATACCCGATCTCCCCTCAGGAAAAACGATCTCATGCGCCTATAGACTTCACATTGCGGGGCGTGTTCGCTGGTGAATATGCCTAGATCTCTTTCTAAGTCGTAGGCAATCGGCTGAGAACCTTCGACTTGACTGTCGGCGTGAGCTCGAGAAAGACCGTAGTCGAGGATTGTGATTTCGAGGCCGGAGAATCCAAAGTGACTGGAACGGTCTCGATCCTCGGTGGGAATACGATCTCCCGTCTTTCGAATGCATAGGTTTCCTTCGTGGAGATCACGATGCTTCTGCAATTAGTTAAGAGTACCGCAAAAAAGGTATCTGATCCACTCACCTCAAATTCGATGTGAGCTTCGGCGCGCGCTAACGCGATGGCGACGTGAAAGAATATGTCCCATAGTTGATCAGAAGATTCTAGATGGAAGTCTTCCAATGCTGTTCCTGCGTCGCCCAACTCAACTACTAGAAATCTTGTGCTGTCTAGATACCGACTCGGCGAAGGGTAGAACTGTAGTCGATCGGGATCTTGACGTTTGATCTTCTTATGAAAGGCCTGGTGAGTCTCGAGCAACTCCTTACACGCCTTCCCCTGCACGATATACCTTTCTTTGTAGACGACAAAGCCAGGTATGTCAGCAAGCCATTCCGAGATCTTTAGTTCTCCTATCAGATCCGATTCTGAGTGGGGTTCTTCATCGACCAGTCCGGACTTCTGCTGAGCTTTCGTTTGAGCCTTGATTGGTGATTCCATCCGGATCACTTTAATAATACTAGTCCCTCGCTCGTTCGTCACGCGATATACTTCAGCGTAAGAAGCCTCCGCTATCTTAACGATCTTATCGCCTGCTGGACATATATCGGGCCAGGAAAGTATCTGCAGTGCCCCGTCCGGCTCCGCATCTTCCGTGGTTCCCTGCATCTCCAAATTGGATGGAAATGATATCTCAGGTACTTCGAGCTTGGTCGATTTAATTTTTGGTGGTGATGATGGTGGTAGTGCTAGTGTATGTTGTTCTTTCCTTCTAGGAGAGCGCCTGACGGGCTCTGCCTGTATAGGGACATCATTTTGAAGGGTTATTGTAGATATTTTATTAGTTAAGTCGTCAAAGGCTGCTGTATCTGAAGAATCATCGTCTTTTACAGTTTTCGATTGGCTTCGTACTGGAGTCCGTGGTAGCTCGACGAATAAGCGGTCACTCTTGGCTTTTTTAGATTGTTTGCCATATTTTCGAAGAGACGTCTGCTTTGACATCTTCACATTTCTGTTCGTCTTTTGGATTCTAGTTACATTTGTTGTATGGTAGTTTTTTACGTTAAGATGTGAGGTCGATGTCGACGATTGTTGACTTCAATGGTGGTTGCCGAGTAACCAGGTAAGGTACATATACTGCGGGTGTTCTAGTATCAGCCACACCCCACCTTCAAGTAAGTATATTCCAAGCCACATTATTAATATATATAGTACCCACACATATTGATCCAAGCTACCCACCCACTGCCACATGACGGGATCCCCAATAAAGAACCTTTTAGAAGGTAACCGGGGTACCTCCCCAAGATAGGGAAGCGACTAAGCGACTAGGTACCTATTGGAGAGATTATTGGAGATTGTCTGAGCTCCAATTTTGACTCGTGTCTTCGTCTTCGTCGTCTTCTCATCTTGTCTTCTCATCCTTCCTCTTTTTTAACCTCTTGTCGCGCTCAATTAATTTACGCGAGAGAGTTTCGCAATCCCGCAATCATGGCGGATTTCCTAAAGAATATTGTTGGGGGAAGCAAGTCCCCTGATACTCCTATACCATCCTCCGATTCAGGTGAGTTAACTGTTATATTAGTATTCGCGATTGTTCGCGACAAACCTTTATATCCGTATATGTATCTAGGCGTCGCATATCTCTAACTTTCAATTTTTCATCCAGATTTCGCCGACTTCGCCGATGCGCCTTCGCCGTCGCCTGTACCCTTTGAATCGGTCGCCGGCGGTGCTACCCTTGGTGGCCCTGCGCCTACCAGCGTCCCATATACAAAATGGTACAATGTCCACGAGCGCTATACACTAAACGACTTCCGCGCTGAGGGCGTCATCCTAGGCATTATCGCTGTGGTCTTTACATTACACTTCATTGGCACCAAGCTCAACCGAGCTAAGTCGAGGGCATGGATTAAAGCGCATGCTTCAGTACTAACCAGCGAGTTTGCTGCGGTTGGTTTCGGTAGAACTTCTGAGAAAACCCCCGAGAAACTACTAAAGGCCAAGAGCCTTTTTGAATACGCGACGTACGCGACTGGCCGACAGAATGTTGCGTTCATGGATGTCAAATTGACTCTAAAGAAGCGCTTCAACCCTGTTATGACATTGATAGAGACTGCCTTAAGCTTCTTTTTCGATAGCTTTGGCGCTCCTGAGGATTCCGTGGAAGCCGTCATCTACCCATTCGATGGAAAAGAGGCGCAGATAGTCCCTGCTCTTCCAGGCGCTGCCGAGCTAAGAAGCAAGGATTCCAAGAGCACCTTCGATGGTTTTGTTTGGGCTGTTGTCAACAAGGACAAGATGAAACAGCTCCGAGAAGAGCGATACGATTTGTCCATCACCTTTACCAAGGATAACTCCAAGTTGCCTATTTGGGCAACCGTCATGAGCGAGAGCGCCGAGATTACCGAGACCCTTCTTACGAACGAACTCGCCTCAGCTATCAAGAAGGCCGGCGATTTATTCGACTATATCATCATTAGCGACCAACCCGTAGACAAACCCACGAAGTAAGTGATTTCTATTTCAAGTCATGGGAGGTTTATATATGTCACTGGCTTAACTTTGGGGCGTTTTCTTTTTGTTCTTTTTTTTTCTTAAAAAAGAAATACAAACACATATACCGAAAATAACTACTAAACGGATTATAGGATGGACGAGACAATTCCACGCAAGCGCCTCTACTTGCGGTACCGCCTTCCATCGTCCAACAACTATGACGACCTAGCCCCTCTCCTTTCTTATTTCGTGCGAATTTCTGATCACCTAGCATCTTCTGCCCATTTCCGACCAGAGGTCATCCGAAAGGTCAGAGCTGTTCGAGATGAGAACATCAAGCAGATCCAAAAGGCCGCCGAGGAAGAGAAGGCTGAGGAGAGGCAGGCAGAGCGTGACAGGGCCAAGAAGGCGAAGCGCGATGCTGAGTTGAACGCGCTAGACGCCAAGGCTCAGAAGAAGTACCTCGAGAGGGAGAAGGAAAAGGAGTTGCGCAAGTCCTCAAAGAAGCAGACAGTCCGAGCTTGAGTGCTTGTACCAACCCAATTCTTGAATATTTCTCGTGGATATTTTTTAAGGATGGTATTGAAAGACGGTTAGGGGATGGACGAAGGGATGACTAATGGTGACAAGGTATCAAAAGTGGCATCACGCGACATTTGACTTGTATATCTAGCAAAAAAAGGGGGGCTGTATCGGAAATATGCATCTTAGGCGTACGTCTGCGAGCTCTGATTAAATCAATGTATGATATTTGGCTGTTAGTAATGTCTGTTATCTGCTCTTTGCTTGCTACTCTACGAAAAAGTTGCCCTAAAGCTATATATAATGCTTAGGCGTTGACATCAAGATATTTGCCCCTTTCTTCATACAATCTGTGATGTTTAAGAGCCAGTGCTTCCCTCGGCTAATATGTTCTCTACACGTTTAACTTTATCCTGCGCTGTCTGCTTCTTGTCCGTCCTAGACGAGATGATACACATCACCAGTTAGTCTGTCACCCTTGGCCATTATAGTTCTCGTATGGAGAAAATAGGATGATGGTGTGAGGTCTTTCGAGACTGTGAAATATGTATGTAGAGGTCACTTGTAAGGGGTAAGAGGTAAGCTCAAATACAACATACCTGGTGCCAACTCTCATCGAAGACTGGACTCTGATAACCCCTTTAGCATGTACGACGCTGTGGGCTTGTCCGATGACTTTCATGACCTCGTCCCATGATCCCTCTGGTAGTATGAGAATGAGTCAAATCGTCCAGAATGGAGGTATACGCAAACCATTGGTGGTAGAAAAATGAAAGCCTTTTTCGGATAAGCTTAAGAGAAAGGGGTATGAAAGGGGTACCTCTCTCATCGTCAAATAATAACCACGCTTACAAACAATCTCACCCTCTCCCCACATCCACCTACATAAGACAAGATAGGCATAATGTGAATAGCGTGCGAGTCAAACGAGACGCGAGGATCAAGGAAACGAGGAACTAACCAACAGTAGTCCCAGCGGAATGCATGGTATACGTCAACCCGCTTGACTTTAGCAATCTCTGAACCTCGGCCACTTCCTCCGCTACCGAAACGTTGCCGGTGCCGACCTATACGAAAGTATGTATGTATGAGCTCATATACTCTACCTTAGTAAACAAAAGAAGCTATCAACTTACGGGAATTAGACAGAAATCGGCGTAGCACCGTTCGGGTGTGGCGATATGCGAGTGATCCATGGTAGCTAATGAATAGTACCTAATAGTCTGAAGATTTGAGATGATGTTTTGAAAATAATCTCAGTGTCCCTAAATTACAGACTATAAAGTTTTCTTAACAACGAGCGTAAATTGTCGAGTCGAAGTATAGGTAGGTAGGAACATACGACGTGAGATATATGGAATGGAAGATGGTGTGAAGAGTTCAAATGTTCGACTAGAAAATCACCCCGCAAACTACTAGGTACTAGGTACATACATGTAACTAGTATAAGTACTTAAGTCTTAAGTACCCTGGATATATCAACTTACACTGTAGCTGCTAGGTGTGTATTCTGCGACAGCAGCGCTTTATATTCATAACTTCAGCGAGTTAATTCAAAATAAAGGTACCTCATTATGTCTTGAGATGCAGATGTTATTTACAATTCCGCATCCTCGTTCAACAAGCCTTCTAATGATAAACTGCATAGTATGTATCTAGAGTAGGTATGCATGGTATAGTGTTGCGTACGAATAAATAGATAAACTCCTCAGATCTGGTTGACCGCAATGCTATAGCGCTTTAATGGTATCACTAATATGATAATGACGACGACGATGATGATATGACGATGTGATGCTAAACAGCAGAGATAGTGAAAGTTCTAATGTTAACCCCTCCCTAATCGTAACGATTTGGATCTTCTCTCCAATTCGCAACTGGATACTTCCTAGCCGATTATTTTAACCCAGCGGAGGTCGTGATACAACGTATTCGAACTTGACAGCTTGTCACAAGACACGACAATCGGAGAGAGACCTGGAGGCGTTGTGAAACTAGATTAGTATTCAAGGCCTAACACGTAACGACTTAGCTTTAGGGCAACTTTTCCCGTCGTCTACTCATGTAGGTAAATGAGCATCCTACCTATGAAGTTTCGGCTCCAGCTAGGAAAAGATATCGTTTACTAACCGTCTTCTGGCTTCCCATTCTATGGCCCAACGACAACACATCTTTAAACGTTCACGTACGCTCGAAGTTTCCAGCAACTTATATCTTTCGTCAGCCTTAAGTGGCAAGATGCTGGCAAGCCACCATGGGAAGATGGCTAGATCTGTCGGACATTCGCCATAGATAGCCAGGGCTCGTGCTGTAAGCCATTCGACGCTTTCTGCTCGCATTCTCCTAACGAAGTCGACGCCTAGATCTCCTAGCTCCCTAGTCGACATAGTCTCCAGATCTGCCAATGATATAGATACCGCGCGAGAGCGAGTGGGTAAAGACTGCTCTAGATATACCATATCTGGACTCGGGGGCGCCATAGTTATCTCTCGATTTTCATGAGAGCGCATCGTTTCTGATGCTTCCATGGCCTCCTCTTCCGCCACGCTGATGTCGTCTATCTTTTCGATATTCCCGACAATATACCCATCCAACCACCTACGACCAGTTACTCGAAAGCGGAAAAGGCCCACCGTTTCCAAGAGACTCCGCCCATCCGGGAAAAACTCGATGTTGACGATACGAAGTAAGGTCCCGAGCTCCATAAAATCAGCATCATCTTCAGGGTCGATGGAGAAGCGAGATTGAGACGGTTTGCGGAGCACCATCCCAAAAGTCCGATCGTTGTCCATGGCCCGGCGGATCATCAGCTGATATCGTGGCTCGAAAACATGTAAGAATGTTGGCATACGCGGAAACGACAGCGTACATACGAAAAGCGCAGTATCGAATCCGCTGTGATTGGCCTGTTGTTCAAGCCTATAGGCTTGTGAGCGGAGCGCCACCAGGTCGGCCCAGAACCCATTGATAATCTTGCAGAGGCGTTTGTTTGACGGGTAAGATTGTTGATTGGCCTGAGGTTGTATCGACAGTTTACGCCTGCATACCGGGCAAAGATCTGAGTGATCCAGAATGCGATGGAGGCAACCCCGACAGAACGTGTGTCCGCAGGTTGTCGTTAACGGATCCAGGAATAATGCGTAACAGACTTGACAATCCATTTCTGTCCTAACAGATTCCTTCAACCGTGCCAGCACGGCCGTGTCAATCTGCCTAACCGCATCGTTCCCTACACTTGCGCTAACAGAAGAATAAGATACCTCGCTGCTATAATCGAGTTTGCCGAGTTCTGCCAGTGAATAAGTCGCTACAATATGGCCCCCCTTCAGCACATTAGGTTCGTTTTCCTTCTTCGCGAGAGAAGGAATCCCGGCTATATCCCACTGGTCTTGCACAGTAATATGTGTGGAAATGCTAGAAAGCCCAGTGATGTCTTGATCTTGCTCAACGATAGTCTCAAAAATGGCCAAAGCCTTATTTAATGTGACATCGGTACCACAGTCCCCAAGAGCATGTTCCTTGCCGCAGTCGCTGAAAGGGCATCCGAAGCCGCGAAGCCGATTATCGGTCGCTGGCCAAGATATATTAGTCCGTACGTGTGTCTGGGGCACACACTGCCTGCAGAGACTATGGCCACACGGTAGAGTTGTTGGTTCCCGTAAAATCCTGGAGCATGCTTGACATTGAACGAGTCTTATTATATCTCTGACATCCCTGACGGCGTTGAGGAGCAATTCGGAAGCGACCGAAGGATGCTCAGTACCGGCAGGGTTAGGAACTATACCATCTTCCACCTCGGCACGAGAGTCAGAGGTCGGGCTATCGGAGGAATGAGACGAAGGTAAGTTTGGTGGGATCGAGTTGGCTTGTATAGAGGACATGAAAGATATTGTTGTCTAACTACAATGGCTAGGTTGGAAATGTGTGCCGGGTTTCCTGTCTTAAGAGGAGATTTATTGGAAACTTGTATTTTTAAGAGACTTGGATGCGCTTGGTCTAGCTAGTTACATCTACCCGTAACGTAACGAGAGACAAGATAAACAAGGAACAGCGTGTGGAATGGGAAATGACTTTAGTGAAATCAAGCGTGCAGGCCTATCGTGTGCTGGACTGCGAGGATTGAAGGCGGAGCTGAGGATTGAGTGTATTGAGTGTTTTATTACAAAGCATGAATAGCTTTTGCCGATATCTCTCTCTAGTTTCATAGAGGACCCGGTATATTTTCGATCCGGAGGAATAATAAAATATGGGACGTCACAGAGTTTCCTTGCGAAATTCATACGAGGATGAGCAGTGATCAAGGAGCAGCATTGAATGGGCCAATAGGTGATGTATGGGGGACTCGGTGGTGAAGTTTGGTGATGAGGTGATGAGAGGAAGAGGCGGAAGATGAGTTGGGAGACGCCTAAAAGCGTTACGACTAGAAATCGAGGTTAAGGGAGCGACGGTATATACCAGACCTGTACCTGTACCATGTTATGTGTTAAAAGAATATAGAAGTCATCATACATTTTTTTAGGGATCCAATATTGATGACCAAGGACAGAAGCGGACTAAGGGCGACAGTAAAAAAAGATGGTTGAAGTTGGACGAGGGTCTGGGGAAGAGAAAGTCTTGACGTCGTAGGGGGGTACTTCGACACTTCCATACCCGTCAAAGACTTAAGATTCTATTACGTGATTGGTTGGTTTGGGAGCTGATGATCTCGATGAGACAATCAGGCCACTAACGCCTATCGTACCTACCGTACCTACCGTATCTACCTGCTAAATGACGATACCTAACCCGCCGAGGTAAAGCCCACTTCAATGGTGTAACCCAAGGATGTGCTTGGGTACCTAGGTAGGTATGTACATACCTAGTTGGACCCTTCAAGTTGAGTTCTAGTTGAATCGGTTCCAAGTTGAGTTTAGGTAGATTAGCAGATTAGGTAGATTAGGTATACATGTAGGTACATATCTGGTTTTCGATATAGTAATATGATTGCACATGCGAATCATAATAGATATTGTTAAACACACAGACACATCAACGTATTTAAAAGTTGTTTGTAGCATTCATGTATGATGTGCGGTTTTAGTTCCCTGCTATAAATAGGCAATTCAAACGAAGCGGAAAGAAGAATTACATAAATATACCTTGTCGAAGTTGAATTAAGTTGAAATATGTACCTACGTACATATATGAAAGGTAATAGGTACCTTCCGTATGTATTACAAGAAAGAAAGGTTCCATCTGGTTGGGATTTCGTTACTGCTATCTGCCAAGGTATATATTATACAGGTACGTTTATCTAGCTATATCCAGATGTTCAATACATGTATTTTTGACCTCTAATAACAACCTTGACAGCCGAAATAGGCAAGCTTGAGGTTGCTTTCGATTGACGCTACATAGACCCTGTTTACCTCTTTAGGCAATACTACATAGGTATACGCTTCTTTGTATGGTGACCATTTCATAATTGGCATATTTGATGTACTAGTATCGGGTTATCTACGAAATATAGGTATCCTTCTCGTTATCATGGAATATACATAAATTAAATGAAACCTTGAAGCTCACGACTATGTATCTACCTGCTAGGCACTTATGCGGAGCCGAGCTGGCTAGCTGGCGGAGTAACTTCATTCGGTCGGCCACTAGGTATAAATTCCATATGTAACTACCTACCTAGGTACACAATGTATGACGCGAATATAAGAGTGAAGTCTCACCACAAAAGCCTTCGATATTTATCTACCTACCACGAATAAAAAATAAGAATAATTTAGTCGAAATATGTTGCATCTGATTGTATATGCATAGTCCGCTCTTGGGACCTTTATCACAGTTAGCCAGTGGCCATCTAAATACCATGATGACATACATTGGGCAGAAACTACCAAATTCTTAGTAAACATCATCTCATTGTAGAATACAACTATGTATTCAAATATTATCCCCCCCCTAAAAAAACCACCCGTGTCCATGCCACCTCGACCTTTTCGTTCCTTTCTCTGCTATCTACATTCCTATTCCCAATAAGAGCCCTGACCTTTGAACTTCCAAATTGCGCCTATAAACCACCCCAAGATAATAGTGGTATAAAATAGTGTACGCCCCAAAGCCACTCAACTCGCCGCGAGATCCGAGTAAAGGCACAAATTAGACTAATCCAACCCAATCACTTTTGGTAGCATAATAACAGCTATTCCTTCATCGCTGAGATTTTTCCGTTTTTTTTTTCCCTTTTACAAGTATACGGTAATTTCCTCTTTGGATATTCCTTCATCGCTGTTACACATCCTCTCCCGCTATACTGCACAGTTGCATTGGGTATCACCCTAACATCTTATTATCATCTTTTCACCGCCGCTCGGCCCACCTACCCCTTGTGACTGTGCCTCGATTTAGTGCGATCCAGCGACCGATATTTCCGAAGCATACACAGCAGCAGAACAGTATACTCATCATAAAAATAACCGTACCGAACTCTTCTTGGGTGACCGTTACCCCGCCAAACGAGATAAACTCCTGTGACCGCTGCTGCTGTTGCTGGGCAAAACCGCTACTCGTATTATCGTATTGCGTATCGTACCCGGGGAATATGGAGGCTGACGGGTTCGTCGGTGTCGGTACCATATCTGGCTTTAACCCCAGCAACACCATAGCTCCGGCTATCCCAACGGTCGCCGATAGTAGGAAGCCAGGCATCGAGCGGTCAATCAGAAACCAGAGAACTGGATTCGCGAGAGCTAACGTGATCGAGACTTGCAAAGTCGAGTCCCACGGCAGTTTTCTCTGTATGCGTCATTAGCAAAATCTACCCTGATATTATAGAACAACATTGTGCTTCCTGCTATTCGAGCGAAGGGTACACTTACGATGGCGAAAGCAATTCCAACGAAAGCCCCGATACCTCTTACCGCAAGCGCCCAGTCGGTGGACGAAGCAGGCTCATTCTCCACAATGTCGCCACCCATTCCGTGGTCTGCAGCGGATTCAACGGCGACTTCGTCGCACCCAACTACTCGCTCCCATATGCCGTCGATCCACGGTAATAAGCTACCCATCACAACTGCAGATATGCCCCAGAAAGCCAAGCTTCCGAAGTTGTAGCTACCATGCCCAGTGCCTTGCCGCCTATCCCTAAGCTGGGCCACTAGCATCCCGTATAGCACGCCTAGAACGAATAGAAACAAGCCTCGTGATCCTAGGTACAATGTGCGCTGGGAAATGGAAAGCGGTTGTGGGCGTATCGCCGTATGTAGAGAGGATCGTCTCCGAGTTGGTTGCGCTCTCTCCTTCTGTAGCTCGTAGTGCGGGCTGTCGACTTTCAAACCCTTAGCGGGTGTCTCGGCACCGGTTCCCCATGGCGTACTCGGCTCATCCACGCCCAAGTAGTTGAGCTTATCCTTACTGAAGTTCGCTTGGTTGTAGATGCCCATAAGTGTCGAACCTGTTATGTCGAGCGCAGACTGGGCGCGGCTAATCGAAGCGGATTCGGGTGCGGAGCCATTGTTTCTTCGGTCGAGGAGGCGGGAGTTTAGAATATCTAGATTTAGCGAGGAGCTGTGTCCCGAATTCGTAAGAGGGGGGATGGGTTCATCTTCCGGGGGAGTAGGCTCCCTGCGATGTAAGTCGAACGGCCGGAGAGGAATGGGCCGCAGTAAGGGAGGGCCACTGTCTCCTTGAAATTCGGACATGGCAAAGACCAGGTAATACCAGATGTCAGGCGCTTTTTATAAATAGTTTATTATTTGGAAAAATCAAGTGACATAGAACGAATGGCGTAGGTTTGTAGAGCATATAAACAAGCACCGTCTATCCGAGTTGAGGTGACGCGAACGGAGAGAGGCGAGAATGGAAGATCTGGCTCTGGCTGCCGCGTGGCTAAGACAAATGATTGTATATAAGGCCAATTGGTTGGCTATAGCTGATTATAGGTTCGACGAGTATCGAAACCCTATCTAAAGGAGGGATGGGTCGTGACTGGGTCTTGTTTCACGAAACTCTGTGCATTCCGATCTGGTGGTTGGCCGACGGTTACTTGCTGCGACTAAGTGATTGTTTTGTAGATAAGCGCCAAGTCGGCAAAGAATTTAGGTTATTAGCCTCTAGAAAATATACGGTATGTGGAGGAAACACGACGGTTATATAAATTGGGCAAGACGAGGAAACGCAGTAGTACGAATGACGGGAGTATGCCTGGTGGTAAAAGTTCAAGACCGGTGGAGAGCAGAGGTTGAAGTAGGTAGAAGAAGAACAGGAAGAACCTTTCAAGGTTGAATCGCGGCGATTTGATATTAAGAGAATTGATGAGGAGCACTTGCTGCTCTGTGGACACTGGAGGTACATGGAAGGGTACATGTAGAATCTAACCTTGGAAGTATTGTAGGTATTGATTGGCAGTGACACATGCTAATTTTGGCTCCCCCGCACTTATAGAAATGCAGGTGCTCCGCGCAGTGTCCGCGTTACAGCGGAGATGCGAACCCGTAGATTTATGAATAGGTACATGTAGAGGTACTTTTTCACGTATGTATCTTCGAGTACTTTTTACCTTTTTTCATGTGTCAAGACTTGAGCTGCCTTGTTGAGCTCAGATGTCTTAGGTATGAATGTAGGTAGGTAGGTACATATATGTATAAGTCGGCAAGACAGCTAATACCGAATGCAGCCGTCTATCACATCTATATGCACTTACATTAATTAGGCTTGCTGTTTTCCCCTCGTGATATACCAATATAATACCTGATCTGTTTTGTTACTCCAAAAGCTACATGAAAAAACATTCAATGTTATCCAGATACGACTGTAGAATTCGATGTTAGCTACCTATTCGCTGCTGACACTGCTGACTTTCAGCAACCCGCCTAGTGGACTGTTGGGGAAGACTTTTACCTGGTCTTAGCTTTCTTAGCTCTCTTAGCTCCCCTAGTCTAGACTAGAACGGCAAGGGGCATCAGGGCATTTCTCTCGTTAAAATCGTTAGCGAACCCGAAGTCGAAGTTCCTGGTTCGGCTTGGAATCACATGCTCCGTCCATCGTGACACCTGGGTAGTGGGCGTGTACATACTGTAACACCTGCAGCAAAAAAATTAGACCCGCTGGTTGGCCGGCTGATCTGCCGGCTGCTCCGTATTGTCCTTCAATGCATGGATGGTGCCTTTCTTTTGTGACACCATCGTACATTTTCTTATTCGCAAATCGTTCCCATGCGGACATCAAGTCTTGTCGCGGCATTGGACGCATACTTAGTATTTCCCGACCCGAGATACGGTGTATGGGTATTATGTGATGCCCATTCATGCCGCATTGGTTCGCCGACTTGTACGACTTTTGCATTTTATGCTGTATGACATACTATACTATGCGTACTGGTTTCATGTTTAAGCCGAAAGTATCCAAGCTGCCAAGTATCCAAGTATCGTGACCTACGAATACCCGCACGTGCTATGAACATAACCCACATTGATATATGGATACGTGTCGTCCGTCGCCTATCGTTCGTTTGAGACTTTGACTATCGTCATTTCTGCCATTTCTCGACCTCTAGCTACTTAAGCTCATAAATCTCATCAGTCCTCATCGTTCTCGTCATCGTCTTCCTCTTCGATCGCATCTTCCAAATCATCCTCGCTATCCTCTACACCTTCTGGTCGGGGTATCATTGTAAACGCCTCCACACACGTTATCCTGTTCTGAGTCTCGTAGGTGCCCAATAACTTGCCTACGGTCGGTGCGATCTTCGATTTCCTCGCCTTCTTCAACTTTGCTACGGCGACCTTGAAGATGCGGATCTTGCCATCGCTGCTACCGGCCGCTATAACTAAGTCGTCCTCCCCGCCTTTCCCGGACATCCTGTTTATGGAGAAATCTTTGATTCGTCCCGAGACCCCAGCGTCTTTTCCGCCAACTTGCGCGATCAATTTCGCCATTGGTAGTGATGTTTTCCCTTTTCCCTCCGTAGATTTACTCGGTGTCAAATCTTCACTTCTTGTAGATAAGAATAGGATCTTCCCGTCTTCCGTCGATACGGCTAACAGTGACGAGTCATTTGCCGCGTCTATCGTAACGTAGTTGATTTCGTGTATCTTGCTCTTCGGTTCTGGCATGACCCTACACTTCGGTGTGCTATCCATGCCGAACACGAGGGCATCTCTATCGAATCCGACACAAAATTCGTCACCGTCTTCGGTGTTGCCCCATACCACTTTCCTACCCTCTCCCGAGGAATGTTTCCCTTCTCCCACATCTTGTAGCATATCCCGGCTGAAATTGAGTACGCCGGCCTTCTTCGCCGTCATTAAGTTCCATAATCGCATACATCGCTCGCCTCTGCTAACGCTGATCATGAGTTTCATGCTCGGATGAACGGCGAAATCATTAACGCCGGCGGGCGTGGCACCCAGTGGCGCCGTGTCGCCGCTCGGCCGACCCTGGGGTTTTGGTATGGGAGTCTTGATAGATGAAAGTAAAGACCAATCTCTGGTCCTAGTAACGGCTATAGTAGAATCTTCAGAGGCCGAAATGAGCTTGGATTTTGTGGGGAAGGATAACTTCGTAACCGTAGAGGAATGATGTAGTAGTGTGCCTATCTCTCGATTTTTCGGGTTCTCTAGGATCTTTCTAGGTGCGACGGACGACAAGGCATCTTGATGCTTGCGGCTGGGTGGATGCGCCGAGATGTTATATACGTTAATTCGTTCATCGCTGCTGCCCGAAGCCAGCATGACTTTCTGTAGTTTGCCATGCTCCGGAGCTGAAGGGGGTGATAGAGCTAGGCATCGTATCGCCGAGTTATGCGCATTGAAGAGAAAGGTGTCTGCGAATTCGACTTGGTCATCAGCCGAGATCGTAGCTGTCAACCCGTGAAGAATCCTATCGTAAGATCCTGTAACGACCTGGATAGTCAATGAAGAGCTTTCTACGGGTGCGGTCGATAATTCGGATGCTTTGGCCTTTTTGGCTTTTTTTACGAGAGCTGGCTTTTTTTCTTGCGCTCCATTGGTGGCGCCATCTGTCCGCTTTCGTTTGCCCATTCTGCGACGTTATTAAGTTGACTACTTTTGCTGTGTTTCGCGGAAAAATCTACTTGGTATTAGGTAGATTCTTCGAAAGTAAAAATTGTAAGAATCATATCGATAGAAGGAAAAATAAATAAAGTGGATACATACTTGGAGCTATGTGGAGTATTTACGTATCATTGGATAAAGCTCCGGATCCCGACTTTACATACATACGTATGTACCTCCTGGTGTATGTACCTATCCATAATGTATTATGTGCTTAGGAAAAAGAGATCATCATCCATGGCACTTTCACATAAAACAGTCGCATCCAAATATTTGCCTTCTTTAAATATATTATTTTTCATACGTGAAAGCTGCCTGTGTAGCAGTATGTTGCTACCTGGAACAGCACATATCTACAAGACACGAGTCTAGACTCGTCGACCTCAATCGAGGATGATTATGGCCCCATTTTCTAGGCTAGCCTTACAGCTTTGTTAGTGTTGCGACAGATGTAATTTCCACATGCGATGTGGGTGACGAGCCATAAGATAGTTCTGACATCGGTTAGAAGCCTTCTTCCCCATGAGCCGGTGGTAAATGCGGACTATCGGGGTCAAGTAGGTCTTGTCTTATGCCAATAGAAAGCATATTCTCAAAAGAGAGAATTTGCCGACCTCCACGTGCGAGAGCCCCCTTATAAACTTGTAATCTGTCAAGGAATCTTTACGAGAGACTTTTATATCAAACAGGCAGGAATGATTTAACGAGCCACCTAGTCCTGTAGTTCCTTTGGCATGATCTATGTTGGCAGGGCCTTATTTCGGCAGCGATGGCGTAGGCGTTGCACTTCCGCTAGAGTTGCGCTGGTGTTGTTGAGTTCCCTGTTGGGCTTGTGCTTGTTGAGCCTGCGCTGCAGCTGCGGCCGCAGCCTGCTGCTGTTGCTGGGCTCGTAGGAGCTGGGCGTACTGATGTGGTCCGTTAGCGGCCGCGGCATGTCCGGACCCCCCAGCGGCGGCGTTCATCGCCGATTGCGCAAGGTTATGACCGTTGTGACGAGTGTTCAACAACTGCCTAGCCATCTCGCGAACAACATCCTGTGTCATGTTGGGATGTGTTTGCCTAATATGAGTCTCGATAGTTTGAAGTTGCGAGACGTATGTCTGATGCGTTTGTTGTGGGATTGTTGTATTCGGTCGTGGAGACCCTGCCTGGGATGTCATAGGATGGCCTGGAGCCGGAGGTGTTGACATTCCCGGCCCGTTTGCAGAGTTAAATGAAGCCATCATCGCCTGCGCCTGAGCATTGTTGAGATAGTTCTTCTGGTTTAGCCCACTCATAGCAGCGGCTCTCATGGCAGGCGGCGAGCTTTGTAAAGGCATGCTTCCACCCTGTGATGTTGGGTGAGATTGTTGTTGTGTTTGTTGTTGATGCTGATGCTGATGCTGCTGCTGCTGCTGCTGTCGTCGTATCTCGACAGAGCGGCGTTGTTGCTCCGATATTTGCTGTGCTTGCATCAATAGTTGAAGGTCAGGCTGGGTAGTAGGCATCGCCATTCGCGGTTGGCCATTTACAGACGGCATTTGCACTTGAGAGGCACCATTCATTTGCATAGGAGGAACAAGTCCACCACTCATGTGATTAGTAGTCCCGGTGCCATTCGGGGTATGCATTGACATCCGTGGACGTCCTTGGGCGTTCATCGAGATTTGACTGGGAGCATTAACGCGAGCCATGGCCGCATGAGGATGAGAGGCTGCCATCTGGGGATTGTTCTGCGAGAGCTGGTTCGCATTCTGGGCAGCTGCCATTTGAGCAACTTGTCCCTGCTGTGCTCTTTGTATAGCAGCCTAATTGCAATGATTAGTATTCTTTACTTAATGATGGGAGAAGGAGGAACTTCATACCCTGCGCTGAGCCTCGTGGCGCTGCTGCTGGGCCATCCTTTCAGCTAGTCTTTCGGCCATAGCTTGATCACGTTCGAATCGCATGATACTATACTCTCTCGGCGTTTTCGTTGGTGCTCTTGGCTGAGGCGTCTCATTCGTTTTTCTCATAGCTGCAAGTGAGGCATTATGTTGTTGCTTTTGTAAAGTCGTCTCTCGTTTCTTCGCAAGTTTTCTCATGGCATCGATCATCGTTAGGTGCTTTTGGTTGCGCCGTCGTTCGACCTTCAGTGGAACATTATATCGGCGTTTAGGCGCAGGCGTGACTGGACCGTTAGGGCCAGCCTGTTGCTGCTGTTGTGCCTGCTGCGCCTGCTGCTGCTGCTGATGCTGTCGGATAACTTGCTGGGACGCCTCAATCCTGCCTTGCCACAACTTGAAGTATTGAGTCTTCTGCATATCATGAGGGAGGCCCTCGAGCATGACCCATCGTTCAAAACATTCCCATGGTGTTCGCCTCTCAGCCCCGGAGCTGAACATGGATTTGGAGGTGAGTATGCTAGATATCAGAGACCAATTATATGAAAACTCGCGAACAAGACCTTTGAGTTCGTCATCCTCTGACTGTATCCACTGGGAAGGACTACGAGACTCGTAAAATGACTGGAAAGGCATTGTATGTTCGTTAGGTGGACGGAATTGATGGCCGGCGTGCAGCCTATCCCTGAAGCTCTTGTTTTCTGGCCGGAATAGCGCTACGTCGGCATTAAGTGGTTCCAGTCGAGGTTGGCTACCGCTGAACTGATCGAAAACTACTTCATCATCCTCATCATCCTCCTGCGCGTAATGATACCGGCTTCGCTTTTTCGGAGGCTCTGTTGGCGTGAGTTCCATTTGACCTTCCACAAACCTGCTTAGTGGCAACGCAGACCGCCTCCAAGTAGCATCGGGGTCGTATTCTGGCGCAGTAATATCAAACTTGGGCACCTCTAGAGGTGAACCGTACATTGGTAGCTGTTCGAGGAGACGATCCGCACTGGCTGATTGATGAAGTGAGAAGACTACATCATCGCTCTCTAAAGCAAAAATGGCTGAAGGAGCTATGGTATCAATGATGCCCTCATGAGGCTCATCGTCCGGCTCCATGGGCGAATCTGATTCGGCCGATGGAATAAGATCTGGTGTAGGCTGATTCTCTGGATCCTGTACGTGATTAAAGGGGGCCGTGGTATCTCTGGGATCCACCGAGACGAGCGGAGGAATTACAGCATTCACCTGCATGGCCTTGCGGTCGTCTATCGAAGAAGAAACCCATTCGGCACAGGCGTAAGCAAGATTTTGAGCAGCTGCCATCTTCCATTTTCGTTCTTCGCGGAAATCGGTCCTCATCCATTTCATCTCCTTGAGCAAAACATCCCAATGACAAGGTTGGCGCGTGGGCTCCGGACAACGCTTTGGTTGGCGCAGAGACCACTTGTTGTGATGCTGCAAGTGATAAACTCTCTTAAGGACTTTACAAGCTTGGTTATCAAAGATATGCGTATATGAATCCGGAGTGGACAACGTTTTGTGGGCCTGGTGCAAGATCTGATCCAGAGGTCTCATCCACTTCGAGTTCGAAGTAAAAGCCTGCACGAATAGAGGAGTGAAATAATCATCGCTAGCCATCTGGCCAGCCCCCGAACGGCTCTGGACTAGAGCTTTGCCCGAATCCATAGCGCCCTTTGACTGCTTACCGAAGACGACCATGGACCGGTTGCCCTTCCCCTTAAGTTTGGCCTTCTGGCTCTTTGAACGCTTCTTCGAGAATCGTGAGCTTGGAACTACTGAGGTGGTACGGCTAGATTCGGCATCACCCAATAATTTTGGTGGTTCACTGAGAATCTCAGACACTGGCTTCTGACGAGCGACTCCTGTAGGACTACTCGTTCGCCTACGATCTGATCGAATTTGTATTGGCGAGCGGCGGATATCCTGGGTAATCTGTGTTTCCCGAGATTCTTTTACTTCTGTGGGAGTTTCAGGTATGGCTCGAGAAGGATCAGTGGACGCCACAGACGCCACAGAAGCCACCGAACTTTCCTTCTGCACGGTTTCGCTCTTAGTAGAACTTTGAACAACATCGCCGTTGAGGTTGGGAATTCTTCTCTGGAAATCGGAATTAACCTGTTGTTGATCGCTCCTTACATGTGGCATCACAGGACCACGGAGGTTATCGTTAGCAGGCAGCGGAAGCTGTGGAAGCTGTGGAATCAGTGGAATCAGTGGGATCTGTGGAATCTGTTGCAGGCTAGTAGGGATATTACTCGGACGCTGTTGAGCGTCTGCTGTTACAGTATTTTCGGGCGTGGAAACGCATACTGGAGATGTGGATGTCTTTGGTGGGTGAGTCGGCGTATCTACTTTGGCATTGGTTTCCCTACTGCCATTAATTGGCGCCTTTACTGCATTATTCGTTGGTTGCGATATCGATTGCATTCTGACCTTATCCACTGGAATGCTTTCGGATGTTCCAGCCACGACTGGTCCAGAAAGCGTTCCATTCTGCGAACTTTGTCTTATCGACGCCATGTCTTTCATTCCCATCGAATTAGTCTCGCTGCTGGCCGCAAATGGCACCACCTCGCCATTCGAGCTCTTAGTAGTTATCACATTGGGGGTGGCTAACGTGTCCACGGTATTAGTAGATAATGATGAGACACCATCAATAGTACGGCTTGTATCTGGTAGAGGGATTGGTTGCATCCCAGAAATAACCCCCGCGGGCTTGACCGGTGTTACGTCAAGTTCCATGGGCTCCCCTTCGCGTAGATCTTTTCGCGCCGCATTTTCGGTCTCATCAACTTGGCTTGGCTGTCGTTGTTGTTCGTTGGTGAAAGGTTGACTAGCCTGCGTCTGAGATGAACTGGACGGTGCTGAGGATAGGCTCACTGGATACTTGGATGTTCCATTAGGCTGATCACCTGCAGGTAAATTCGTCTGGTTGGCGGTGGTTGTAGATTGAGATTGCTGGGATTGGTCATTCACCATGGCAAGTACGGCTGGTGTATCCGTCCGGGTAGCTTGATTTGCAAGCTGAGCAGGATGCCATGATGCTTGGGGCGACTTCGAGATACGTTCAGAACCTGGATGGGTAGTCTGCGAGACTATAGAAAGGGTATCGGCCTTGTCATCGGTAATTCCTTGTCGTGACGGTACGGAAGGCGGCGGCAATGATACGGGTGGTCGTGAGATGGAAGTGTTATCTTTCTTTTTATTGATAGTAGGTGGATGAGTGTTCTCTGTTGAACCGAGGTCTTCTCCTAATCTAGGAAGCTGGAGGTATTCTGATCGAATTCGTGGACGTGCAGGAATATTCAACTCGTTCAGTTTCCTTCCTCTAAATTGAATATTAGCAAATTAAAAAAAACCTTCCAGTCGTGAATTCCCAAGAACATTCTACAACGCGATCAACGCGACTTGATGCTCCCTAATATTTTGTAAGGGTAATTATAAACATACTGTAATATATCGGACCCTTCAAGAAAATGCGATTCGGCAGGGTTAGCCGGCGGCGCGTCTGGGTCGGCGAAGCTTCGTTGAGGGAGGCCATCCGTACTTGTAGCGACGGCATACAAAACACATAACTTCCTCTTCCTTGACCGTGCGATCGCACTAAAAATATTTATATCGTCAGAGTCGGATCAATTAGCTCTATTTCATCGATATAATTACTCACCTGCATTCTGCTCGCTTTGACTGCAGAAGCTTGGTGCGGTCGCCGGGTACGACCTCAGTCATAGCATCGACCACCGCGACATCCGTTTTACGTAAAAACGGATGTCTCTCTAGTCTTAATGAGGTTATTCGGGATGAAATTAGTGTTTATTAATGATGGAATCGATGGCGTTGTGGTGCACTAATTGAATTTCCTCGTCGTCTTCGTGAATGGGAAGGCGTATTAATTTTTTAATCTTTCCCTTAGGGACGACGTCTACCACTATACAGGGTATACAGGTAGTGAATAAGGGTGCCTGACAGGCTTGGTAGGGACGAACGCACAGTACAGTTATGAGTAGTTACTACCTAAAACTTCTAGTGTAGGTGCCTAGGTACTGTACGTCTTAGGTGGCCTGGGCGATTGCCAGCCGGGTTCCAGCTTCCACTACTAAGGACCAAGGGACAACGCCGAGCGCTGTCTACGGTGTACCAACATTATGTAATCCACGCAAAAGTCGTAGGTACCTATTTGCCCCTCCTTCCAGTCAGCTTTTTGATTGGAAGAGGAGTTGGATTGATCCTATCTGCACGTATTCATACTTGGGCAAGAGATACATGTAGGTAGTAGTAGGTATGCATTAAAATCATAACATGGCTGGAAGATTTAGTAGGACGTTGGAAAGTTCTTATCGTTCCAAAGCTGTTTGAATTTGATGACTTCCTAAAGTTTTAACGTTCTAAAGAACCTAGCATCCCGGCATCATTGTGAACCTTATCAAGCCCCATCGTCCCACTATTTATGGATGCACAGCCACATCTCCAAACAGATTGCTCTTGCCTTCTGGTAAATAGAACTTCTATTCCGGAGCCTTAAGCTATACCACCTAGTAGTTCATCGAATCTTTACTGCTGCCTAATCTCAGAACATCGACATTAAACGGCTCTGTTTTCGGTAGCTAGGGTTTCCAGTTTATTAACTGCGAAGATGTCTAACCCAGCTCAACGAATAGCGATAAAATTTGGCGCCTCGTCCTCGTCCTCGTCCAAGCCGACCAACGGATCAAAAAGACAGACTCGCGCGCAACCATCTTCGGCATTAGGTAAACGCCACCGGGCCCAACCACACAACCAGAATTTTGATTCACATTCTGATTCGGAAAGTGGCGAAGAAGCCGGTGCTAGACATGAGGCTATAACGACTTTTGGCGGAGAATCGTCTGATTCAGATAATTCCGAGGCTAAGAGACAGAGGGTAGGAACAGATAAGTCTAGGCGCGGCATCGTGCCCTATGTTATCTCTGGTCATCAAGATCGCGACTGGAAGAAGGAGTTAAAAGCTCGGACCCAGCCCCGGGGGGTGAAGGAAGCGCGATCTAGCGACCTCAAAGAGACAGTGCCAGCCGACCAAGACAGTCAGATTAAGTGGGGTCTGAATAATACGGCGAAGAAGCCAATATCTAGCGATGCCGAACAATTTGACGACAGTCATTTGAAACGGGAGAAATCTGCGTCATCTGAATCGCAGAAAACCTCTCGAGATGCGGGCCTCAATATTTCGCAGAGCGACGATAACGATGCCATGGATGCTCTTCTCGGGAAAAAGCGAAAGTCTGCCAAAGACCTTATCATCGAAGCACATAATACTCCCGAAGCCCCTTCCGAGATCGATGTATACCGTCGCCGAATGGAGGAGGCGGCAGAAGTGTCGACTGTCGAAGAGTATGGTCAGATACCTGAAGGGGAATTTGGAATTGCTATGCTTCGCGGCATGGGTTGGAATGGCGAACAGCGCGGCAACAAGCCCAAGGAAGTCAAGAAACGACCTAATTTGTTAGGTCTTGGCGCGAAGGTTGACGAAGAAATCAGGAAGGGGGAACTAGCTCAGAAACATGGGCATCGTGAACGAAAGCCCCGTCTAGATGAGTATAGGAGGGACAAGGAAAAGGAAAGACGAGACCGCGAATCGCGTCACGGTAACAGCTACAAGTCCGAGCGTGAGCGCGAACGACAAGATCGCGATTATAATACCAGTTCTAGTCGTCACGACCGAGACCGGACCAGTCACAGGTATTCCGACCGAGGCCCCAGGCGTTAATATCTTGATTTGTGTTCGATCAACTTTGATAGCTATATGCGCCATCTCGTTGCCGTCTTGCTACAACAAGCTATGTTGGCCATTTTGGGGCGAGTCATTGCGCAATTTAGAATCCACAACCTCCCGAGTTCTATGTGTTTGCTCAATTCGAGCCACACTGAATGAAATCAAGTAGAGCAGCATGGTTTACGGCTCTAGGGCTCGAGGTGGAATGTGTCAGGATAAAGCCCTCTCAGGAGTTCTTGCCTGCGTGGCCATTCGCATGTAAGTTACCTTGCTGGAGAATATGGATTGTAGCTATTATCAATGCAATGCCTTTAGTATCTGGTGTCAGAATTGATGCTAACCTTCGGTCATTAGACTTATTTAAACGAAGGAGTCATTAACAGTTTGTGACACGTTAATCTTGTCTAAATCCATATTTCCCAAGTGAGGCGTTAAGGATAGCTAACTACCAGTTTAGCCCAAGCCGCACTACGCCTAAAACGATGTTGTTCGTCTTCGATAATCTTGCGAGATATCTTCTATGTGGGCGGCCTTTGCGCTTCTGCGCTCTGTTACGGCTGAAATCTCGCTTGAAGTAGTTGTTTCAGCGAAAAGTAGTATCGGCGTCGCTCCCAACGCCTATGTCCATACCGCCAACGAAATTCCATACCTATCAACAGTTGAGGTCGGTATTGTGCAGCGGTATTCCACTATATCTCTCCACATGTACTTACCTGGGTAGTGTGCATGTGTACAGGTAGCTAGGACCTATCTGTCATTTTAATAAGCTACCTACCTATCTACCTCCCTAGTAGTCTCTAGAGCAACAAACATCGAAGCTCATATCTCGGGGTAATCATTGGAGGGAACTTGGTTATAATAATAACAATATTGTCCCCTTGGACTTTAGTCATATAGCTTCATCATTTCAAATTTTGTTGACAGATCTCGTTGATTAGGATGGTCTTCTTGCCAAGGCATTAGGTATATATGAGGTGGGTTATATTAACAATTTATCACCCGTTTCTGGGGTCTTTGCGTCGATATAGACAGTTAGAAGACATGGATCTTTGACTTGGTACTGTATCTGAGATGCTCTGAGATTTTCCGAGATGCTTTGAGATGTCATTATTAATGTTTCCTTTTTTAAAAAAGGGAAAACAAAAAATACCACCAAAAAATCAACTAAACTTCTCGTCCTCCGCGGACTCCGTATATGATTCTCTCTACAATACTAAGCACGTATACTACGTATGTCCCATATCCATAATCAAGTGAAGGGTTTACTCCTATTCGTCTCCCTCGGGATGTTAACACGTGCCGAATTGTAGGTATTTGTAGGTGCCTGAACGCTAGTGAGGTGGGGGTTTAGCTTTAGACCCACCGTGATTACGACGGAACGGCACATTCTAACCCCCTAGCTTAAGGGTCCCAGCCACTCATAGAAGCCAATTGAAAGAAAGTTTGGAGGGATTATCGAATTTGGAGAAGCAGAAGAGCGGCGGTCTGTGAAAGTGGGAAACTTTTGGAAACTTACCTAAAGGAACTTAACCCCCTCGAGGGCAAGACGAATCAACTATCTTCGTCCTTTTTCCCACAAATTCTTCTCCTAACACTATCTTTCACGAGACAAAGAGAAGTTTGCTGCAAAGTCTGTTTTATCAGAGCTTTGCAAGAAACTTCACTATGTCGAAGCCTCATAGTGTTAACGGGAGCGAGTCCGAGTTCGAATTCATCGAAACTCCTAAAGCTCCGACTCCCACATTCGAGAAGTTTGAGGAGTGCGGTGTACGAACTACTTCGGTAAGTTGAGCCACCGCCTTCGTCTACCATTCGATTCCTCTGCTCTGCTCTTCTCTGCTCTACCCAGCTTCGATTTAATTTGCTTCTAAAAAGACTTTACAGCTAACACTTCCTTTCTAGTACCCTTCTATCAAGAATGCCCCTCTCCCCGCGGATGCCGCTGGAGGCGAAACCTTCTCCAATGTCCTTCTCTTCTCCCTAATGGGCGGTGTCCCGCTTTACCTCTCATGGAAAGTCGGCGGCGGTTTGAAGACCACGATATTCTTCGCGCTGTTCACGAGTATTCCCATCTTGGCTGGTTTCTGGCTTACTGTCTCCGCTATAAGCCCCCGAAAGAACGAGAAGGCCAAATATCCCGGAAGACCGGTCGAGCACTACCTTACTTTCAAGAGGCAATCTGACAAGACCAAGTATCACGGAAGAAACAAGATTCCCATGGAAACCTTTTATGAGATGTACTTCGACGGAGACGTCGACTTCAATGGTGATTGCCTTGAAGTTTTGGAGTACAGGCACGACTGGGCCAGCTTCCGTTTCACTTGGGGCCTTTGCAAATACTTTCTCTTCGGCATGATGCCCGAGGTTATCATGCACTCGCGAAGCCAGGGTAAGATATTATATAAGCCGATAATTATTGTGGTGAATTGCTTGACTAACATGATGAAGATGAGGAACAAGTCCGTGACCACTACGACCGTGGTGATGATTTCTACGGCTGGTTCTTGGGTCCCCGCATGATCTACACTTCTGGCGTCATTTCAGACATCAACACGGAGGAGAGTCTAGAACAGCTTCAGGACAACAAGCTCGCGATTGTTTGCGAAAAGATTGATCTACAGGAAGGCGAAAAGATGCTCGACATTGGCTGCGGCTGGGGCACTCTAGCACGATTTGCCAGTGTTAACTACGGCGCCCGCGTCACTGGTATCACTCTTGGTCGCAACCAGACTGCCTGGGGCAACAAGGCTCTACGCAATGTCAATATCCCCGAAGAGCAAAGCAAGATTCTCTGCATGGATTACCGTGATATTCCCGTACCGGAGGGTGGATATAAAAAGATCACCTGTCTCGAGATGGCTGAGCACGTCGGTGTGCGTAAGTATGGCACTTTCTTGAAGCAGGTCTACGATATGCTCGATGACGATGGTATATTCTTCCTACAGATCGCCGGTCTTCGAAAGCCGTGGCAGTACGAGGATCTTATCTGGGGTCTTTTCATGAACAAATATGTCTTCCCTGGCGCTGACGCATCGACTCCGCTGGACTTTTTCGTCAGTGGACTCGAGGGTGCCGGATTTGAAGTTAAGGGTGTGGATACGATCGGTGTGCATTATTCAGCAACTCTATGGCGCTGGTATAGAAACTGGTTGGCCAACCGAGAGAAAGTCGTGGCCAAGTACGGAAAGCGGTGGTTCCGCGTAAGTCCTCACATATGATTTAATGAGATTTGTGGATCAGACTACTAACGAAACACATCAGATCTGGGAATACTTCCTTGCCGCTTCTACCATCGCTTCTCGACAGGGAACTGCTACTTGCTATCAGATCGTCTTGGTCAAGAACATTAACTCGACCCACCGTATCGAGGGCATCGCAACTCAGTATGCCTTATCTGGGGCCCTTAACACAGCTGCTCATAAGATAGACTTCAAGGCATGGGCTAAGAAGAATGCCGACCAGTTCCCTACCTCGACAGTCCAGTAAGGCATAGGAAACTCGATTATAGGGGTCTACGATTAGATAAATGAGCCAACCGCCCACAAAGACACTACTGCTAAAGTTTTTGTCCTTCCGGGTGGATCTCAGTCAGATACCTTGACCATGCCTTATGAGGAGGTTGATAACTACATGAGTGGTTGTCTGGCTAGGTGGATGAGAGGAGTGGTGTGCGGATGTTAATTTCGTGTAATGGAGGGTGGAAGGGTGGGAAAATGTAATGGTTGTGAAGACGACAAGTATAAAGTGAATAGATGCATTATCGATTTGAAAATGTATGAACATCCATTTCATCTAGATTGGACATACTTGATTGTTAATTGATCATTATGCACTCATGATCCGACAATGTGTATGTACTTTGTACGTACTTATGGATTATAACGTATGTGAGCTACCCAGTACATAGTGCCAACTGGGTAGTATCGTGTGTGATGAATATACGGAGAATTTGGAAAGTTGACACAATTATAGCAGTAAATCATAGTGGGATCTGGATGGGTAATGCACGTCAGCACGTGAGGCAGCCACTGAGTTTCTAATTGTTCTCAATATCTCCCCCTGTATCCCCCTAAAATTGGTCTGTGCAATTTGATCAATATGTACATCAATATGTACACACTCAAAAACCCCCCCAGTTAACGTAAATCAGGACCTCGGACCTTCCTTTTAGTGGCCAGTTAGCCAGTGTAAGGAAAGTGGCAGGGTACAGGGTTTAGGTACACAGATACCTATTTTTTTCTTGACCAAATTATGCCAAGCCACTCCTTATCCTAATCCTATTCGGTTTCCATTTCAAGTTCCATTTGATTTCTAGAGCAGAGCAGCTTCGTCATCTACAACACAACCACAACACTTTCTCATTCTTTCTTGACATAATCATCAAGGAGCTTTGCTCGGTCCTTTGGGGCCTCCTTATCCAGTCTCTACTACTCTTAGCAAGTTCCTTTGTTGATTCGAATAAGAATATTCTCCTTTTTCTCACCATGTATTCTAATTCCAATTCGTTCATGGGCGGCAACAACTTGCGGCCAGGTCAGCAGCAGTATGGCAACACATACGGCATGGGAGCTGGTGGTCCAGGGCAACAGTCTCAACAACCACCGGGACAGCAGCCAAGTCCATTCGCACCGCAACCGACCGGCTACGGGCAGGCTCCCCTAACTCAGCAGTATACCGGCTATCCTGGCTCCCAAACCCCTCAAGGCTTACAGCCGCAACTTACAGGAATGCCTCAACAATCCGCCCTTGTTGTGAATCTTCAAACACCTCAGTTGACGGGGTACGCAGGTCAGGCTGCTGCTCAGCAGGGGTTCCAACCAAGCGTTCCGCCGGTGCCACAGATTCCTTCGCAATTCCAAAGCCAATTTAACCAGCAGCAACAGCAGCAAGCCCAGCCGAACTCGTTTTCCTTACCTACCACCCAAGTTCCCCCCCAAGCGCAAGCGCCTACACTCGCACCAGCGATAAATCCCCAGCCAACGGGATTCAGCGCCATGGCTGCTTCCTTCAAGACCGGCGGCGCGTCCGATTCCCAGCCTAAGGGCCGAAGAGCCCCGAAGACTACAAACAAAATCCCGAACATCCGATTGTCGTTTATAACTGCTCAGGATCAAGCCAAGTTCGAGACCTTATTCACGTCAGCCGTGGGTGACGGCCAAAATACCATGTCCGGGGAGAAGGCTCGGGACTTGTTATTGAGGTCAAGATTAGATGGAGATTCTCTATCGCATATCTGGTACAGTATCTTGCCATCCCGTCCATAGATGACTATCTAATCTTACCTTGAAATAGGACGCTCGCAGATACTACTCGATCAGGCGAGCTTCACTTTCCGGAGTTTGCGTTAGCTATGTACCTCTGCAACTTGAAGCTCGTAGGCAAAACTCTCCCAGGGAACTTGCCAGAAAATATCAAGAACGAAGTATCGAGCATGGTCGATATTATCAACTTCAGCATCGCAGACGATGCGGCTAGTTCGGGGGCTGCAGCAAATGCTCCCGACTTCACTAGACAAAACACTTCTACTCCGCCGACAATACAACATCCTCAGCCCATACCATCGAACTCACAGTTACTACAAGCCCAGGTAACTGGCTTTCCAAGTCAACCCACAGGATTCCCAGGCCAGGCAATGCAACCTCAGCCAACTGGATTCCTCGGAGGGTTAAACAACCCACAGCCCACAGGATACAACGGACCTAGACCACCTATGCCACCGATGCCTACGGGCTTCCCTGGTGGCTTGTCTCCCGCGGGTATAGCTCCTCTAAATGCGCAGCCCACTGGGCAGCCCGGACAATGGGGCCTGGTCAATGCTCCGGCATCTGGTCTTCCTAATATCGACGCATTGCAAGCCCGAATGATGCCGCAAGCGGGTCGTGAACAGCAGAATTATACCACCGCAGGCTTATCTGGTAACGCTGTGATTCCTTGGGCTATTACTAAGGACGAGAAAACTCGTTACGATCAATTATTCCGCGCGTGGGATGGTCTAGGTAAGGGTTTCATTGGAGGTGACCAAGCGATTGAAATATTCGGCCAGAGCGGTCTCGAGAAGACCGATCTTGAGCGCATTTGGACCCTTGCAGATAACGGAAACAAGGGCAAGCTTAACCTCGACGAGTTTGCTGTTGCTATGCATTTGATATACAGAAAACTTAACGGTTATCCCGTGCCTAATGTCTTGCCTCCCGAGCTTGTGCCACCTTCTACGCGCAATTTCACAGAGTCACTTGGCACCATTAAGTCTTTATTGAACAAGGAGTCTGACTTCCGCAAGACATCGGGAGCAGCCTTGCTCCCTCAGAAGACAGGAGTCAGCTACCTAAAGAGTCATTCATTCAAGGGAACCGCTGGTGGATTCGGTGGTGGGCGAAAGGACGCGACTGTATTCAAGAATAACGATGATGATGTTGGATATAGATCAAGCGCGCGGCGTAGGATCGGCAACTCCTCACCCCGACCCGAGTCACCTTCGTCTGTGGCATCTAACGAGGAGTTGTCCATCGATCAATTAAAGAAGAAGATTCGAGAGAAACAAGTTCTCCTAGATGCTATGGACTTCAAGGATGAGGCAGCTGCTGAAGAGGATGATATCCTCGATAGGCGTGATCGACGTGAGGCCGAGGAATTGTATCGTCGCATTCGACGGATCCAGGAGGATATTGACAACCATCCCGATGCGGCCTTGGCGAGCGGCGATTCCGAAGCTGAAAGGAGAGCATTGAAGCGCCAACTACAGAATCTCACTGACAAGATCCCAGAACTGGCTTCCCAGGTTCGGAAGACGGAGAAAGCTATTGCTGATGCAAAGCTTGAGCTTTTCCGACTTAGAGACGCGAAGGCTCATCCCGGAAGTGCCTCTAATATCATTGGTACTGGGCCAGGTGGATCAATAACCGAGTCGGACCGTCTTAAGGCCAGGGCCAAGGCTATGATGCAGCAGAGGACTGCTGCACTTACTGGTAAGAAGGTGGATGTCGGTGGCGACGACGGTGATGCGCAGAAGAGGTTAGAAGAAGAGAACCTCAAGGTCAGAACGGAGAAAGAGAACAATGAGCGCATGGTCCGGGATGTCGAGGATAGCGTACGCGAATTTTCGCGAGGTATCGAAGATAGTCTTAAAGAAGGCGGTCAAAGTTCAGCCAACGAACACGAGAAACGGAGGTGGGATGATGCTCTCGGAGTCGAAGATGAGGTTCGGGATTTCATCTTTGATTTGCAACGTTCGAGCCGAGCAGCTCGAATTAGAGCCCAAGATCGCAAGGGCGGGCGAGCCCCAACAGCCGAAGCTGTCAAAGCAGAGGCGCCACCAGCCCGGTTTGACAGTCCCGCGTCGGCGACTCGTACTGCCACACCTTCCACCACCCAATCCCCTGCTCCTAGTGGTGGTTCGTATTCGTCATACAAGACTCCAGAAGAAAGAGCCGCGTTTATCAAACAACAGGCAGAACAACGTATGGCCGAGCGACTTGCAGCACTCGGTATTAAGGCACCTTCGAAACCTGGAGAAACTGCCGCTCAGCGAATAGAGCGCGAAAGAGCAGAACGGGCTGCTAAGCTCCGCCAGGCGGAAGAGGAAGATGCGCGACGCGAAGCCGAGCGGCAGGCTAGAATCGCCGAGGAGCAGGGCGTACCTCCCCCTGCGCCTAAGGTGGAAGCCAAGAAACCTCCACCACCGCCTTCGAGGAAAGGGGGTAGAAATGAAGACGCTGCACGGAAAGTTGAAGAGGAAGAGGCTAGTAGAAAAGCTGAGGAAGAACGTCTCGCTAGAGAGCATGAAGAACAACAGCGAGCCACTCAGAAAATGGAGTATGTGCATAGTGCCATTTTAACCTTGTTCATCCATACTAATTTTAAACTAGGGACGAGGCTAGACGACAAGAAGAAGAGGTCTTCAAGGAACGCGACGCTGCTTCCGCCCGTCTCAAGGCTCTAGAAGAGCAGGTACGCCAGGGCAAGCTCAAGAAAGAGGAAGAAAAGAAGAGGAAGAAGGCCGCTGTGGCCGAAGCAAGAGAGAAGGAGGCAAAGTTGGCCGCCCAGCGTGCCGAGATCGAAGCCGCCCGCCAACGGGAACTCGAACTACAGCGACAGCTCGCAGCGATGGAGGAGGAAGAGTCATCGTCAGACGATGATGAAGGCCCACAGCAGATCACCCCTCAAGCATCTACTCCTACGCTTGGTAGTAGTCAGCTCGGCAGCCAGGAGCTGGAACGTAAGGCCACCCCTCCTCCCGCTCCTACTGCGCCTGTGATGTCGCCCCCTTCAGTCGTCACTAGCCCGCCATCCGAATCCGAGAGCCGCAATCCTTACCGCCGGATGCTATCGCAATCCTCGGAGTCTCCAGCAGCGGTCCCCGCCGTGGCGCCTGCTGCTCCCGCCCCCGCTCCTCCTCCACCACCACCCCCATCTCAACCTGAAGTTTCCACCAATAACCCGTTCTTCCGCATAACCCAAGAGGCTAAGGTGCCAGCACCATCTCGGAAGAGACCTGACACGGATGACGAATGGGGTTCTGGAAGTGAAGAAGATGACGAAGACTCGGATGACGAGCGCCCCGCTGCTGGCGCCGCCCAGTTAGCATCGCTCCTGTTCGGTTCCATGGGACCTCCTCGACCACTATCCGCTACGGGCGATAAGTCCGCCGGTGCTTCGCCGGCTGTAGCCTCGCCACCGTTTAGCCCACCTCCTATTACGGAAGCTGCACCCCCTCCACCACCTCCACCAATGCCCGAGGCAAGCCTTGGAGCACCACCACCGCCTCCCCCCATGCCTGATTTCGGGGCTCCCGCGGCAGCTCCGCCTCCGCCGCCCCCAATTCCTGGCCTAGCCCCCCCGCCTCCGCCTCCGCCACCAGCCGCAGGTGATTTACCGGGCGCCTCTTCGGGCAGTGGTAGACCTGCGGCATTCTTAAATGAGATCCAGCTGGGCAGATCGTTGAAAAAGACGCAAACGAAGGATAGGAGCGGCGCGGGCGTGGCAGGTAGAGTTTTGGATTAAGGCGATAATAGTGCATATCTTATTGAAAGAGGTTACACGGCTCCGTCGGGGGTCTTGGATGGGTCAGATTGTATGATTGAGTGTTGTCTTACGTGTACGGCGTGTTCCGCTAGTTTCCTGGCTTGGCTTATGGCAAGTAGATTTGCTAGCGGGTTACGTTAGAAACATTGTTTTCCTCATATGACAAGTAATACTATTATTACTTATACTCTTGTATCTAATGTATTTCGTTATTGGGAACGATTGTGTTTGCTCTACTAATGATTTGCTTGTTACTATGTTCGAATATGACCTCGGTAAATGTGACGGACGTCAGTCAACTAGCTTCATCATCGATTCTTCTAACTTGAATCCTGATTCGCCTACGTTCGCCAAGCCAGACATACGGAGTTAAGCAAGTCTGAACAACTTTAATGACCTAACCCCTATTATCTCCTAAAGTCTAAGTAGACTTCACATACTCATCCCTAAGTCTATTACTAATTAGAATTTGAAGATTATCGTCCAGTCAAATCTTGATTGGTTCTTACGCCTATTTACTAGGTAGGTATGTAGTAGTAGGGTGGGAAATGTGAATCTGCCCAGGGTTCTCTAGGATCCAGTGTTCATTTGTCATCATACTTCTCTAGTGTATTCCTTTGACATTTATAAAGGGGCAACACATAGCCCACCCAAAGCCGTCGTAAACGAAGTGCAAAATCTACCTACCTACCTACCTACCTACCTACCTACCTAATAGCGAGATTAAATCATCCCACATTCCCCAAAATGCCTATCCCCCCATCCATCCTCATCCTCGGCGCCGGCGAGCTCGGGACATCCGTCCTCGAAGCCCTCTCCCGGCATCCCAAACACAGCTCCACCAAACTCTCCATCCTCCTCAGAAAATCCACGATCGAAACCCAGGACCCCAGTAAAAGGAAGCAGAACACGTACCTGCGATCCCTAAACGCCTCCCTCGAGCCCGGCGACCTGGCCAGCGACTCCATCGCCGAACTCGCGGCCGTGTTTAAACGCTTCCACACCGTCGTCTCCTGCTCCGGTTTCGGCCTTCCCCCCGGAACGCAGACGAAAATCACACGTGCGGCGCTCGCGGCCGGGGTGGCGAGGTATGTTCCCTGGCAATGGGGCATCGACTACGACGTCGTGGGCCAGGGCAGCGCGCAGGATCTGTTCGACGAGCAGCTAAGCGTTCGGGCTTTGCTTCGAGCGCAGGATGCGGTGGGGTGGAGTATTGTGTCGACGGGACTTTTTATGAGTTTTCTGTTCAAACCGGAATTTGGGGTTGTGGATTTGGAGGGGAGGAAGGTGAGGGCGTTGGGGGGTTGGGAGGGGAGGTTGTCGGTTACGACGGCGGGGGATATTGGGAGGGTTGCGGCGGAGATGTTGTTGGATCCGCGGGAGGGAGAGGAGGGTGTTGTTTATGTGGCCGGGGATACGGTGTCGTATAGTCGGATTAAAGAGCTGGTGAAGGAGAGGTTTGGAGGGGAGTGGGTGGAGGAGGTATGGGATGAGGAGTTTTTGAAAGGGGAGCTGCGGAAGAGGCCGGATGATGGGATGCTTAAGTACACGAACGTGTGGGCGGTGGGGAAGGGCGTCGCGTGGGATATGGGTAGTACGGTTAATAGGAGGCGCGGAATCGAGTTGCAGAACTTGGAGAGCTACTTAAGGGATATGCCGGATCTGTAGATAAGTTGCTATAGGGATTGGTACCTACAATTTAGTAAAGAGAATTCTTATAAAGAGAGCGGCTACTATAGTTTCTTCCAATGAAGGCTTTCGATCACAATCGTCGAAGGTCCTGTTGCCAGCCACAGCGGGAAAATACGGTGTAATATTGGAAGCCACACGGCAAGCCGCATTATAGAGAGCGGATAAGTCAAAGAGGGGGGTATTCGAGTAGGGGGGGTATTCGACACCCCCACTTTTGTGGTGAGACCTCAACCAATGAGAAGTGGATTCACCCAAACGGGCCACTTTATTCGACGTACCTTTTTCTTTTTTTCTTTCAAGAACCTTAAACCAATCAGAAGGCTCAATACTATACGCTATGCCGTATGAAGCTAAAAAAGATAATAGCCAATTAGCTTTAATTATATTATACCAATCGGGAATTGTGGATTTTTAGACCTTTATCGCAATTGGCCCTTGCATCTGACCATTTTCATTTAGCGCAAGCTTTTAGCCAATAGATCGTCATGGAATTATTCGGCCGCGCTTTATTATTTTAGCCCTAAAACACACGCTATTCCCCGCCCAATAGAGCTCGTTGATTGGTTCGCCACTCCCAAAGTATCACGTGACGTTATCGGGACTGCAAAAAACCTTTGTCCGGGTTGACGTACTCGCAAGTCAATTGGTCAGGTCCGAGTCAAAATGTGCTAAACCCAAGAAGATTAGCGGTTACCGAAATAGAGATTGAGGATATTGTGCGCGCTAGACAAGAAGGGGAAAGTGCACTAATCCTAGCTGGGTCTAGTAGTAGGACCTCATTGGTCACTATTAGGAAGCTATACCTAGAATAGTAGTTAAAGCTTCATGAACCAATAATGAAAAGCTGAGAATTTATCTTTCAGTTCCCAATGTACCGCGCTATACCATATATGATTAGGGTCTCACCACAAAAAGTGGGGGTGTCGAATACCCCCCCTACTCGAATACCCCCCTCTTTGACTTAACGAATTCTCACCTACGTACATGGCGTAAATTTTACTGTCGATCCGAGGTACCTAGTAAGTACTTGTAGGTGTCTGGTCTACCAGCCTTCAAAGTCCCGTGGAGAGAAATTCTGTTCAAGGTTGCTACTTGATTCTAGGGACTTAGTCATCGAGCACGCTGGGTTTATTTTTGGCTATTGGGGAGTGTCATGTTTGGCTAAGAGGGTTTTCATGACACAGCTTGGCAATACGGCATATCGACGCACCGTGACTGAGCCGATCTAATATTGCTACTAATACTTATTTCGTTATTATAATAAATACTAGGTAGTAGGTTGATTTTCGTTTCTACCAACTTGTGACTTAAGACAGTGAAATATACGCGTACGTATGTGCCGTAGTCTAGTAAAGTCTTGGCCTTGTCGGGCTATCACGAAGCTTTTCGGTTATTTCTCTAAAAAGCTTGTAATTGGCTTTTCCGATTCGATAGTGCTGTTCGGGTCGAAACAGTTACCTAGGCACCTGCTAGGATAAATATTTTTAATGTTGTTTCTTTTCACTCTCAGACGCGGCATGGGAGTATTGCTCGTGGGGCTTGCGACAAACTGTAGGAGATCCCACGGCTTGGCCCGATCTGAGGCCCTTGGCGACGAAGCTTGGCAGATTTAGCAGTCGCACTTCATTGATAGTCAAGGGTATTCAACTTGCCCCGGACTAGAAGCTTGTATCAACTTGTCAGTGCGTTTGAGAGTTCGTCAAAGATGGGATCTGGGGAACGTACATAATAAGAATGTTGGCATCTCCACGATCTTCGATCTCTCTTCTCTTCTCTTGTTCTGTCAGCCGGCTCTCTTCATCCCAACTTACCTTCTCTTGTATCATTTTTAGTTGTCTTTCCAGAGAAGTGCACAGGTGCACCATATTACTTTCTCCATTATCGTCAGATCTGGTCATTTTTCTTCTCAGTAACATAATAACCAACTCGCCTTTTCGCATATTCCTTCTCCAATAAAACAAAATGAAGGCTACATTCGCTGTCGTACTTGCCACCCTAGCGGCCTTCGCTGCCGCTGCCCCGTTAAACATCAACCTTGGAGCTTATTCGCCTGCCTTGGTGGTCGGTGATGGTGCTATCGGATTCAACGGTGCCGAAGGAGAAGCCGCCAGGAATGGTGCCGCAGTCGCTGAAGGCCAGGCAATAGCATCGAAATAAACACCAGAACGATTACTGGACATTACTGAGCTCCGAAGTAGGTAGGCGATCGCCTAAAGTATAGACATATTCATGAACTAACATCTTACCACAGTTTGATACCCCTGTTATAACTTATAACAGATGGCGTATCATGAATTTGATGATGCGCCAAAACATTCGGGGCTTTAGTATCACCATCGATATCTATAATAAAGTACTTATTGTCTAGGTTGTTAGGTGAAGAACCTAGGCAACTACTGTGGAGTCCGGCGTGATGGAATGGGATATCTTCAATATTAGAGTAACCCGGGCATTGTGATGGGATAATCTGAGATACGATGGCTTGGGAGTCAGGGATGAGAAGCTTGTTACGTAGAAGACACGATGCCAAGTGATGCCGAGAGAAAATAATAGGAAAAAGACGTTTCAGCACCACAATTCCGTCTCGGCTTGTTTCTCATCTTTGTAAATGAACAAGTGAAGAATATTCTAAGTGGATCGTTTCAGCGTTATCAGATTTCAGTTTGAACGCCACAGCGCCCTAGCCACGGTGTCTGTGGTCCGTGCTATATCTGTTCAATTGGTGGGGTGAGATTTAATTGGTTGAAAACCAACGTGGTTGGGGAAGTACAAACAAACTATATTAACCAAGATTTCTATTTCTAGTCTGAGTTTAATACTGTGATAACTAAAATAGGTTACATGCAACTTGGAAGCAGCACAATCCGTTAAGGTATTGCTTATATTTCAAGTGATGAAGAATCTAAGGGGATACATGCTCTTCGCTTTCGGTGTGGATAGCATCATCCGCTTTTGAAGTTGTGGGATGCACAAGGACACCGGTCTCAGGATCAACAACGTGTTCGCCTCTTCTTGCAGCCTTCACAAGGTCTGGCTGCTGTTCCTTGAGTTCCGCAAACTTCTTCTCCGCATCCCAGACCCAGGGAGTGGGCGCAGCGAACAAGAGATCCATCTCTTCGAGTGTCCGCTGGTTACTTTCGGGGTAGAGAGCCCAGACGATTGGGATAGCTAATATGTTGCATGCGCCAAAGATGTGTAGCGTCGTGGAACCGATAGCTATAACGATTTAGTCACCAATAAAAATATGAAAAATATATAAAAAGGGGGAAATGTTTAAGATCAACTTACTGGAAAACATGACGGGGCAAAGCAACGTTAGCCAACCGTTTCCAATAGACCAACCAACGACGCCCCAAGCATTTCCCTTTGCTCGTACTTGAAGAGGGAATATCTCAGCGGGATATAGCCAAGGTACCGTCAACCACGTAGCACCAAAGACGGATGTGAAAATGAAGATGAAAGACGCCGCAGCGGCTCCGTAAGACTGGGCCTTACCAATCTCCCCTCTTGCTGTCGCATCTTGGCCTAGCTTGGAGAAGGCGCCGGCGAGGAACATGGCAATTCCTTGGCCAACTGCGCCCCAATACAGTGTCCACCTACGGCCGATGCGATCCAATGTAAAAACACAGATAAGCGTGGCGAACATGTAGAAGATGTTGTTAAGACCACTAATCCATTGGCTCTTAAACGTATCGAAGCCAGCTATACGGAAGATGGTAGGGGCGAACACAGTAATTCCGGCGATGCCAACCCATTCTTGAATGACTTGAAGCCAGATAACAAGTTGGACACGACGCCCAGTGTGTAGATCTCCTGAGCCGATGCCAAATAGCATATGCAAATACGAATTCTTCTTGGACTCTTTAGACTCAAGCGCAACGATGTTGTTAATGTCGTTCAATTCCAGCTCTGCCCTCTCACGATCTTCTTGGGAAGATCCTCGCAGACGATAAAGGATAAATCGAGCCTCCTCGACACGGCCAACCTTGGCAAGCCATCTCGGCGATTCGGGGAAGAACCATACCGATCCCAGGAGCACAAGAAGGGGAATGATCTGGAACGCAATAGGGAATCGCCACCGGATTTCCGAATTACCGTTGTCGATAAACGACAAACCAAACTCGAGCCAATAAGCGACAACGACGCCAAAAATGTTCAGAGTAAACTCGATGGCTATGAACTGGCCTCTTGAAGTGTGTTCCGCCGTCTCAGTTGCCCTGAAGAGTATTGTGTTAATTTTTATTTTATTTTATTTTTTATTGGGAATATGAGTGACAAAAAAAGACTCACCAGACTGGAACAATGGCGTTAAGTATACCAGTTCCAATTCCGTTAACAGCACGAGCGCAGATCATCCACTTGTGATTCTGGGCTGAGCATTGCAAGGCGGCACCTACAATAGCCCAGGCAGCTCCTAAAGCGATTGTCTTGATTCTGCCAGCTTTGTCGCCAACCCATCCTCCACCTAGACAACCGAATAAGGTGCCTAGATAATAAACCGAGACGATTCCACCCTGAAGCAGACTGTCCGTGATGATGGGTTCTTCTGATACCGGGTCGACGTGACCAAAGCCCATAAGATCGATATAATCCTTGGCGTTGTTTACACCGCCCATCATACCTTGGTCATATCCAAAGAAGAAAATGGACTGTGGCGGATGACGGGTTAGCCTATTGGGGACCCGAAAGGAGATATTTCGCTGTTTCGCGAGAAAAAGCAAAGCCAGTACGTACCAGCGCCGCGATACAATTGATCGCAATGAGTAGCTGGCGTTTCTCTAAGAAGTTGGCTACATTCAAGCCCGGTAGCCTCTCCATCTTGTCTCTCCTTGCTTATAGCAACGTGAGATCGATTTGTCAACACCGCTGAGACATATACATTCATATAAACACATTCGTATATGAGTTTCACTTTTCCCTTCCGTGAAAGAATTTGTCAATGGTGTGAGAGGTTTTCTAAACGCCTCGAAGACAAACGGGAGAGGGGGTGATCTACAAGATATATACCTAATAAAAATTCCTATATGTAGGGGAAAAAAGAAAGTCATCTAACGTAATACCCGTTACGGCTTAGGGTCGCGTCACAACATGACCTTTGCGTCGGAGCCAATGAGCCAATAACTTGGAGGAAACTGATCACAAGTCCCGGTCCTCGCCATGTCTCGTACCCGATATCAGACCGAGGTGGCTAACCCAGCAGCTCTGGGTAGAAAGATGACAAAGAACCAGGAATCTGGGGAGGGCAGGAAGTGCAAGGGGTGGGATTGGGATCCATGGACCAAATACGGTACCGAAGAAATAATTCGAAGTTGTTTCTTCATCTTCTTTTCTTTTACTCTTGAAGCCTAACCCCGCTGCCCCGAATCTCCAAATATGCAAGCATGGTGGTTCCGAACAAAGGCAAGGGGGTGGGATGGGGAAGCCGAAGGGATGCGTCATCTCCTCTCTCTCTCCTCACTCCTCTCCCCATGGAGCCCCCACAAAGCAACATTCCGCTGGGTTGGAAGGGGTAAGATGGGGGATCAGATCACCACGCGAGAAAGAAAACCCACCCCAAGCAGGGATTCTTTCTTGTTAAGCTTCGAGAGCCTCTCCGATCAAGAGCCGGCCAAGCTTTGCTTAGTATTGTTCTAAGCCTCGTCTCATTCGATTTTGGGTTTAAAGACAGCTGATGCTTTAGCTATTATATATTTAGTTAGTAGAACTTTCTTTTCTAGGAAAAACGTGCTACATAACGATAAGACCTCGGCAGACAGGCGATGCTAGTCACTAATTGTATTCTATGCGCTCCAATCAGCACTCGTTGGTTCAGGTTAGCGGCGGAAGTGTACCCAGGTAGCCTGTATTACAAGGGTGTCTCACTTACCGTGACTTACCTGCCGTAGCGGTACCTACCACCTCGCTTATAAGCTTTGGGAACTTGGGAAGATAGGGCGATCTTACCGAATTTTGCGGCTGAAGGAAGGCGCTAACTAAACGTCGTTCGGCCGATGATCGAGCGATATTTAGTTTGACTATCTTGATTTATAGTTCAAATGGTGGTTAATACCAATTCCAACTTAAAACATCATCGTCGTGGATATTCACAAGTACACTGAACACTGAACGACGGGAACGAGCATCGTCTTCGGGTGGGCAAACTTGACCCCATGCCACACTGTCACATACGAGCAAACATTCCTCTCCGGAAGGGGAAATTGAAGTTAAATTGTACCCCAATACACGCTCTAACCCCTAACCATACCTAGGTAGGTAGATAACCCAATCGCTACTATGCGAGACTCCATCCCATCACGCTTCGGGCTGTCTATACCAATAAAAGAAAGCATCATCAAGACACTGCCCCACCGTAACCCCCTTATACCCCCTCACCTCCATCGACTCCAGCACAGCCGGAAGCAGCTTCATCGCAGTCCACTGCCTCGTGTCCTGCATCCTCACGATATACGACCCGTTACCATCGAACCTAATCGCATTATTAAAGATCTCAACCGACTTCTGGATCGTATTCTCCCCATCGTTCTCGTAATCCCGCGTATCGATATCATGCAGAATAATATGATACCCCAGCCCATCCAATTGCTCGCGCACAGCTGGATCGCGCCACACATCGAACGGCGGTCGCATGTACGCGGGGATCAACCCGATCGCGTTCCGGAACGCCATCTCGTTATACACCATCTCCTCCGCGACGCCCTGCGAACTGATCCCGTCTAGCCGTGCGCGCGTGTACGTGTGCGAAGCGAACTGGTGGCCCGTCTCGTGGATCCGGCTCAGCAGCGCCGGCCACCCGGTCTCCTCGTCGTCGATATGCGTGTGTCGCGCCGCGGGCGCCACGCTTGTGTTCGTGCCTGTCATGAAGAACGTGCCCTTGAAATCGTAGTGGTCCAGCAGGTCTAAGATATCCTGCGTGTATTGCGACGGCCCGTCTTCGAATGTCAGCGCGATCTGTCCCGGGTTCCGGCACGTGAAGATCGGGACGCCGTATTCGAGGTCCCCGACGTGGCCGCGCGGGAGGTCGAAGAGGGGCATCCCGCTTGGCGTTGGGATCGCCGGTGCGTGTGCGGATTCAGTTGGGGTTCTAGGTAGGTAGGTTGTTAGTCGTTTCGTGATGTGTTTGCTTGCAGGAGAGATGAAAACTTACGTGCGTTGGTATAAGAGAGCCGTCGCGTTATTTTCTTTGTGTAGCTCACCCGCAAATGATTCCTTAGCAATGTTGACAAGGGCGTACCAACATAGGAGCCCTATGAATAGGTAGAATACGAATGGCAAAAATTGGGAACTGTCCCATTCCGGGGGTTGCCGTTCAACTAGCCGTTCAACTGGCCTTCTAGACCGATGTCTAGTCGTGGAAACAAATATAGCCATTGTAAATTGCTTTAAATTGTGTTGGATTGTTGTGGATATTGGGAGTTTTGAATATGTTGTTTGCTTAATAGGTAGGTAGGTAAGTGAATGAGAGTGATAAAAGACGGCGAGTGCTAATATATGTAGTAGCGTATGAGAGTAGTCTCCGAAGGAAAGCTTCTCTGATGTCGACAGTAAGGTTTTGGATTGCGGGTGGCTTGTGAGTTAACCGCCATGGCTTCAATATTATGTGAACCTTGGAAATATACTCCCACAATTAGAGCTTCCTGAAACCTACAAGCTAGGAATTATCTGACAATAGCTGTGGCTTTTACCTTTGGCCCCTTTACTTGAGTGCCACTGCTCATAAGACATCATCATTAAGAGGATGATATCACATGCCCGATACATAAACACACGACTGAACTAAATAAGATAGTCGCTATCATAGCGATAGTATTTATATTAACATTAATCTTTCCTTAGGCCACTACAACGAGGCATCATATCTACACCCATCAACTAGATATATGGTGTATGGTATATACAATAATAAACTATAATTAGAGCAACGATTGGTACGCTGGAGTATATTCCAACTAACGGCCCTACTAAATGGCCAACCAACGCAAGGAAATATCCAAAAGAAAAGTAAACTTTTTTTAACTTTAGCCTTCATAATCTCTTCATTCTGTGCATCATGAAATCTTACTCTTCTAGCTTCCCGTACGCGCAGCGCCAAAATGTAGTCCAAAGCTTGCAGTCGCAAACATAAGACATTGAGACATAAGAAAAGGAAGGGAAGCGAAAGATGGTGGCTCTAGAAACTAAGCCTGTCGACGAACTTTTCCAACTTTTTGATTAAATTACCACCGTTCATAAATCATTTTTGATGTGATTTCGTTACGTTGCTGCTTTTTCGATGTCGTGAAGGACATGGGGAGGCATGTGAGTGGGTGCGGGACGTGTTAAGTAGTAATTGGCAGTCCTGCTGTCGGTGATAAATGTGCCCGGAACCTGAAGATGGGTAGGTTTAGGCTCCGGTTCCGTGGTCCCGGTAGGAGGAGTAGGCGGCTGTAGATTATAACTAGGGTTTCTGCTCGTAAGCCTGCTCGGATCCGGAGTCGGCACCGTGAACGGCGTTCGGTAAACTGCAGGATCCAGTTGATTCTCTACGTCAGGAACCAGGGTGCCGACGATCTTCTCATCGTTATTAAGCGCGTCCTCGAATCGGTCGAGCTGTGCCTGCCAGTCAGGTTCCTCAGCTTCACCCGTCTCGGTCTCCTCGATAACCTTGCGCGTCTTTCCCCAACCGAAGTTGTCCATGTAAATGCACGCGTAGATGGTCACACAGATGTTGATGAAAGGGCCGCACGTGGTGAAAATGACTAAGCCCATGAGGAACTGGCGCCGCTCATCCCAGCTACGACACAACCAGAACACCATGCTGAAGTAAAAGCAAAGGGGGATGATCATAATAGACGCGAAAATCAAGATGATCCACGCCGGTTGGTCTGTATGATGTATATGTTAGATACCGATACCTAGGTAATACGCTGGGAGGGGAAATACTCACGCATGAATGCGTAGATCATGACACCCAAGCTGGCAATAACGAAGAAGTTAAGGACCCAGGTCAGGCAGTTAGAAAGTGCGACAATTCGTTCCCAAAGGTTGAATCTCCACGATGCTTCGACGAGTAACATTAGATCGTTTCCTGTTGCGCCGAGCGTCCATCGGCGACGCTGACTGAGGAAGACCGAGAGTGTGTGAGGGACATCTGTAAAGGCGTATGCTCTCAAAGCCTGTCGTGTCTTGGCCTTGGGGAACGTCATAAGCATCAAGCACACGTGGTTGCGGTCCTCGGAGGCCGTAGCGCGGATACGCTTGATGATGCCGTCTGTTGGTTTTGGGTGGTAGCCGAATTCTTGGACAAGGATAAAGTCACCACACGTCTCTTCGCAAACACGAAGCGCTTGGCAACATCCGGGTAGACAAGATACTTTCTTGGTACAGAGACTCTGGTGAAGACGCCGTAATCCTTGGGCGATGGTATATTCAGCATTTTGATAGATGGACCAGATGTTCCACTTGCCAGTTGAGAAATCAACGGCAACGTAACCGCAGACACCGACGGTACCGGGATAGTGAGACTCGTCAACGAGATGGCTAATACAGTCTTTCGCAAACACCGTGTCGGCATCCATACCGATGAGCAGTTCGCAGTGCTTGATGTGTGCATCCTTGACAAGGAAGTCGGTCATGGACTTGAAGAATTCGGGGTTAAAGATAACCTTTGGACGTCTGTGGCGTACATTGAAGTTGTGGACGAATGACCGAACAACAATCAAACTGTCTCGCTTGCCTTGGTTTTGCTGCTTGACGATGCAGTAGAATGGTATGCCTTTGTACATTCCTCTCGCAATTTCGACATCCATCGACTGCCCATCCCATGCGACATATGCAGCACGAAGCATCCTCCGCTCGGTCTGATCGGCGAATATGTCCTGTAGAAGATAGTCGGCGGTAGACTTCTCCATACCAGGCCCGCGGACCTTACCATCGCAGATAACCATGATCGCTTGTTTGTGCTGGCTGATGTTGACTTGATTGACGAGTGAGTCAAGCGACCTAGTACACTCCTCGAAGGTTTCGTTGTAACAAGGCATCAATAGAACCAAGTCTTCCGGGGTCTCGGGTATGACCTTCTTCGGCTTGACAACCTTGTTTTTCAAGGTCCATACAATGACATCGAAGATCATGACACAGTTTAGAACAAGTGGCAATGAAATCAGTGGCAGGTAAAGGTAATAGAATCTAGGCCAATACCAAGTCGCAAAGATCAATATGAAACTATTTAGATAGTGTAAGTTTTTTATTTTTTATCTTTTACACGAATGAGATGGAAAAATAAGGGTGTTACTCACTTCAAGGAGAAGATGAAAGCTATCGCCATGTACTTGTGTATCTTGACTTTTCTTTTTCCCTTCCTTATGAGTTCGGGGTCTATAGCCTCAGCGGCTATGGCTGAACTCGTTATGTTGACCGTAAGAGGAGGTAGATTATGAATATCTACTTCTCGCTCACCGTCAGATTCGGACTCAACCTCAGACAGAGCCGTCGAAGGTGTCGTAGGTACCGAAGACGAAAATTGAGACGTCGGTGACCCTAATGCGCTAGGAAGCCGGTCTGCATCCGCACCTTTCTCGAAGAACTGTGGAGATAATCCCATCGCAACATCGGAGCCGATAGCTTCCCCTGGCATAGGGGTAGCAAGCGGCGTGAAGAATATCTCAGACCCTTCATGGTGAGATAACGTTCGAGACGATGGATATACATTAGACGCCTTTGAAGGGTCTGCGGATGACCCTTCTATCGAAGAGCGTTCATGTTGTTCATGTTTGTCAGAGAACGGATTGCTCTCTTTCTATTCGCCGCGGTTAGGTTAGAAGTATTCAACGTCAGGAGTGGTTGACATACTCTGCTCATAGGCTGACCAGGCATGGTCAGGGTGCTTATCGTGACCTGGCAACCGTTGTATACCGACGGGAAACTATGATTAAACAAAAAAACACGAGAACACTAAGGAGAAATAATACGGATCACGCGATCACAAACACCGGGCGCGGTCGAAGAGATCACGACGGGTAGTGAGAGAATAGGTTGGAGGCCGTAGGGAAGAACAGAGGCGCTCGAGAACGAGAGGCTTCAAGCGTTACTAGCTTGGTTTTAATGAATGACTAGAAAGCTTTCTCCTGGGAAGAGAAGAAATGAAGGAAGGCAAGTCATGTTGAGAGGGGGATGAGCTCCTGTGTATCTCTTTGTAGTCACTACTGACGCCTCAGGGGGTATAGCGGCAAGGCCCAGGACGGGAGATCCGAGGATACAAGGCCGTAAGGTCCGAAAAAGTGTGGGCAAAATCTTGGCTCATAGGCCAGAGCTGCCCAACCCAGCTGAATGGTAAACTGGACCCTGATGAACACATCGAAGGATTATCGTAGCTATCAACAAGGTTTACTACTATAGCTACGCCTTAGGCCGGACGTCTTGTCCGGTAACAGGAAATCATTGCGTAGAGAAACGGGGCTGTTAGGTCATTCAAAAGGCCAAGAGGCCTGGGAAAATCCAGGAGTAGCGAGTTCGCGAGGCCCTGCATATGTATCTATGCCGGTGGATTCCAAGGCAAGAGATTGAGTTTTGACTAGACTTCGCTTTAAAGATTCAGACGAACCACTTGGCGGATTCTAGCCTATCCGGACCGTTGAAAATTAAGGGTCCATATAGCCGGGGATGAAAACCCAGAGGACGCGGCGATGCCATGCCAGATCCCCGAGTCAGACAACTGACATCAATCTCCATAATATCACAAGAGGCTATACTTGAAATGAAATATAATAAACGAAACATCGAAACTGGTTCAGACAGAATGAATAATGCTAGTGTCGCCCTAGGTTACCGACGAATCGCATCAGCTCGAAATGATGAGGATGGGAAAAATCGACCCTAGATCACGCCTAGCTTCAGTGGCAAGATAGACATTTACCACGGCGTGGCGGCCTCAAGCTACAACCTGGAACCGAGTAAGAAAGCAAGAGTCCAGCCCCACGAAACCTGCGTATTAGAATCGGCTATGTGGGTAGTCGAATCTCGAAGCTTGGGTAGCTGTCGTGCCAGGATGTAGGAGAGTTCTGCTGCTTTCCCCGCGAACGGGAACGAATAGCTACAAGCTTGTCGGTCAAATTAATATATACGATATGATATCGAAGCTGTCAAGAGCCAATAAGCTGGAAACGTTGACTTGATCGTACGCGGCCTCAGGCCATATGTGAAGGTATGGGAGTCTAGAACGATATAATCATTCGGATTTTTCATCAAACTTACCACCTAGCCAGGTAGCGTGGTTGGTGTGGGCGTAAAGTAATGTTAACGATATAGAGGGAGAAGACTAAAAAATCGATCGCGATGCCATGACTCGTACTAGTTCTCCACTTCTAGCTAGAGCTCGAGTTAACGGTTAGTGGGAATATGCTTCAACATCAACCCGGGACCATATCACGTGCCAGAAAGGGGCGAGACCACAGCTTCGGCCGTATTGGAGAATGTGGTAAACAGTTCGTTGTGTTGAGTCGGTTCCAGATTAGGCGGCTCCTCTAGATCGATCGTCGGTTGTATGTAGTAGTAATGGATAATGGATCAGAGAGACGAATTTTGTACTCGCTCTAGGCTTGAGTCAGTTATGATGCCATTCCCCTCAAGTCTGAATACTTTATATTCCCTGTCTCATCCCTACGAGGTAAGTTTCGTTCTGTTCTTCATCCAGATTGCAAGCCTATTTTGTCGAAAATCGTTCTTTGAACTCTCTTCTTGTTCCGACCCAATTCCCTCTCTCTTGGCGCTTTCCGGCAGACCAACTCTCGAAAGCACTTGTCAAACAATACTCTCTTTTTCTTGTTAAAGACTCAAAATGCATCGACTTGTTGTAGACGATGTTGTGGAGGATATTCGGGGATCCTTTTCGGTCCAAGACCTTTCCCTAGCCATTAAAGCATTAAAGCAGAGCGACAAGCCAAGCCAGGAGACCTCGCCGCCCAGCACCCCCCAGTATAGCACTTTCCAATCCGAGGCAGATGGGCAACAAGCCTTGAAGTCAGCTAGCTCTGATCACATCAGAGAAGATGAAGAGCCTTTAGTGGCAGTGATCGGATGTGGATACGTCGGTACACAGCTTATCGGTAGTTTTTCGACTCAGTATGATGTGCTTGGCTTCGATGTCTCCAAGGAACAACTTCAAAGAGTTCAGGCAGAGCATGGCGGCGAAGAAAGTCGAGCCACCTTTACCCTTGACCCTCGAGACCTCTCCAAGGCCACCCATTTCCTCATCTCAGTGCCAACGCTTCTTAAGGCCGACAAGACAATCGATACTTCCTATGTGAAGAGCGCCTTAATGAACATTCGCACATATGCTCGTGCGGGCTCAACTGTCGTAATCGAAAGTTCAGTCGCCATCGGAATGACGAGACAACTACTTGGTCCTTTGGCTCAAGAAAAGGGCTTTTTCGCCGGCATGTCCCCAGAGGTAAGTCCGAAGAACGAATCAAATCTTGTAATCAGCAGGCTTACTAATCCTTCTAAAGAGAGTCGACCCTGGACGAACGGACCCACCAATGAAGACAATTCCCAAGGTCCTCTCCGGATTAGATGACGTCGTGCCGGGATCTCTCAACGCCATCATTCGTCTCTATTCGCGCGTATTTGACACCATCGTTCCCGTCTCCACTCCGGAGGCGGCCGAGATGACCAAGCTCTATGAGAACTGCCAGAGAATGGTAGCTATCGCGTACGCCAACGAAATGGCAGATGCTTGCATCGATCATGGTATCGACCCTTACGAGGTGTGCAGAGCGGCGGCTACGAAGCCCTTTGGCTACACGCCATTCACGCCCAGTCTTGGTGTCGGAGGACATTGTATTCCGGTCAACCCGTACTACCTCTTGTCCAACAGCCAATTCCCGTTTTTGAAGATGGCTACCGAGACCATGTGGCAACGGCCAGAGAGGATTGGTCAGCGAGCTATAAATGCCCTTTTCCAGGACAAGCCGCAAGACATCGAAAACGATGGCCTTTTCATCAGCAACAACACGACAATTGAGCAGCCATCACAAATTAGCCAATTTAAGGGCGCTCGGCCGCGGGTACTAGTGGTCGGCGTCGGGTTCAAGGCTGGCCAGTCTCACCTTAGCAATTCCCCAGGCTTGAAACTTATCCAGACGCTCGCGGACTCGCGACGCGTGGATGTCATGTTTGCCGATTCGCTAGTTGGACAAAGCGCCATCCCTAACATTCCTCGTCTAGATATGGACGACTGGAACAAGTCAAGTCTCGAAGGATTCGACATGATCATCGTTTCCTTCAAACAGACCGGGATGGACTTCAAGGTCCTCGACGATCTAGAAAACGTTAAAGTCGAGATGTGGTGTCCGTAACGGATGCTATCATCTTTTCTAAATCATTCGATAATGTTCAACTATCCACCTGGGAAGACCCGGCTAATTTAATGAGACGATGACGAGGTGCAAAAGTCAAAAAGTGCAAAGTGCCAAGATGAGATGAAGTTGGTTCGTTGGTGTTTTGTTTTAATGTGTTTAAATTGCGAGGTTTGCGGGATTGCGATTATCAACATGGTTACTTCCTTCTAATTACATATAAATGCATCTAGGCGGGCATGGATTACGGGTCTTTTTCATATAACCGGCTAAAATAGGCACACCCTCTTTAGTATAATATATTTCATATCTGTATCTTTCTTCTCCTTGTAGAATTTTATCTTTGTATTTATTATCTCTTGGATCTATGAATATCAAATGTGAATGAATGAATGTTTCAACGTGTCATGGACATATAGCGAAATCAAATGGGAGTGATTCAAATTTTACACATCTTCGTCGTGAAAAAGCAGCACTACTAAGTGCATACCTACATATATCAACTAGCATGTTCCGTCTTCTGCCGTCCAACTCGATTAAAGCCAAACACGATAATTCTTTCCTAAACGCCGTTCTCGTATCAAAAAAAGGGCCGTGTCATATCAAACTTAGCCTTTCAGAGGGCCCAGAAAATAGAGATTCTAGTCATGAAATGGAGCTAAATAGAAACCGCGGCTTGAGGCATTTGTCATGATTCGGAAAGAGCTCGAGTGCCTGTGTTACCATCTCAAGCCACGCCGAGGTAATGACATTCACGTTAGGGACCTCGACTTCTGTATTTAGCATCGCCAATCTAGTCATTCATCCTATTCTTCACAATACCATGATCCCCTAGTAAATCACATCACATCATCATAACCATGTCCAACCAACCTCCGACCTTCCTCAACACAGTGTACTACCCCAGCTGGCGTGTGTACAAAGGCTTCCCCCCCTCATCCCTGCAACTCGACTGCATCGATCAAATCTTCTATGCCTTCGTGCTACTGAACCCGGACGGAACCCTCAAATACCTCGACGAGTACGCGGACCTAACCAAGCCCGTCGACGGCGAAACCGGTTGTCTCCGCGCCCTTGCCAAGCTTAAGCAGCGCAAGCCCACTCTCAAAACCCTGATCTCCGTTGGCGGCGGCAGCGGCAGCGCCGAGTTCCCCGCCATAGCCGCGGACCCAGCCCTCCGCACCACCTTCGCCAACTCCTGCCGGCAATTTGTCGACCAATTCCAGCTCAACGGCATCGACATAGACTGGGAGCACCCCACAACGCCCGAAGCCGGCACAAACTACATCCAGCTCCTACAAGCTCTACGCTCCGTCCTCCCCTCCCCCCAATACCTCCTCACAACAGCCCTCCCTGTCGGCGAATACTGCCTAAAAAACATCAACATCCCCCTCGCCGCTCAACTCCTCGACACCCTAAACCTAATGGGCTACGACTTCAACGGCCCCTGGACCAACGTCTGCGGCCACCACGCGCAGCTTCTGCGGCAACCGGGCGACGAAAACTCCATACACCCCGGCCTACGCCACAGCTGCCACCGCGGTGCGAGTTTCCTCCTCGCGCGCGGCTTTCCCGCGCAGAAACTCGTGTTGGGGGTTCCCGCGTACGCGCGCTCGTTTACGGGCGCCAGGGGCGTCGGACAGCCGTTTACCGGGGCCGCGGAGCTTGATTACAACGAGTTGCCGCCCGAGTGGATCCGGGACGCGGCTGTGGATGAGAACGTCGCTGCGGCGAGTTATGTCGATAATGCGCCCGGTGGGAAGGGGTTTGTGAGTTTCGATGTACCGAGGACAGTGAGGATGAAGGCGGAGTATGTGAGACAGATGGGGTTGGGTGGGTTGTTTTACTGGACTGGGGTCGGTGATGTTAATGGTCCGGACAGCTTGGTGAGGGCGGGTTATGAGGGTTTGCATCGTGGTTAGGGTGTTGGGAGTCGAGGGATGTTCAGGGTCGTTTGGGTTTTTTCGGTAAATCTGAATGCTGTCGATACGTCCCTAGGTAGGTATAAGAATCAGACTGATATCCTAGGATATTCGTGACCTTCTCGTCGGACAGGGGGTAAAAGGAATACTGTGGCCCATAAGCTGTAGGTATCATCGTTACTTGTATATTGCCTACCTGCGGCGACGAGCTCTCTAGGCTCCCTTATACTTCAGTAAGGTGTAAATCCCTCCATGTTCCTCTTTCCGTCTTTCAATGGTCCCTTTACTTACCTCTTATTTTAGGATAATAGCAGGTTAAGTACCCCCTGATCGGTTACTCACACGGTCGCGTCGACCAGCACTTGTAGTAAACACTTTTATGGTTTAGGAAAACGGATTCGGCGAGTAGATTGTTGTGCCTAACTACCCATCGTCTCGATGTCGCCGGTCGAATACACAGGAAAGGTGAATAAGGAAACAACGTGTCAGTGCAACCCTTTTTTTGTAATTTTCTCGCCCATTTTCCATCCGTGTTCAGCAAAATGTACGCAATCCCTTCTCAGCTCACAATGACCTCAAGAATGCCAATCCACCAGTAACTCCAGTCCAGTCGTGTCCCATGATCATGATCATTATCATCCGCAGTAGGCTGCCAGGAACCGGGCCGCCAAAAATTGGCTTCGCGAACGAGAATTCGAAATTAACTGTTCGGGCGTTTCTTTGTAAACGAATCGTGCTTGGTTTACAGGTAGAAACGAAACGAGAAACGTGCGAAACGACGTTGTTACCTAGGGCAAAGAAGAGTGTTAGCAGAATGGCTCACGATTTAGTTCACCCCAGTTCCATGTTAAAATCGCCATAAGAAATACGAACCAGTCCACTGCTTCAAAGAGTCTTCTTGTTAGGACCCTGCTTGGTGTAAACACCAGGGGACATGGGGTAGAAACGCTGAGGTTCCTTGCCATCCTTCTGCTCCTTGCGGGCCTCCTGTTCCTTGTCTTGAGCGGGGCCTTGAGGGATAACACTTCCATCTCTTGTGCTGATGTAAACGGGAGGAGCCGCTTTGGAAGAGATGGGGACATTAATGGTAGCTGTGGTGAACCATTCTCCGTTGCTGTTGCGAATAGAACCAGTTCTACTGTACGGGATGATGTAAGGACTGTACTCCGAGTCCTCGGCGGTGCTGGGCACGGCAACACCCTTCTCAGCGGAACTCTTGTACTTCTGCGGCTTGGACATTGTGGTAGCGAAGTCCTGATCCGGGTTGTTGATGTAGTCGTGGATCTGAAGCCTTCCGTCAGCAAAAGAAATAGTACAAGATAAAAATGACGATCCAAAGGATCTAAGACATGGGGGAAACACTATAGTTAGTAATCGGTAGTGATACTTGTGATCGTGAAGATATGAATATCAGGAGATAAAAGGATGCGAATTGATGTGGTCGGGTTAGGAGATGGTCGAAAAAATGCATGTTTTCTTCGGCGAGGATAAGGAAAAATGCGTTCTTGCTGGCAAGGGGAGAGAGGAATGATGGAAGGAGCGGCGAAAAGGATTAATGGCATATGCTGGTGCTTGGTGGAAGGATAGAACGTGTGAGAAGCCCCCAAAGGCGAAATCATAGGAAGTCGCGTTGGGGACGCGAAAGGGTAATAAACGAATGCGAAATAGAATTCATGTATCCAGAAAAAAAGAGATGAGCGACGACTAACCTCGGTGCGTTTGTTCTTTTTAAAGAACTTCTTGATCGCGGACCAAAAACGAGGCATTGTGATCGATCGTGATGTGACGATTTGAGAATAAATCGAGCTTCGTAGGGGAAGAAAAAAGGTGTTGGACGTTGGATGAACACGAACTTCACGAGGAGGTTTGTGAAATTGTAGACGTGGGAGTACGAAAATGGTGTTGGGAAGTTTGAGGTTTACATTGGTGCATGATGCCCTGACAATGTCTACGGTAGCTTCTACGATAGGGACTTACTAGGTAGGCGACGAGACTACTATCCGTACTATGTACACACAGTCCAGTGATCCAAGGTCACTTGGTTGTCACGAAGGCAATTGCAAAAATTTTAGAAAAAAAGAGACCTGACCGTTAGAGGAATCGAACTCTCTAAACGAGGACTGGATCCAAAGGCCCAGAACATCCCTATCCAGATTGGATGTTTCCAGAACCGGTTTTATGCCAATACCGACTGAGCCATTCCAATCCCCGCCGCACCAACACGGCCTTTCATTGTTGCTGAACCACCCCCCTAACTCTGTACTTATGTGTACCTACCTAATGGAGGGAGTATGTGATTCGCTAGCCACCGTTTACTTTGACGCTTATTACGTCATGTTTTCCCGGCAATTAGGATACTTTCCTTACAGTTTAACACTGGGCCACTCTATTGGTGTTGCTGTTCCGAAATATTACCATACATTTGATCTGATCTTCTCGAAGACGGATGAGCACGTATCGCAGACCTTTGCAGCAGAAAAATGGGTCAGACAGATAGGAATTATTGAATCTAATATCATATAACCATTTAAAAAAGATATTCCACGATTTGAGAACGTCTTTTAGTGTTTTTAGGTGTGTGAACTGCTTCAACTGGATTATCCCGTACCTACACAGGCTCATGCACTATAAAGACATGTCGCGCAACGTTTTCACCTGGATCTTGCGTAAATATAAAATGCTCTGGGATCGTAGAAGGTCTCAGATACATTATATTTTAATATATGCCTACGGAGAGGAGTTACATGCTATTTCAATACCTATATCCCCTTGGTATTATATTTACTATTATGAGATAGGGGTACGTTGGTAAAGAATCGAGAAGTTCAAAACACATACAACATGGAATTATTGTACGTCTTATCTACCTATTCTCAACTATCCACCACCAAGGACGAGAATTCATCGTATATAACTTAGTAAAAGTATTGAAGCGTCTACAGTATCTACCTACTCACACTTGGTAAGCTAGAGATATCTCTAGTGATCAGAACTGTCCTATGCCACTTACTACCTAGAAAAAGTTTGGTTTATTCTTGAAAATCAAGTACCATCACATGCCATCGGCTATATCCTTTACTAACTATATAGCCGTAAAACTATTTCAACAATATTGCGAAACCCCTATTTAGGGGTCATGTAGTGGTCAAAAGTTAGGGGTATCACGTGCATTACTGCCGTTGCGCCACCGTTGCGCCACATATTTTTGCGCCACAACTCTTGGTCTCCTTCAATTGAAACATTACAACACCACAAGTTCTTCTTCGTTATTCGAATTCGGAATGTTCGATCGCTTTGAAATATCGGGTAGCGGAGTCTAGCTTCCGGGTTCCGCTAAATTGACCTATTCCTGGAGACTAATGGTCGAATTTGGCTCCCAATGGCGGACGCGATACAGCAGGATTCGCCGCTATCCATAACCGCCAGCGTTGCCGGGATCCTGACATTTTTCGTGGCCATCGTAGCAGCCGTCTATGTACGCATAACATATCTTAAAAACAGCGACCAGGAATATTTCCGGGTGAAAACTTCGCTATCCTGGTATAAAACTGAGTCAGCATGGCTGGCGGAACTCGTGACGGCCGCGGGGAGCCGCCCGGATGCAAAATACCAGCCTGAGTATCAAATGTACACGTTCGTCATGGACGATCTAATTAGGCTCGAGAAGAGACTGTTGGAGTTAGTTGAGGAGATAGAGTCAAAAGCTGGTAGTGAGGATGAGCACCAAAATGGTAAACGATGGACGCTCGTGCCAAGTAGTTGGGGGTTTACTACAGCTATTGCAATGGCGTGGCTACCCGTCAGGACGCAAGTTTTGGATTTGGTTCGACAGAGGGACGCGTTGACAGCTAGAGTTTCCTTTACACAGATGAGTTTGATCTCTTCGTAAGTCAACTTATCGGACTGTTGAGATTGCGTGCAGCATTGCTAAGCATTCCCTAGGACAATTCGGGAAGTCGACCTTAGGAATAGAAGAAGAGAGGCGACGGTAGATAACAGTCTTGAAAGACTAGAGGCTGTCATTGAGGACCAGAGAGCTGAGATATATCGATTAGAGGACCTTGTGTCCAGGACAATGCATCGGAATCGGGTTGCTGGTGATATAGAAAAGTCACCAACTAGTCCACGCCCAAGAAAGAGCTCAGGTCCAAAGTCACTCAGAGAAGATCCATATCCTAAAAACCGAAAAAGACGGGAAAGTGTTACATAGTTGCCGCTTCTCTATCAAATATATTTAATATGGCGCCTGGATTGTGTATCCGCCTTGGAGGAAGAAGCCGCCTGCAATGGCTAAAGAGAGCACAGCAAGAGGTAGGTTGAGTTCGATAACGGACCAAACCCAGATGCAACCCAAGGGTGGCGATTGCTTCATGACGGCAAGATAGCTGTACTTATTTGAGATGTGAATCAGATAGCAACCGGAATAGACGCTAGCAACGAGGAAAATAGTCTGCCGTAGAGGGTCCTGGTATTTTAATGATAGTCCGGGACAAAACTTTGGGAAAGCCTTATGCGGATGGAGCACATAAATGAGCAATGTAAACACTATAACGTAAGTCTTAGCATGATATGTCTTCACTTTGCCTATATTTGTACTAGAAACTTACCAGCACAGGATTGCATTGTTCTTATTACAATCTGAGGCCACATGATAGAGACGGCATATTGATGTTGAACCAGCACATCGAGAGTAAAATGCAGCATTGACAAACTAACGCTCCAGAGGATGGCGTCCATAATTCTTTCTGCCCTTGGGGAAAGGGGTTCTTCATCATCGATCTCATCCGGCTGCTTCCCATTACGTCGGTCAGCTTGCTCAAAAAGGTTGCGATCTTCCGCGAGCTTTAGCAAGGTCTCTTCGCTAGGACCGGATCGATCGGGGTGAGCAAGCTTGATGTCGGCCGCTTTTCTTTCTTTTCGGGTCTGAACCATGGTGAACGATGGTTATTTAGAAGAATATGAATTGGAATCAATCCAAGGTAAAATTAGGTATGTAAAATGAAGATGATCGCGTGTCAGTGGTGCTACTGAAGAATACGAAGAGCTTGTGAGCTTATTCTTGTTTGGCAGCCCGCCACACACACGTACCTCAATTCAACAGCCAATCAGAAAGCGCCAAGATAATAGCATCTAAATGCATATATTTGCGACAATTGATTTGATGTATGTAACGAGGCACAAAACTGGTATCGTACTCAGAAGGATATCTTCCAATTGGGTGTTTATTTTCGAGAAAAATGCTTGTAAGTATAGTTAATCATATCAAGAAGCCCAATAGCACATTTTTCTATCTAAATATACACAGTATATATATTATTATCAAACATGATGTTAGCTTTTGATTGCTGTACAATTTCCAATATACAATAAAGAGTAAATGAAGAGGGGGCGTACCCGGAGTACCCCACTAAATTTCACGTCAACGCGCATCTCAACGTGAATCCATCGTCGTAGTTTCCCAATTGACCACCAGACAAGGGGGTCTAACCCCGAACCTGCTTGGTCCCAATTCCCCCGGATTTTCTCTAATGATGTTCATGCACCTTCCCGTCACCGGAATCTAATCGCACGGAGTTACCGACGCTGATTACATACATAACTCAACATCTTCTGGTATTAGTGATTTTGTGCAAAATCGAAAGAGTAGGGCAACCCGGGGCTTCCCCTCACCTCTGAGAATTTTCGACAATGAACCTCTCAACCCTCGGCGTCCTCGCCGTCATCCTACCTCTTCTCTACATGTACACGGCCTCCGTCGCGCAAACGCGCCTACCCACGCTACGCAACAAGCGCATCTGCCTCCTGATCGCACATCCCGACGATGAGGCTATGTTCTTTGCGCCTACCGTGCTAGCCCTAACTCGCCCCGAGTCTGGCAACCGTGTCAAGATCCTATGTCTGAGCTCTGGAAATGCCGACGGTCTCGGTGAGGTCCGTAAGAAGGAGCTTGTAAAGAGCGGCTTGTTGTTAGGCCTTAAGCACGAGGATGATGTTTTAGTTATAGAGAGCCCGTAAGTGAAATATGCTTATATCCTATATATGTACAATGCCTATGTGTTAACTCCAAGATTGCAGCGATTTCCAAGACTCCATGAGCATAACCTGGGACGCCAACAAAATCTCCTCCCTCCTCACCTCCGCCTTCGTACCGAACCTCACGAGCCAAAAATCCTCCTCCAACACCAACCCCACTGCCAATATCGACGCCCTCCTAACCTTCGACGCGAACGGTATATCCTCCCACCCGAACCACATATCCCTATACCACGGCGCGCGCGCCTTCGTCTCCTCTCTAACACGAGGGAAACCCGGCTGGGCCTCCCCCGTCGACTTGTACACACTAACCACAGTCTCCTTGCCGCGCAAATACCTCGGTTTCCTCGACGTCTTTGGCACAATATTATCATTGATCGTGGGTGGCGGAGGCGGGCGTAAGAGCGACAAAGGCAACCCAGGGGCACTTGTCAGCATGAGCTCGTTAGTGGGCGGGGGTCGCGAGAGCTACAGCGTGGCGCGGCAGGCTATGACAGAGGCGCACAAGAGTCAGATGGCCTGGTTTCGGTGGGGGTGGATCGCGCTGAGCCGGTATATGTACATCAATGACTTAAGACTAGAGAGGGTCAAGTCGTGACAATCCTTACTCCGGTGGAAAATAGTGATTAAAGCCAATAGTAAGTATAATTATATATCACGCCATATGTATGAGAATATGAGACACCAAAGAGAGCGATTTGTATATACTGGATATAGTTTTACATCTATATAGCAAAGACCTAGGCACCATTGCCTGAAGGGCTGCATTTCAATTCTTACCAGAAACCCTCCTTGGGACGTATTAGCAGTAGGTTATATATCTAGGGCTATGGTAAATATATATATTATATATCTAGGGCTATGGTAAATATATATATAATATTGTACATGAATAAGTTCGTCGCTCTCAGTAAAATTCGTCGTCGTCATCAACAGGATCTGCCGATTTCTTTCGCCGCGTTCCGCCCCTATATTGGGGTAATAATGTTCGAGATGTAGTAGTGAGAAGGGTAGCAAGACCAAGGTCAAGCTTGACGATTGGTAGGTGCCCCCTCAGAGAGTGTTCATGCAAGAGATCAACCTTCTTTGCATTTATTCCTTGACGCATCCACTTCCTTTTTTGCTTCATCGGTATAGTCATGGGAAGGTTGTGAATGACGGCTGTCCGGGGCGCCATTATTCCCGGGTCGAACAAGGAAACATGGCCAGTAGATGTTCGGTATGAGAACGGATTAGAAATAAAAGGCCGGAATTCGCGTACGAACTCCGGGATCGCAACGGTCGTGAGCGGATTATTAAGGCTATGGCTGCGTACTTTCAACAAGAACTGTCGACAAATTGTCTGGAGTTCGTACCACACCTTCGATTGCTTGAACCGAACACTTTCGTATCGTCGAATCGCTTTGGTAACGGAAACCCCGTCACGAACGAGCTGTGCATAATCGAACACCGCATTCTGGTACTCTTCAGATATGGTGTCGTAAAATGTGACCGCTTTTCTCAAGAGTGGGATGACTTTGCTAAATTGGTGTCGCCCTATAACACTTCGGAGGAGGATGTTATAGGCTTCAAAACGAGGCTTAATGCCACCTTCTACCATGGCATTAAACATGATCTCTACCGTTGAAGGGTGTGGAATTTTGAACCGCATGTCAGACTGCTTCCACATTGTAGATGCAGGCGGTGAGCCCATGATGTAAGTCCACTCTAGCAGGTCATACCAGATGGCAGCCGGAATACCAATGCCCTCCGACCTCGATATGTGGTCGACTATTTGATATGCGAGGGCGATCTCCGCGTTTGAAGCATAGGCGTCCACAACAGCTGCCATGAGCCTGTGCGAAGGACGTACGGGAGCCGGGGTAGATGTGATTTTGTCGTTCAGTGTGCTTCCCTCCCTTTCATAAACTAAGCGTTTTAAATGAATGCCGAAATAATGTCCCAGTATCTTAGAGCCAACAAATCGTAAAGATCCGGTCCGCCCGAAAACCATTATCGCAGTATATAATAGATCTTCTTCTACCGAGTGACCATTCTCCAGTGCATGGGAAAATATCCTCATAGCCGGTCGTTTCTTTCTCGTTACCCGTTTGAGATCTTCGGCGTGACCTTTCTCTTTGTTAAGCCCAAAATACATTCTTTTGAGTCGTATGTTCAATCTTAGGCGATCTAGTTTGGCAACATGATTCTGGTCGAGTCTGATTCGACTTCGGTGGAGATCACGCGGGATGACTGCTCTCCTGATCTTGTCGTAGCTGTTATTCAAGGGTCTTGTGAGGAAGCGCGCAGACATAAATTCCCTGAAAGTTTCGGAGCGCCGCCAATCATTGGTGTGGGACTGGATCAGATCGTCCCATATTCGTCTTGTGGCTCCTAAATCCGAAGCTGCCCCTGTAAATCTAAAAAGGTAGCTGTATTCTCTTACTTGCAGTTCTTGCCCTGTGGACTTTAATGCGGCCACAAGAGCGATCATACACTCTAACAGGTCAACGTAAACCTTTCGGACCCCCCAATGATCGATATAAGATTCCATGCCCAACATCTGATACATTCCAGGGGTTATGTTTGAACCGTCAGTTGGGTCGATTTCTCTACAAATCCTCAAGGGATCTAGAGCGTGCAGAATCTCGGTAAATGTAGTCCGAGGCAAGGCAGTTACAGCTTCTTGCAGTTCAAGTTGATCCATCTTCAGGATTTGGCGTAGGTGAATGAACGCTCTCCAAACATCCCCCTGCTGCAGTGCCAGAACAGCTTTGTAGAGAGGACCAATAGGCATTTTGGCAGGATCAATAATGGATGGCCTCGTAGTTGAGGGGTCGGGCATCGTGGGGGTTTTGTTTGTATTGCGATGGAGAAAGTCGTGGAACAAGTCGAAGTCCTGGCTTGAAATAGTATTAGGATTACCGGCGGATTGGAATAACCCTATGGGAGCTTCGGAATCGTGGAGGCTCCGACATAACGAGAGATTACCTGCAACCACTCTAGAATGTCGATGGAGGCGAAGGCTAATGATCCTTGAACAAGTTCCTCTTGGAGTTCTATGGAAAAGAGCTCGGCGACAACCCACGGTGGTCACCTCGGTGACGGGGAACATGGCGGCAGTCGTCGGACGGTATCATGGCTAGTAAAGGTTCATAATAGAGGTCGATAAGGATATAATTGGTGATAATACACTGCCATCTTGTGCATAACACGGGTTTGGTTTGCGGGGAAGCTAATCGTTAGTCAGTTGGTGTTTTCCGGGGAATGTGGAGAATTTAAGTTGACGAAGTGGACGAAGTGGATGGAGTGGATCTTGCGATGCTAATTTTAAAATTGGAAAAATGAATTGAAGACGAATGTGGTCATAGCTTCTTTAATGTTCAAGGGTACCACTGTCGCTGTACTTCGTACCTACTTAGTACCTGTTGAGTACGCTTATGTAATCTTTCACACATGGTCTGTGCACGTTCATTAACAATTATTTCCGGATTTCAACCATGAGCTCAAATCGCTAGATCGTTAAATCGTTAAATCATCAAACCTGCACTCTACGACAACCCAACCCCGACGCCAAAATCTCATCTAGCTCTAGCTTATATCACAATTCCCAAATCACACCATCTGAAAACCGGTATAAGCCATTTCTTTAACAATGGCTGGAGGCGAAGAGGGTCCGGCTGGTGGCTCGGTATCTGAACCACTTGATCTCGTACGCCTGCTCCTCGATGAGGTTGTCTTTGTGAAGCTGCGAGGTGATCGGGAATTGAAGGGTCGTCTTCATGTAAGTGAAAAAAAAACACTAAAAAACCGTGGCGCATTTAATAGCTAACCTATTTAAGGCTTACGACAGCCATATGAACTTGGTCTTGGGTGATGTTGTGGAGACTATCTACGCGGTAGATGAGGACGACGAGGATGAGGATATTAGAGTGAGTCTTCTTCAATAGCCATTATATACGTAACCTTAGAACCCTGCTAACGTATAATCTACCTAGACAACGACTAAGAAATCCGAGATGTTATTCGTGAGAGGTATATCATTATTATCACTTTTCTCCTTACATCGTCTGATTGGGCTTTACCTAACTTCTAGTTATAGGTGATAGCGTTGTCCTCGTCTCTCCTCAGAGCTCATCATGAGCACTGACTGAAAACCTCAAATCCTCTCGGATCTAAGAGACCCCTGTCTCATCTCAGACTACCATTTCTATGTCCGATCAATTGGTCCCGAACTTTGACCCCAGAGCATAGATCTTGATTTAGAGATAGGTACCTAGTACCTACCTAATAGATATCCCTGTCAAGACGAAAAAGGGATCAATTTCAGGAAGCACGCAGAAAGGCTTCAGATTACTACCTGGAGAGCCTTGGACGCCTCATTAAACGAATGCAGGAAGACGCCGGTGACATGCAAGCCTATTAAGTCGTGGTTTAATAGGTTATGAGATCACTAAGGCCGTGGCCTCGTGTGATATCCCATGGACACAGAAACTAGTCCTATCAATTCAATGTAATATTTCCTTGGAAAGGAAATCCACCGTTGATAACCTCCATGCATGTTCAGATCTTCCCCGCGTCCAGCTTATCAAGCCCAGCCACCAACCCTGGAGATAACATCCATCGGGAATATCCATCAGCTTATCTCGCGCTCTCTTATCTAACCCTGCCTACAATACCTATAGCCTAGGTAGGTAGGTGGTTGATCCTTATACCACTTCGTCTTGGATTTAACATGTTCAATCTGATAATCATTTCTTTACATTATCTATATGCTTATTCAACACAATTCCCTTAAGACTTCTCTAGAAGTCCTATGAGTGAGAGCTTCAGTACCCCTTGCGGTACTAATATGCATCTTATTCCTCGATCCTATCAAGAAGTTATATAAATTCCCTTTCCGTTTATTTATGGTTACTATCATTAGGAGTACTAGTAGAGGAAACTAGCTGTCTATCATTCACAGTCTCTCGGAGCTCTACCGCCCTTGTTTCAAACATAACGACTTGACCCCTACTTCATCATGGAGCCAAGCAAAGATGATAAAGAAGGGAAGTCCCTTCAAGCAGCCGACGTCGATGCGGCGCTGGAATATCTCAACCGTGAGGGAATGACCGTGATGACTGAAATTAACGAGAAAGCACTCGTTAGAAAGATTGATCTAATGATTATACCTCTCATGTGTTAGTGTACCTACCTAGGCAATCAGTTTCATAACTGCAGAAGTCAGATTAACAGCTGTATAGGGGCCTGTTACAATCTCCAATACCTAGATAAAACATTGAGTGAGTCAATCCATTTCTCCCTCTTCGATTTTAGGTACCTACTTATTATGAAATAGTTAATTACGCCAATGTAATGGGACTTCAAGAGGATACGTCCATTACGGGAAACCAATTTTCTCTACTAGCTACCCTTTTCTACATAACCTATCTCGCATTCGAGTTCCCAACAGGATATCTTATGCAAAGGCTTCCTACAGCCAAATACCTTGGAGCAAATGTCATTCTTTGGGTAAGTGAATTCCTAAGAGACACTGGTTCATACCTATTACCTATAGTTACCGATTCATTCAACTTTTAGTGGTATTTGCCCAGATACCTACCCCGGGCATTATTCTAAGATCCAGCGAATCATCTTGACTTGGTAGCTAATTGAGTCGATTTAGGGGTCGGTGGTTACGTTGAATTCGGCTGCAAAGAACTGGGCCGCTCTAGCAGCTCTCAGAACTCTGCTAGGATGTTTCGAGTCAGCGGTAGCTCCAGCACTCATTCTGGTAACTAGCATGTGGTACAAACGATCGGAACAGCCCGCACGCCTTAGCTTTTGGTATGTGGGAACGGGAACAGGATCAATCATTGGAGCCCTCACTTCTTTCGGATTTCAGCATTACCATTCGGAGATATTTACATCGTGGCAGATCATGTTTCTTCTCTTCGGTCTTATCACCGTCGCCATCGGGATTTTAACCATGATATTCCTGCCCGATAACCCGATGAAGTCTCGACTCACTCGCGAGGAGAAAATATGGGCGATAGAGCGGCTTCGTGAGAACCAGACCGGAATTGAGAATAAACACTTCAAGAGATATCAGGTTTGGGACTGTTTTACTGATCCCCAGACGTGGCTCATCGTTCTCATCACCATCACATCGAACATACCAAATGGTGCTGTCAGTAGTTATCAGGCCACCATCATTAAAGGCTTCGGATACACGTCTAAACAGACAGCCTTATTACAGATCCCATCTGGTGTACTATCTTGTATATCAGTCATTGGAGCGGGTGTAAGTTCCGCAAAACTCAATGCCCGTGGGCCGATTATTGTAACCCTCCTACTCATAGGAGGCATTCTTGGAGGCAGTCTATTGGCGTTCTCGGATATAACCAATAAGGGCGCACTCTTGACGGGGAATTACTTAACCAATGTCATAGGGGCGACTCTGCCACTTATCTACTCGTATTCGGCGGCTAACTACGCCGGTCACACGAAGAAAGTGACGATGAACGCGGTACTGCTCATCTCATTTTGTTTAGGAAATATCATCGGACCCCTTACCTTCCGCGATGCGGACAAGCCCGGATATCTGCCAGCGAAAATCGTTATTGTGGTATCGACGGCTGTATCCTTGCTCGCAACCGGTGTTCTCATGACTTACTACGTTTGGGAGAATAGGAGACGCGACCGTCTTCACTCGGGCCTTTCTCATGACGAGAATAGCGAGTTTTTCGACCTAACAGACCGCGAGAATAAAGAGTTTCGAGTAAGTAACGTGAATTTGCATATGGGCATGCGCTTTTTAATGCTAACTTAAATAGTACCGGTGGTAATTATAGTGGTAATCGACCGCGAGGAACTTCTCTTTCAAAACAAATTGGACGGATATGGAAATAACTTGAATGATTTATATGAGATTTAAAATGAATTATATCTATTTCGCTACTATTGTATGTATCTAAGCGACTATATTTACCCTGCCTCTCGAAAGGGGATCCCGTTACCCAAGGAGGTCAATTAATAACCCGATTAAACAATATGTGATAACCATAGAGACGGAGAATATAAATAATAGTTCGAAAATTAATTTAACGATTTCTATTTTCTTGAACTCGGTCGGGAGTAAAAGAAAGAGTATAAAGACCGAGTAGAGAAGGAGAAGCGTTTCTTTGTCCATATTCTCTAATTTTCTAGCCACTTGCTTGCTTGTGTTTTAGATTCTCATGTCTAGGTACTAGGTAGGTATCTGAGAATCTTGCCATTTAAATACATGGTTCATACAATGTCTACCTACTCTGTAATACAGGTTGATGATAAAGCGACTGTTTCAATGATGGACACTGTTAGGCTACGGAATACAAGCCAATTGTATTGTATCCCCTAACTTAGCACAATCGTATTATCTGGTGAATAAAGGGACAATAGGAGTTGATAGTAGGTAGATACCTACCTAGACAAACAAAGACTTGTCGTGAGTGTCAAGGGGTACGTATAAGTTTAGCTGCCACAGAGTGAGAGGTGGCAGTAATAGGCTCGCAGGTAGGTATATATGCGGTATTGACTGTATCAACGCCATAACCCCCATAGGGTTCATCAGATAGCATCCTGGTGTGGCGCACTAGAGAAACAGTAGAACATGAACCCCCCAAATCCTACCTGGGTAGATTTCTATAATACGTATCTAAAGCCCTTGTTATCCAACTCGGTAACATCTTGCATGCCCTGTTCAATAGCTTCTTTCTCCTGCTCTTCCGAGAGTCTTGAGCCGTAGATGGCTGCCTCTCTGTCCCGTTTCTTATTTTCTGTCCACATGTACAGGTATAGCACGATAACCATCGTCGTTTTCACACAATAACCGACAAGAATCCTACCACACACGATAAGTTTCTCACACTTGCCTAGGGGGTTGTAATTAGAGAAGACTTACGCGATGTAGGCTGATGTATAGAATGGAGCTTCCGAATCCTTGAAGGTCTGCGGGCCTATGATATTTCCAACGCAATAGCCCACGAATAACAGAGCACCTGTGAGTTGTTTCTTCGTGTATCCAGCCACGTTGCTGCTTACCATTGTCAGGCTCAAACTGAAGCCAACTGATGTAAATGAGCATAGCCACAGAGCAACTAGTCGCCCCCAACGATTTTCAGTTCCATCCGAGCCAACCGGAAGTCCAACGAGAGCCGCACCGCATCCAACACATATCAGATTACTTATTAGCATGACGGCGCAACGTAAGTTTGGAAATCGGGAGCTGATCCAACCAGATAGGAGAAGAGAGCAGAATTGCACTACATTCCCTGGTATCTGCAAGTATTGGGTTTCAAGGACACCGAAGCCAAATGTTTCTAGAATGATTGAGGTGAACTGGCTCGAGTATCAGCGCTGGTTATTAAGTATCAACGCCCAACTATAATAGATGACTGACGCTGGACTGTGCGGCATTCGGAATTTGAGCGGCGACGGCCATGATGAATAAGATCCATGTCTTCGGATCTCGGAAACACTGCCACATCTGATAGGTTTTGAAGTGATGGTTCTTCACACCCTGCCTATTCATAGCTACTCGTTCAACAGCTACGATTTTCTCCCGTTCGTTCAAAAATCGCGCTGTCGAGGGAAGGTCGGGCATGAATATTAAGAATAAAGTGCCCCAAGCCAAGCTTATTGAGCCAAATATGAGAAAAATGTACATCCACGGTGGTAGCCCCGAGGTGATATGGCCAATCTACTGCATGTTAATATTTATGCTTTGCGTATTAAATGATGCGATTTTTTTGATAAAATAGGGGAAATGAGAAAATGTCGTGTGGGATCACTTAGAAACGACGAGCATTTCAACTCACTACATTCGTATTAGAATATGTTCATTCGGAAAGATACCTATACTGCGATGCTTACCAGCGTAGCCAAGCAAGCCTCCACATATTCCTGCTATTCCGTTCATGGAGTAGTATGTCGTCAACCGCATTGGCTGCTCATCCTGTCGCCACCACATTGAGAGGACGAGTACAAAGCCTGGATTGACAACAGCCTCGGAGCACCCTAGCAAGAATCGGTTTACGGCGAGTCCGGCAAAGTTTTTACAAGCCGGAGTGACGATGGTGAGCATACCCCAGACTGATGTCCTGTCAGACCGGAGCATCATATGTGATAGGTAATAGAATAGTTATCTCCTAACCTATAGTAGTGCCACCGATGAACTTTCCGACCGGGAGTCTCTGGAGAAGGTAGCCAGCGGGCCACTGTGCCACTAGGTAGCCTAATGGTAGAGTCAGTTATAAGCATAATTACGCCTAGTAGGTTCCGAAACTCCTTACCGAAGTAGAATATGGATAGGGACCACGAATAATCTTGGCCGTGTAAATTTGTCCCTTGTCGTAGTCCAAAAACACTTGCAAAGTTCACAGTAGATTTGTCAAGGTATTGGAGCAGATATGTCCCCATTAGAAGAGGTAAGACATGCCAGTCAATCTTCCTTAGCACTTGGAGTGCTTCTTGCGGATCAATATTCGTTGCATCTTGTCTTCGGTAAAACTCGTATGCGTCGTCAAGATATTTCGACGACTTTAATGCTACGCCCTCTACCTGAGTAGAATTTGGTCCAGGGGCACCGTCCACATTGTTCGGGATAACTTCACTGGCTGACTTCTCATCCATTTCTTCAGAGTCACTTGAAACAACAAGCTATCAAGGCAGAGTCTGTCACGGGTGAAAGAATAATAAGACCAACATCATCATGGATTGTGTAGTAGGTAATTCGCCCGTATTAGTACTCTCGGGGGTAGCCGAATATCTCTCATTGACCTATAGGACCTTTGCAAAATGACGAGATGATAAGACTTACTTGAGATCCCATGTTGATACTACCCTATGATTAGAAACATAATGTTTAAGACTATTAGCTATGCTTTAGGTAACTCCCGTGAAGGGATTAAGTATAGCACGCCATGAGATACCGATGCGGGGAAGATTGCGAGTGACGGTACAACTTGAATCCGTATCGCATGAGTGAAAACGACTATAGATGCTACTTGACATCAACATGAGGAATAAATATAGTAAATGGTAACGATCATGAATGAACATGTTTATCAAGTTTTAAGGGTGAGAAATGAAAATTGATTTTAGTTAGTAGGTGGTATTTATCGATAGTGCTTGGAGAGAAGAATGTATGCACAGTATAGAGCCATGAACTTCATTTTCTCGAAGTGAATATGCGTGCTGCTGTTTTGGTTGGGTTTCCATAGATTTCTTCGTAAATGTTGGTTCTGCACTTGCTTTTCTCAAGCCATTGACATCAACATTGAAGGACATCCGTGAAAAGGGGGGGTAAGATACGCCCCACATTTATACATAGTTCCGATGATGTACCTAGGTATCGAAGCTTGGACCACATCCATTCGTGATAAACCCGAAAAAGATGCGAAAGATCGAAAAGATCGAAATTGAATGGAGCCCTGAGCTTTCACCTTCAGCTTCAATAACCCGCGCAAATCCCAAGATGCCTCCACGAATACCGGTACAGCTGGCGGCTCAATGCTGCAGAGCTTCAATTGAACAGTCTAATCATTCATCTATTGTGGGACTGTTTAGCGCGCTCTCCATCCAAACTCGCAGCGCTCACATCCTCGCCAGCTTGTCTGACAACCCGGGCGCCTATCAGAAACGCATTCGTCTTGGTCGCGGTCCGTCTTCGGGAAAGGGAAAGACTTCTGGAAGAGGTCACAAGGGTCAGAAGCAGCATGGAAAAGTGAGGCCGTGGTTCCAGGGTGGTCAGACGCCTTTAATTGTTCAAAGAGGAAAGCTTGGATTTGACAATTTGTATGGTCTAATATTCTAAATATTTCAAATGTCAGCTAACAATTTGCAGTCGTGCACCGATTATGTCCGAAGTCAACCTTGACAAGCTTCAGGAATGGATTGACGCCGGTCGGATTGACGTTACGAAGAAGATCACTCCTAAAGAGTTAATACAGTCCAACATCATCGGATCGATCAAGGATGGAATTAAACTTCTGGGAAGGGGGGCAGATTCATTGAAGCAGCCGATCGATATTGTTGTTTCTCGCGCTTCGGCGTCAGCGATTGAGGCGGTGGAGAAAGCAGGAGGGAAGATTATGACGAGATATTACACCAAGCAGTCCATAACACGGCTGGTGCAGGGCAAGAGTTTTCACACAGATACACCGCTACCAGTCGGACCAGAGCATGTCGAACCGGTATTAGAGGCAATCCGGAAGAAGGGATTCTCTTTCAGATTACCAGACCCGACGTCACGTTGGGACATCGAGTACTACCGTGACCCGGCACATCGTGGGTACCTGAGCCATATGCTAAAGCCGGGAGAGTCACCCAGTTTATACTTCAGGGTACCACCAGCAAAACTCTCCAAGCAAAAGAAGAGCCAGAAGGGGGCCAACAAAGAGGACACGAAACTTTGGGAGAAGTTGTAGTAGTCTGCTCGTTATGTCTGATGAATGTATCATAGGTATTTGTACTACACGCAAATATGCCATTATGAACATGCCTCAGTTCCTGTGACTATTATTTATGATCATATACCATTTGAACAAGACTTGCGATATCTGATGTGGCTTGTCTATATAAATCACCTAATCTTGAACATTCTTTCTGTGGCTGATGATTATTACCTATCAACCTATCAGCCTATGTACCTACATACAAAATAGAGTTTTCCTCAACATGGAAGGGATTACAGGGATAAATATTTTCTCCACTACTATACTCAGCTCCGCATTTGCGTTTTGCAGTTTCCAGGGCCGATCATCGCGTCCCACTTGTCCCACCAAAGCCCCCCCAGGCGTTTCAGCGCAGGCATAGCTTTCTCCAAGTCGTGGAAGGCACGGGCGTGCCGTTTACGTACAATACCACTCGTCTAGGGCTTTTGTAACACTCGAGCTTTGAACTCTCAATCCTCGATTCTATTACAACATTTCTTTCTGTTCTCTTATGTCTTTTTGAGTACGTACGTGGTTCTGTCAATCCCTCTAGTCCTGTCATTGTCATTGCATTGTATCGCACTACATTCACAATTGCTTGTATGGTTTGTTCAGCCTACCTAGCCTTAGCTCTTACGAATCTATTACGACACCCTCGTAGCTTTCAAACAAGCTTGCGATCGTCCTCTACTACGTCGATCAGCACGCTCTTTTAGTTCACGATAATACCAAACCACCTCTCGAAACCATCCGAGGGTATAAAACAAATCTTGAAGAAATGTCTCTCTTTGGCACTTCTCCTACAAACGATTTCTCGTCTTCCGGTGATCCGAGTACGGCGCGATCTCGAAACTCGTTATTTGATGATGACGACGGGCCTATGACTCGGTCGACTTCGGATACTCTCTTTAACGATGACGAATTCGGAGGCAGCCGTTCTGCTTCGCCTTGGGATATACCAACGCCGAGAAAACAGCAATCGCGTGCCGACTTAATTCGGAAGTTGCTCGATGGTGTTGAGGTGCCGGATAGTTACGTAGAAGCATATGATAAAGCCGCAAGAGAAGATGCATTAATGGATGATAACCACTCACATGACCAGAAGATCACCTCTTCGGGAATCACCAATACACTGGCTGCTGCTAAGTTAGGCGCTGATGACCAGGCGCAAATAATGGGAATCATTGCACCGAGTGGTAAACTGGATCCAATCGGGCGCAAGGAGTTTAACGTATTATTGGCTCTTATCGGCCTTGCGCAGGAGGGTGAATCCATTAGTCTGGATGGAGTTGACGAGAGAAGACGCAGTAAGTCCAAATCGAGCATACCTACACTTTCATATGACGTTTGCCTTATTTATTTTCCCCTTTTTAATCCCAACTTTCCCAACTTCCCACATATGTTATATGTTTGTCACTTAACTGTTGACGAATCGCATTTGTTGTCCAATTGGCTGGTCGAGCTTATCGTAACTTTCGTTGCTGCGCTGCGCTGCGCTGCCCTGTGCATCATCTTGCGGGGACATTTACGTTATTCGCCGAGAAGAAATTACATCCTACTCTACTAATACAACAACAACTTTTTACTAGACTTACCGAAACCACGCTTTTTATGGTCACCACCACCCGTTAACCACGTCAAACCCCCCGTCTTTCCGAACACTGCAGAGCTTGCAGCAAAACCACCGCAACGACCTGATTCGCCGCCTGCGCAATTTAACTCGCAATCGAGAGCTAGAAAACCATCCATGGATGGTCCCGAAGACGATCCGTGGAGTTCGTCTGATCTCCACAGGAATCATAAGCATAGCGACACGCTGAAGACTAACGGTACCAACCATACTAACGTGAATACGAATGGTAATGGTTATGGTAACCCCGACGCCCCCGACTTGCACTCTCGTACAACCTCTAACTTCACTGCCGGGAGTACGGGTTCGGCTGGGGGCCCTGGATCCCAGTCTGCTGGTGGCTCTATATCTTCGAACCCTGGTGGTTGGGGATATTACGATGGAAACAACACTGGGGGCTTCGGCGAGGCGCCCTCGAACGTTCCTACGAGTCCATTTGGCGGCGTGGGTGGCGGAGAAGGGCGTGACCCAGGTGCTAACCCTACCATTGGCCATTATCGGACCATTAGCGGTGGCCGATCTGGCAGTACGGTCGAGGAGAACATCGTGGTTACGCTCATGCCGGAAAAAGAAGGCGTATTTCTATTCCAACATCATAACTACGAAGTGACAAGTTCACGGCGAGGAAGCAAGGTGATTCGTAGATACAGCGATTTCGTGTGGCTGCTCGATTGTCTACATAAGAGGTATCCGTTCCGCGCATTACCTCTACTTCCACCCAAGAGAGTTGCCGTCAATGGAAATCATCTTTCCAATGATGGCGCATTCATCGAGAAGCGAAGGCGTGGCCTTGCTAGGTTCTTGAACACACTAGTTCGGCATCCCATTTTAGGCCAGGAGCAGCTTGTGATAATGTTCCTGACTGTACCGACGGTATGTACTATATGCAATGCCGATAATCAGAGTCTCAAAGCTAACACGCTATAGGAACTCGCGGTATGGCGCAAGCAAGCAGCGATTTCGGTGATAGACGAGTTCGCGGGTCGACCACTACCGGCTGGCCTCGAAGAATCTTTGCCTTCTTTGTTGGAGGAGCTTTTCGACCGCACAAGACAGGGTGTCAAACGATCGGCTGAACTATATATCTCGACCTGTAATATCATGGACCGCCTTGTTAAGCGGAGCGAGGGCGTAGCGGCTGATCATGGGCGCCTGGCCATGTCGCTTACATCACTTACCGAAGCGAGCTCGGATACGTACGCAACCGATACAAACGACGTGCCTCTCCTAAATGACGGCCTGGTGGCGATGAGCAAACATTTACAAACGACACAAGGTCTTATGGAGGACGAGAGTAAGGCGTGGGATGCTGGGGTGCTTGAGGACCTGAAGAGACAGCGCGATGCTCTGGTCAGCATTAGAGATCTGTTCGACCGGAGGGAGAGGCTAGACAAGGACAACATCCCACATCTAGAACGGAGGATTCAGAGCAACGAGACGAAGCTCGCCGGCCTACGAGCCAAGGCTGATGGGTTAGTTAAGCCAGGAGAGATAGAGAAGGTTGTGGAAGCTATCATCAAGGTTCGTATTTTTCTCCCCGGTTTTAGAGTCCGTAATGCTAACACAAAGGCAGGACAAGGAATCCATCGTGAACCAGCACAACCGCTCTATATTTGTTAAGGAATGCCTTCGCGACGAACTCGTTTATTTCCAGCAGACGCAGTTCCATGTCAGCCGATGGAACCAAGACTGGGCACAAGAGCGTGTTAAATATTCGGAAATGTTGGCGGACAACTGGCGCCGACTATTAGACGAGCTTGAAGGCATGCCTCTTGGCGATTAGGATTCTCGGCCAGGTATAAATCCAGAAAGGGCTAGGAACACTGTTGAATTGGGCATACGAGACGTCGAAACGGAGCAATCTGGAGAGTGGGTAGAGATTGAGACAGAATGATTATGTCCAAGGGGGGATGGGATGAAATATTCCGATGGCGCAACATTAAACTGCATGAGCTAGGGGCCTGTGGAATGCATGAGAGGTTGCATAGGTACCTATTGTACTTTTTTTCTTTTTTTTCTTTTTTGCTTCTTTTACACCCCTGTATTCTTGAGGGGATGAGCACGCGCCGAGGAAGGACACGCAGCTACTACGATACCCTTCTTTCGCTTTTCAGTCGCATACTATTAATTATTCCCATGTATGTTAGTATGATGCCTAGCTTAGATACCTGGGCTTCGTTAAGGAGAGATTTGGTCAGAGTGAAAAGAAGAGATGGGGATAGAAAACATACTCCAAGCTCATTGCTCACTTAATGCCAAATTGTTAGTCCATGAGGGCAAGCAAGTGACCTTTTTTGGGTGATATGGAATGAGCATGAGTATCTACTAGGTAGTATAAGAATGAGAATAATAGTTTCAATGTTCTTTTGATTTTCAGCGGTAGGCAGTACGTAGGTACATACATAAATGGATTAATGGACAATAGAACGAGTTAGGTAATTAGGTGCGTGCAGGTACCTATTTAGGTAGCAAAGCAGCTGCTAAGGTGACGCCCAAAACACCTTCCATCTCGAACAAATGAGTTGGTACGTAGCAGGAAGTGACCCTGACCCCACCACGACTGCACGACGAAGCGAAGACCGAATCCAATCCTAGTCACCTACAGTGGGAACTTGGAACTTTGGAACCTTCTTTCTTCAACTTTTGCTTACACCAACTACATTCACCTTACTCAAGTCTATCTTAGGCGATTAAAGTGAAGCAAACGCCAGTTACTTCTATAGCGAAGATAATCCTCACGCCTTACTTCCCTTCTTTAGGGTTACCCACCACCTTATTTCCGAACCACGACAACTCGATTGCCCCTCACTGCGTCACGACCCCTCCTTCATATTCGAGCATATTCGAGCCGCCCAAGCATTTCCGTTACGAAAGAAGAAGAAGAACGAAGCCCGAAGCCCGAAACGAGGAAACGAAGAAATCGTACCGATCGCATGTCTACGCAAGACGAGCCGCCGACCGGTTTCCAGAACTGAGATAGCTCCCGTACATATCCGCTGCCGAGGAAGCTAACTCCGAGTCTTGAGAGTCTTAATGATATTAAGATCTTAGGACCGGCCGACAACTTTACCCCCCGCCTCCCTTTTCGTATACCACGAATAGCCCGGTGTTACAAGGTGACGATGGCGCCGCCGTCTGCCGTCCAGAAAGCGGCAGTGGCTAGCTTCGTGTCCATAACAGGGGCTTCGGAGAAGATTGCTTCTAGGGTATATCCTGCCTGTTCCTATAATCGAGTTGATATATGACTATACCTTACTTACCTATCTATCCTCTGCTTAAAATCCCGACAATAGTTCACAGGCATTGAGTATGATTTCAAGCTAACTGAATGTTGTCATAGTATCTTAAAAATACAGGGTTCAAGCTTAACGAAGCTGTCGATGCGTGAGTGGATCTCGTCTCCCTTTATATTTCTTTCTATATACGCAATGCATAGAATATACTAGCTCTGCGTATCTCAGTGCCCAGGAAGAGAAATTGGTGTGTTGGGTGTGTTCTTTAGACCTTGGCAAGATCTAGACATCGGTATGTCAGGAATGAAGGTCATGGATCCGCAAGCCACTTTCTCCACGGCCGGATAGAACGGGTATGGAGATGCATGCTGTAGCATGGTAGCTTGCCGTCTCCTACTCGTTCAGCAGCCAGAAGTAAAATCGGTTTATTAGAGGTCTACACCCTCGGGTATGACATACTTAGTATAGATCGAGTCAAGCCTATGCTGTCTTATCTTATATTGCTATTTAGTCCATCTCGTTGGCCATATCCCTTGTGTGAACCACCTTATGGAATATCTTGTACTGTTAGCCTATTTCATGTTACTAATTTTTGGCTTTTCAGATACTTCCAAGCGAACGTTGGCCCATCGGGTCCGAATAAGGATGTTCAATTAGGGAAGCTATTCGACAGCCTCAGAAGTGCGTTGGTTTGCCCCTTATACTCTATGATGATTTAACTGGCTAACAAATAAGACAGACGATGGAGAAGATCAGACAGATATATTGGGCGCAGATTCATCTATGCAATATCTGAATTCGATTGGTGTTGATCTTGAGGGTGCTTCGCTATTCCTAGCAATGGAACTTGTGCAGGCCCCTACCATAGGAGAGATCACACGTGATGGATTCATTAAGGGCTGGAGTGCTCAGGGGTACGTATTATTTCCCCATTTAGTATATCCCACGGTCTTGCTATCTAGCGACGAAGCTAACTAGCGATAGTGTTGATACTAAGGTGGAAGCCCAGAAACAATACTTTAAACGTCAGGTAAGCACCTTATCAACAGATCGCGACCTGTTCAGAAGAGTATATCGATACGCATTCGTCGTCGGTAAAGAAGGAGATCAGCGAGCACTTTCCCTAGACAACTCGATCGTGTACTGGGAAATGCTGTTCAAGAAACCGGGCCAAGTTTGGGTCGGAAGTATCGCGGGCATCGACTGGCTGGGCGAGTGGATCACATTCTTGCGCGAGAAATGGACACGTTCCGTTAGTCGCGACATGTGGAACCAGACCTTCGAGTTTGCGATGAAGAGTATTCAAGACGAGACTTTAAGCTTCTGGAGCGAGGACGGCGCGTGGCCTGGAGTCATCGACCAGTTCGTTGCGTGGTACCGACAAAAATCGGAGATGGACGTCGATGCCTAGCAGGCCGCGCTTGCGTTGTTATTATTACATAGGTCGTCGGTGACGAGGACTCGTCCGCAGAATGTGCCTAAGGGACAGGGCGAGTCGGATAGGAGGGTGAGCATGTGAGAATTGCCCACGTGAAGGAATAACCCCTGACGTACTATTTGGTACCGCGTAGGGACAGACAGATGAAGGACGGTGCACATGAAACCAAGAGCTGCTACGCTATCTTTATGACGGGATATCATTAGTAGGGGCACCTGCGTCTACACGGAACGATGATGCAGAGAAGAGCTACGTAGGTACGCGAATGATACTTATTCTTAAAAATTCCTAGATGATTTTAAATATATGTGTGTGGATTCCTCTACCTTAGATAGATGAGTAGATGGATGCTTGGTTTAGGGGTTAGTATAAAGGGGTAAATCTGGGTTTAGACTGAGGAGAATCCGTGTCTTATCTTCCAAATACGAGATATCAATGTTGCACATGAATTTTTTTTAATATTCTCTGCATACGTATATCCCCATGTGATGTCGTATATATACAGCAGATCAGCGGCAAGATGGATGGTCTATACCGTCTGGTCCGATCTGACTTTTTCTTTCCTTCCCTTCTATCTCGTGGCGTCGTAGTAGTTTTCTTGCGGAGGGAAGATATATTCTTCTCATCGTAGCCACTATTTCTATGGCAATAGAAGTACCGCCCATTTGTATATCCTCTCATAGGAGATATAGTTAGTCCGGATAACCACGTCATCCAACGTTTCCATCTCCCAACCCAACCAAACCCCAAATGCTCGACCTCACAACCTCCTAGAACGACGTTGACCACTGCGGCGCCCCGAACCGACTCATCGTCTCAAGCTTACCGTTACCCAGCTTCACGGACGAGTGACGGATCATGCGCGGGTCGAGGGCCAACATCTGGCGCACGGCGTCTTGCGTAGAGACGGAGCTGTCGAAGCGCATTGCGAAGTAGTGACCCTGGTGGTGTCGCATCTGATGCACGCTGGCGGGCTTGGGGAGCAGGAAGACGCCCCAGTTTGATATTCCTCGGATGACGCCTTTTTGTTGGAGGATTAGTTGGCCTGCTGTGAGGACGATTCTGTTTTTCGGGGGGTATTAAGTTAGCGCGTGGTTTGTGGTTTTGGTGGGGTTGTTCAGGTTGGATATTCGAGGGGACTCGGATCGAATGGAATATAATGGGATTGTTTCGATATAGTAGGGTTGAGGACGTACTCTTTCACCTCGGCAAGATTGCCAGGTCGGACCTGTTCCCCCACGTCAGTATATGTTCTGCTGTGTCTGGAGAGAAGCAATTAGGAAAACCAAGACTTACAATTCCAATTAGTTCGTACAGCATCTTGTCGGCTGCTTGCTCACAAGGAGCGCGGGGCGAGAGGCAATTCTATTCCTTTGCCGGTAAGCCGTGAGCTTCCTGTGTCAAGTCGAATTCAGGTCGCCGTTTCGAGGGAAGTCTATATCGCAATTTCTGTTCCCGAATTGAATCGATAGCAAAGTTGCAAATCGATAACGAGTGTTGAATTTTAGTGGATCTCGGAGTAACCTCGGGTAGATTTCCGGAGCGTATCGATAGGTAGTTTGGCATCACTCCCCACTTTGACTTCATCAAGAGCTAACATCATCTTGACTTCATCAAGAGCTAACATCATCTTGACTTCATCAAGAGCTAACATCATCTTGACTTCCGTTGCTTCAAATCAATCCCCTGCGTATTAATCATTGATATGCAGGTTGTATGGCCTAGAGTTGGCGATCTAGACGAGACAAACCTTCTATTTAAGCGCTAGATTTTAAGTTGTCTCTCTGAGATCCACAACCCAACAGCTAGGTAACATTTGAACTATCTGTTTCCAAAGAAACCTCGTGCCCCAACGACAGAGTGATCACTCTTTCCAGGAGTAATATAACGGTTAGGAGTACATGCCAACAAATGACCTCAATATACATAAGCCGCCATCGCGACCAAGAATCAGAATAGTTCAATCTCGCAGGTGAACTCGAAACCAAACGATAACACATACCTAGTTCCAATACAAGGTTCTAATCGCCTCAATAATCTATAAATAAAATTGCAGCAACTACTAGATAGGTATTCCTCTGAAATAAAAGGCTGTAGCTTCCGTTGTCATCTAGGTGCGTTTAGGTTAATCCACAGACTAACAGCAATTCAATTATGCTAGTCTCTTAGTATAATAGAGACGTTGAATATTGGAATAAGTTGAAGTTTGTTTCAACTCCTATTAGGCCTTTCTGTGCATCGGCGTAGGTTCGCTCATTGACTACACGTAGGAAGAGTTCTAAGGCAAGTGCCGGAGAGGCGCATACTTCTAATGATAAAATAAATAGAACATTTGAAGTTTAGGTCAGGTGTAACTCTCATTAGAACTATGCGGCCGCACCTTCTATTTGTTCGTCTGTCTGTATATGGTGGAAGGCATCGTGGCGCAAAGTAAGTTTACTAGTGGTTATCAACCTACACTGGTGGCACTAACCTTCAAACCCTCAACATCTCAAATTATATTATATCTGGAAGGCGTCTCCCAGGTATATAAAGAGCCCATGTTCCCAAGAAAAACTTGCTCAGATTTCTTAACATCATACAACAAACCCATTCTATCAATCTCTCATCTTAGTTTCAAAACCACTTACCATCCAATTCATTCAAAAGAAATCCACCACAACACACACATATACACACACACAAACACTCATATATATATAAGAAGAAAACACGGCCGTCAGAACAATGGACTTTCTTGATGAGCTCGAGTCGATGGCTCAGGTGGCTGTCCAGCAACCATTCGAATCCAACGAACCTGGCAACGATGATATCAGCAGATGGCAATCATTGTTTGGGTACACCTACTCTCAGGCGGCACAGAAAATCCAAGAGCACAGATCGGATCTTTCTCGTGTTTTGGTCACAGAGTCTCACTGGGAGATTGTGCGCGCGGAGAAAGAAGCACAAGGATACAATAAGGAGGCCTACGAGCATTCTTGCACTCTGACAACCTGTATCACCCCAACGCCACAGAAACGCTCGACAAGGGCTACCAAACCTTCTATCTACCTACTCAAACTCGAAGGACCACTCAGTAACGTGACACAAGTGAAGTCTGCTGCTGGATCCCTGGAAACCCCACCAGAGCTCAGAGGGACGGACGACTCAGGCGAGCCCACGACCTTCTGCAAAATAAACTCAGAAGATAAGGAGAAAATCCTCGACTACCTCTCTCGGCAGGGTTCCCGGTTCCAACCTACCTTCGTCCGATATTCGAAAGCAGAAAAAGATTTATCCGTGGTGTCAGCATACCCCAGCCTCGGCATCGACACTACCATGCCACAGCATCGCCCCGTATCTACAGAGGATCTAAAGTTATGCCCAGCACCAAACCAATTCCCTGTCTGGTACTTCTTCTACGGGACATTGGCCGATCCTGCAGTTATCAAGCGTCTTCTGGGCTGCGAGCCCTCCTATCGCCCCGCGAGCCTGACCCGTGGCGCTCTCAAGACTTGGGGCGGCAAATACAAAGCATTGGTTGACGCTTTCGATGACAGAGCAGAAGTTCAGGGCCATGCATTCCTTGTACAAAGTCAGGAAGAAGAGGATTCCCTCCAACTTTACGAGACCGACAAGTACGATGTAGTTCGGTGCGAAATCCACATGGACGACCAAAGGATCAGAGGTCTCACATTTCGATTCATTGGCGACGTTGATCTATAGTATCGCGCACGATAGGGACCTCTTATTAGGTTAGTGTAGACTCACTATGCACCCAAAAGATCAACCTCGCTCAACTAAGTATATCCTATCCAGCTCCCGTCATCTGCTATACCTACGTAGCGTTGCCGCTGTCGCCCTCCCTAATTTATTACGGAAAAACGTTATTATTCAGTTATAATACCTTACAATAAGTTTCTACTTCATATTGATTGGAAGGCAACTCAGTTTTGCCAATCCAACCTACTGGCCCCGAAACTAAGGGTACATATAAAGGCTAAGGGTCCATACAAGGGGCTAAAAGCAGCGTTTGGGCAGCTGGACACCATGTCCAGAGATGAAATCATAGATCTCATCAGCCCATCAAAATACTTTGCTTGGAATTTTCAGCCTTCGAAAGAAGGGAAATCAGGGTCCATAGAATTTCGCCGACCCCCAGCCGTTATTACGGCTAAGAAAGCCAAACATTGGATTTCCTTCACTATGGCATTCGTATACATGGCTACCAATACCAACGTGGACGCCTTCGTTCGCGCCACTGGGAAGGCGGGGGCTAGGTTCTAGAAGATTGCACCCCCAAACTTCGAGAAGCGGCTACTACGCGCCGCGAAGGAAATTGACATCTTCTGGAGCCTAGACCCTCGCCTTCGCCAACAAGATAATGTAGAAAAACTTTACATCACATCGATGGACGAACGAGCCTTCAGATGGCTTCAGCTATCGGGGCAAGGATATATTAGAATGGAATAAAAATAATTAAAATCAGGAGGTGGCTAGATACTGGATAGTGGGTTAAACCGAGGTTTAGGTTCAACTCCTATTAGGACTTAGACCTGGAGGGAAATTATGACAATGGTTTCAACACATCTTCCTTGTATTATGTGAATTATCCATTTCTTCCATGAATGTGATTCTTTTCTTATTGTTCGTAAGTGCTACCTACGGGCTGGGGATACAGCCTCGCCATTGAATAACTTGGGTGTATTATTCGGTATCTACTCGGGTATTAGACTAAATCGTTGCCAACACGTTCAAGTTCACCGAATAAGAAGATCCCCAATAATTAAATGCGTCGTACTACTTGACTCACCGGTGAACTAGACGATGTTTGTATATGGAGTACTTACCTACCTACCTAGCCCGCATCTATGCAGATCATAACGTCTTATCCCAGTCCTGCATGAAGCCCGCTTCCTGCCGTCTTGGCTTGCTGCCGGATCGAGCCGGGATGTTCGAACAACGCGCCCCTAGAAAAAAAAAAGAAAAATTGCCAGCAGCCGGGATGGGTTGTCCCAAAAAGGACCATACATACCGCCACGATCAGAAAATCAAGAAACCGAACTGGCAGCATGCAGATTCCCGCTTTGACCGGGGCCGCGAACGACTCTACCCATCAATTTACTTTTGGGGGCTAAATAACCAACGAGGTATCCCCCTAATGGATGGATGGATACGTACATGACTACGCCTTACAGATCTGCCGCTACTGTAGGAAATGCCTACACATCACAGATTTCACAGGGATTGCTACGTACCGTACATGCCTACATAGCTAGGCATTGCCAGAATGTCGGGAACGGGGTGTGGGGTTGGTTTCCTTTTCCAGTCTCTCATTTCGTTATGCACGATTTGGTGGTGTGGACGTCGCTACGTCGGTGTAAGCCATGATGTATGGGTACTCTTCTCATGTCACAACTCGCGTCTACGAAGAAAGTCGAAAACGTAGAAAATTATAATCGCAATAGCGAAATCTGATAAATTGAGCCAGCTCAGGCATTCAATTGAATCAATATACCTGTAAATGAATTTTTTTGCGAAAAAAGGAAGAAAAAAAACCGACGCAAATGCATTTGCCTACGCCTTTTCGCCATGCGTCCCTTTCTATGCAGTAGATGTTAAGGTTCGTAGTGTACAATCTCTTTGCCAGAGAATGAATTAATAGACACACGCGACGGGGTGGGTGAGGCCGAACCCATCCTCCGCGCAAATATAGGGAGCATGAGAAAGGGGTGTTGCCACCGAATGCTTCTCTTCCTCTCCCTCTCCTCCTTGTTCTTTCGCAGATATTCCATCTTATTAGCCAGGGCCGTATCAGTATCCCGCCCAATCACCCTTTTGTCCTTCCCTTGGTCCGACCGATTTTTCCGCCCCTGCCAATTCATCCGTGTCCGCGTCCTGAGAAAATAAAAGTGCGTGATGTGAAAACCCTCCTGATTCCTTGTGGCACTCCTTTATTAAATCCCTTCACGATAAGCGGAGGCTTTCGACGTCCGCGAGGTGTCGTAGTTCAAGTCTAAATATAAGAAAACAATGATAGAGGTCAAGTCGATAGGGAAAGTTTAGGTATCCGAATCTTCGTCGGGTAACGTCTTCGATTCCATAGTGTCCCATAATTCTTCCAGTTGGAAGCTGTACGTGAATCTGTTAGCCACACATCTTGATTATCTCGATTAAAACCAACTACTTACCGAGTGGACTTGACAAGCTTGATACCCTTCTTCTTCGCGAAAGCGAGGAACCGCTTCTTGGTACGCTCCCGCTTGAAGTAGGCAAGGACATTGCCACGCTTCTCGTCGTTGATATCTACCAGAATCTTCTGGCTATCTGGTCCGTACCGGATCTCCTTGATCTCCTCTAACGTCAAGTCAAAGTTGATTGGCTTCTGATAGAAGCCCCAGGTAACCTTTGGATGTACGTCCCGCAAGACTTGGTGCTCAAACAGTCCCTTATCCTGCTTCCAAGTCCAGTACTGGGTCACTTCCGTGCTGGTAGTTAATGCGCGCGTTTTGATCTGATACACTCTCCAGTCGAGGTGCATTATCCGCCCGGCAGAGAAAGAGTCTGTCGATGTCCAACCGCTGTAGTCAAGGTCGTCCTCTTCAGGTTCCTGTTTAGGAGGGGATGGCGCGGGCACGGGCACGGGCACGGGTGCGGGTGTGGGTGCGAGTTCTATACGCTGCCGTTTCTGCATGCGAGGCGTGACAGGTTCTAAGTATTCTCCTTGCGGCTGGTCAAGCCCTGCCTTCTGTATGTCTTCCATACTTGGCGCATCGTCGGGGTCCACTTGGCCGATTGATCGCCGACCCTTACGTCGAACCGATCCTGATTCTTGTTTAATCTTCCTAGCTGCTGCCCTTTCCGGATTCCTCTCGTTGAGTTTGTATCCAGATGGCCTTCCTATGTTACCAAACCCGTGCTTTTCTCGCAGAAGTTTTAAGTTGGCGTCATGATACAAATCGTGGGTGGTCTTGGATAGGTTAAACTTATCCCCCTGTGCCTCGGCGATATCGCACATACGCTGGCGTAGCCATTCGAGAGGAGTCATGTCGAGATCAAATTTCTTCAGTTCCTCGTGCACGTTCACCAATCGAAACATCGTGTCGTAGTTGATGAATGTCTTGTAAAACTTATTCATCATTTCCTTGCCCACAAATTGGTACGGATGCCATTGCTCATTTCTAAGAAAGTCGACGACGGCCTGACCCCTATTGACTTGCCGATTAGCCAAGAAAATCGTGTGGCGTATAGCATCAGGCGTCTGCTTGAGCTGTTCTAGCTTCTCCTTCCACTTGTCTAGCTGGGGCTGGATAATCCCATCCAAGGATTCCCACTCGGGGTCCCAGTAAGGATGTGTCATGTTAATTCGTTCGAGAGGGGTCCCGGCAAACATCGGTGGTTCGGTCACAACTTTTCCATCGTCTTTGATGGCCAGCCTCTCACGAGTGATTTCTCGTGCATCGGTGGCTGCCGGCGTTGAGCGCTCCGTCGGAGGTAAGGAGCCCTTTGCGCTAGGTAAGGATTTTCGACCAGATGGCGACTTGGTCTTCGTCTCGATAGATGACTCCGATCCAGCTGGAGAAATAGAAATTAGTCTAACGGCAGAAATAGAACATAGAAGAGTGGACTTACGTGGTTTTCCGGTGGGTGAACGGCCAGCTGCCGGGAAACTCGGTAAACTGTGTCGCTGCTTAGGTTTGAGAGGCCTATCTTTAGTACGACCCGTCGGGTAACCCTCAGCACCGCTCGTCTCCATCTCATTCGACACGCCGTTAGAAGTCGGACCGGGTCTAACGCGGTTACCACCATTGCGTAAGGGCATAACCCTACCATTAATGGACTCTGACTCGTCGACAGGGTTGTGGTATATGCTGCTCAGCAAGTTTCCTGGATCCGCAGGAGGCTCTTCCTCCTCCTCCCGTCGACCACGTCGTCGCGCACCGTTGATACTTGTCCACCCTGCACCATTCGTCTGCGATGGCGCCTCGCGGTTTGACTGTCGACGACTGCTGCTGCTACTCTTGGGTCTCGCATTTTCTTTGGATACGGCGTCTTCGCGTGCGCGTAAAAACCATTCTTCCTGCGCTCGGTCGTCTTTTTGACGCTTCTCTCTAAGACGAAGCTCACTCTCCTCAAAGTCGTGGGCTAATTGCTCCTGCTTCTTTTCATGTTGTTGGATCTTATCCGTGAGAATGAGCAGCTCGTGTTGGAGTTGTGTCCGTGTATCATACAACCGAACCAGGTTATTCCTTAGGCCATCTTGATGGTCGGCGTACTCGTGATTGCGCACTTTGTCTTCTTGAGCTCTATTATACTTGGTTGTTTCCCAGTAACTTCTCTCCATCTCATCCAAATCCTGTCGGCCGGACGGCTCCTTCTTGGCGGACATGACGCCAGTTCAATGCGCGCCCGCCCAATCACGAACGCAACTTTTCTTCTTCTATGATATATTAGTAAGTGTCGTCACTCAAGCTTCGATTATCTGTCAATGAACTTGAAAACTTGAGTATGAGCTATGATGTAAATGGTGGCAAGGGGGCATACCCGGCAACTGCGAGCTAGAGCACGGACAGGTGTAGGCCGGATAGTGTGCGTTGGATGGCTTGGTACATGAGTCGTCTTGCGTGAAGAGGACAAGCCAAAGATGGAAAGAAGCGAAAAGAAGAATGGAAGTATGGAAGTATGGAAATAGCAAGGGAAGAACGAGAGGAGTAAACGGGTAAGAAAAGTGAGATGATGAAGTAAGGCAAGACGAAGAATCTATAATAGAGGACGGTATAGTCGATGTGGGGATGCGGGTCATATTATGATGATATATGGAAGGGAAGTATGTAGTAGGTACGAGTGCACTTGCATTAAGAATTAAGAAAATATGTAATTATACTTACCAGTCTAGGATAGGGTGAATTTATTTAGATTTGAATGAATTAGAGGAAAGGTCGGTTGGCTAGATTAGTCGACTCATGGACCGGCGGAAATAGATACCTAGGTAGATATCTAAAGTTGGTTGGTTGCTTCTACTAATGAGAACTTGTTGTTATTGTTAGACAGATGCAGATGCAGATGCAAGCTCGAGTAAAAAGTAAAGTAAAATAGAGTCGTAGTAGGGTGAAAGAAAAAGAATTGGATTTGAGATTGCAAATAGAAGATCAAATGAGACCGGTCAGGTAATCATTAATCTCTGTACCAGGTATATTACCTATTAGGTACCTAGTAGTAGGCATATCATGATTGTTGTAAGTGCAGGGACTGTGTTGTGGTGTTGAACATTGAAGTGCAGGTAGTAAATTATAAATTATACGAAAAAGGCAATTAATATTAGTTACTTGGGCAGGTGCTTGACGGTGCTTGTGATGACTGCCGGCTACTGCCACCCAAACTACTAGGAGGCAGCTAATTAGTTCGTATAGGGAAAAAAGTGGTGAACGAATGAATAGGAGGCGCATTGGGCAAGTGCTAGATTAAAAAAAGGGGAATTCATGCAAATAGTAAAAGGCAGCTAAGTATCTTGTATCTTAGATACGTAAGTACCTAGGCAGGAACGATGACGATAATGGTTGTAACCCATCAGAAAATAATAGAACAGAGATGTAAATAGTATGTAAGAGAATTAAAAAAGGGGTGGGTGGCCGGATCGAGACACCAAATAAAACTGATGTGCAGGAGCAGAGGTAAATGTGACTGATATACGTGTTCGATGAGATATATAATAAAACACTTGCCTATAGAAGACTCAGTAAGATGGAGCGCTAGGTTAGGAAATTATTGATGACCAGCCTCTATGTGACTAATCGGATCGCTAAAAGTGCCTCTACCTCGGATTCGAAAAATGTTGGAAGCGCTTGCAACTTGTAACCTGTTGGAAGGTTCGGGTAAATATGTTACTCGAGAAAGATCGGTGGCAACAGTAACAGCAACATCGATTACTTGGACTATTGCGAGAGAGAGAAAAAGGGAAGAAAAAGGGCAACGATAGAGCAACAACATAAAAGGGGAAACGAGAAGTCGACGAAAATGCGTGATCTAAAATCCTTGGGAATACGGGGAAAGCAAAACACAGCTAGTGTCCCTGTGTAAGCATACTTACTATATTTGGATGTATGCAATAGGCAAATGCGTATAAGATATCTGGGGATACGTAGTACGCGAAAGGATGAAAGAGTGAGAAGGAGTATAGGACAGCGAGATAGAGGTATGTATGTATGTAGGCAGGTATGTATATTAGATGCAGATGTTATAGTCCAGAGTCAGGGGATAGAATAAAAAAGAACATGACAATATTCCACCTTACATACCTTTAGAGTTAGTAAATCGGTAGATACTGATCAGTAGTAGCAATAATAGTCGATTAGGTGGTGATGGTGGGTAATCCCTATCGCTGGAATCGGGTCGCCGGTACCGAGAAAAAGGGTGAGTGTTTAATTAGGTATTCGTATGCCAGGCGAATCGAATAGTCTTAGCTGGTCCGATCCAGTCCAATAGTCGGAATCAGATGTCGTCGATCTCTCCAAGTTTGGTTCCCCGTTTCGACCAGGCCTGTCGATGCGGCTCCCATTTACAGGGTCCTGGTAAGGAATAGAAGGGGAGAAATGCTCGTTGACGTATGAGCAGGTATTCGGCGGTAGTTGTACGGAATCGACTTATGGAATCAACCTTGGATATGAAAGCTGTCTGCTGGGTGACGACGATGCTGATGATGCTTAGCCTCGAAAAAAGGCTTTATTCCACCCCCTTAGCCGAAATGTTTCTGTTTTAGGAGGTTTATTGCGTTTTGCGCCCTTGTTGGGAGTAGCGTGTTCTTTTTATTGATGACGACGATGGCAGTTCAAATGCCCGTAATGCCTGTAAATGCTTGTAGGTGATGGCGCGTTTCTCCAACGCGCCGGGATATGTAGATGGGGGCTTGAACACCTATGTAGTATGGTCTTGGCAGGGTATATGGACATATGGGCATATGAGCGTATAACCAGAAGAGCGAAAAGGGAAAGAAAAATTGAAAGAAAAAAATGACGAGTTCGAAACGAGCTCAAGTTCTCAAGCAGCAAATTTATCGAATTATAGGTTCTTTTAGGTTAAGTAGAATGCGCAATCATACGGGAAATATGGAAGACATGGAAGACAGGGAGACAGGGTCGCTATCCACTAGCGTCGATGCCATAGAATAATAGCCGGCCAGATCTTGTTTAGACTGGGTTCCCAAGGTTGTCTGGGTATTATCTATCGCATAGCGAATAGCGAATAACGAAAAACGAATAGTACCTACTAGGTAGCAAAGAATCACGCGTGGATGTGAATGTGGACGTGCGCAAGCGAATGACTCGAGAAATGACTGGTAAATAGCATCAAGATATTAAAAAGGGTGCGTAGATGCAGGAAAAGGTAGAAGTAAGTAGTAGGTTTACATTTTAATGTTCCATAGAAACTTTTTTTTTTCAATCAATTATTATTATGGAAGGATGTTTAAGGTGTCCCTTCCAGCTATGTTGGCAGGTACTATGTGAATGGTAAGTTCCAGGTTAGTTAGCTCGCAGGCAGCTATTACCTTGTACTTGCCAGCCTGCACTTTAATACTACTAGACCCTATAATGTATATCTACCTTGCTATAAGAGGTAACTGAGGGTACGTATACCTCCTAGGGAGGTACATACTTATACTATGTAGCCTCAACATTGAATATTCAAATAAATATTTAAATATTCTTAATCCTAATAACTTTCCGAGGTTCCATCTTGATTTCTTATGAATGATGAATGACATACATTTATATTAAACCGTACTCACATACTACTTATTAGGTAGCTACCTTATATAAACTACCTACCTACTTATGTAGTAAGTAAACCGATACTTAAAATCAAACGTTAAGCATTGAATCAATGAGTTCCATGGGTCCATCCTATCCCACTTGTTATCATGTGTCATTAGCAAAACATTTATCCTAAAGGTACTTCCTACCTTCGCCCATACTTACCTAAATAATATAGTATTATGCGTATAACCCTTTTCCTACCTGATAGGATCGCAGGGATGTCATCATCTTTCTCATCCCATGTTCCTTTTTATATATATTAGTATCGGGTTTTCAGTTGGTTTTTCTTTTTCCAAAATGGATATACATCATCGATAGGCAAGGGGAAAGACGGACGAGAAATGCGATAAGCGGGCAACGAATCAACACCGCCAATGCTACGACATATTATTGGCGCGGTATGACACTATTTCTCTGACGTTTTAGGTAGAGGTTACCCATGCATTATTAGACTCGGGCCACGGGTGTACAGTAGTTCTGTGTTGTGTGTTATGGTGTTATGGTGTTATGTGCTATGGGTGGATGGATTTGTGTTATGGATTAATGGATGTATGTGTGCTCTGCGCCGAATACTGAGTGCTAGGTACAATACAATACAGCTAAGTGCTAACCTGGAAGTGCTATATGCAGAGCTAGGAAACATTAAACAAACAACCTACCCACACAACCCACGCACCCACGCGTTGCCCGCAGATGCCAAGGTGTACTCCATCGAGTACATGATATGCAGGTACCTATCATACGTCGATTCTCGACTACCTGTACCCACTCGTCATCGAAGGAATAGTATACGAGTTACATGTTACATGACACCGTTCGTATACCTAGTACCTACCCTTACTACGCACCTGGGGAAACGCATAGGACCCTACGAAGCCTGCTCATAGGACAAGAAGAACGTCAGAGAGAAACTTACATATGTACGATGACTAAGGCTAAAGGGAACATTGAAAGCCTTACTGGCCTTACTGGCCTCTTACTAGTCCTGCCAGGACAGGGAAGCATCGTACCGTCATATCATGTCATCCATTCGAACACTGATGTTGGTCGTGTCAAATTGGAGAATAGTCAGACCCGAACTGACTATATGCATGATTTTTTGGGGGTGGAGGGTGAGCACTAACCTTAGAAGCACACAGCACTGGCTGTACTGGGATTGGTATTATCGAATTGGCCTTGCTTATTACCTAGCTGCCTAGTAGCTTATTAGCTTATTAACTTATTAACGTGTTATGTATTAGGTAGGTATTTACATATTTACACAAAGTACGTGTAATCCCGTTGACACGGAGTACGTATGTGGTATGTTAGTAGAATAGAAAATGAGGCGTGCGATTGGCAGGTAAAGTAGGACAAGAGGCGCTCAACTTTACGGAGATTTCGGGCCAGGGGTTTGAGTGGTGCTGGTGGTCGCGCTCTTCTTATCACGTTTAATAGCTGGAGATGATCCAATATTAATACACACGGGCGCATTATGCATCCAAGTTAAGGGAGGTTCTATAATACTAGGACGATCGGGGAGATATGTAGCCGGTACATGCCGTCTAAATACTCCCTACTAGGTAAATAGTAAATGGTGGTATTCAATTGTAAATTGTAAATAGTCACTGGGTATACTTTTATCAAGTAAGAATTTGGCTGGTTTGGTCAAATGTTAAATTACAATGGTCATCGCTGCGGTTTGGTTGGCGGCCTCGTAATCGCTCTTCCCCTTCTTGATCATTCGCCTCTTGAGCTAGGTAGGTACTATGTAATAGCCAGCTACTACTTATAGCTAGGTAGTGCCTACCTCTTACCTCTAGCCCTAAGCCAATTCTCAGGGCTCCCTTCAATGTTTCTTCTATCTTCCCTCTTTGCGGCGTAGACTTCAAAGCCACAGACTTACATCCATCTACATAGGTAATTAATTCCGCATACGTATTTACGTAGACGCGCATAAACATACAGACAAATGTTCTCATTTGCAGGTAGGATTTTGGAGGACGCGTTGGAAGTAACATGGAATGATATAAATAGAGAGTTCCGGTCTCACGAATCCAAAGTTGGTACCATCATTCATCCATTCATCGTCATACTCCGTACTCCCGTATCCGATCTAATCTATCAGACTTGGCAAACTAAATGTTCCAAGGTTACCACAATTATCATAATTATTACATTACCTAGTACAGCTATTCATTCGTTTTTATTTCTAATAGCCTACATCCCTATACTACATACCTAGTACTACGCCTATCCCCAGTTCTCCTTTATGTGTACATATAGATAGGTAGGCACATCCTTAGGTAGAACACTACATATGTAAGAGGCGTCCTACCTAATTAGGTAGGATTATATCATAATCCCTGCCAAGTGCTCCTACAACTGTGTACCTAGGTGTGTAAAACTATACCGTTATCCGAGGTCCCGCGAATAAGATCGCTACATGTATTCGCCAAATTTTTACTTCTCGGTAGGTACCTAATACCTACTGTACCTACATGTAGCATTTAATCTACATTATGTAACCTTAAAACTCTATTAGAAGACATCTGGAGTCAAGTATTCTATTCCCCACCTTTCATGTACCGAACTGGCTATGATTAATCTCTCCCAGATATTTATCTAGGTATATTTATATGTATATAGGAGGCGAGCAAGCATGACCGAAGTAGTAGGTGTGGACGGGTGGGTTTCTATACTTGGCGTCATACGGTAGAAAGGCCACAGCCTACAGGGAAGAAGCCAATTAATATAATCGACCACGTTGTACCAGCCATCATCAAGGGAGGTAGCTATCATGTAGGTACTAGGCAGCTAGGTAGGAAAGGAACGGCGAGACAACACGTGCAGCGGCTGCAAGTTTCATCGAATTCTATACACCTAGGCAGCCTTCTGCGATATACATGTTCACATCCCTTGCCATCCTCTACGCAGCCTCGTCGCATCATCGCCCAGCTTTTGTATTCTCGGGAATATATACCTAGGTACCTACTAGGTAGGTAGGGACATTTACCAGTATTCCGGCTTGACGTAGTTGGCGAATGTCTTAGGCTCTTCATAACCGTGGTGGTCATGGTGGTGGCCATGGCCATCATCTTGAGGTCCAATGTATTCCATTTTGTAGACACTGCCGCACTCGGGACATCGCTCCATCGGTCGCTCGCGGGACATCTATATAAATATATTGTCAATTAAGCCTCGCCCAGCCAAGCCTGCGCATCCTAACGGAGAAATATGGCATTTTCGCAAATTTATAGCAAGGCTAGAACAGGAAAGGAAATAACGTACGCCGAGCCAGTTAACGATGTGAGAGTCGGAGGGGAAGCCAGTGCAACCGGCGTACTGCTCGTCACCAGCAGACCTGACTAAGATTGGATCGTTGACAGTTCCTAGGATACGCCATCAGCTCAATTTGCCTTCTGTGGCTGACAAGGTTAGGTCCGTACCTAGCCGCGAAGAATCGAGGGGTCGCATATCAAAGATATCCACACCCTCTATCTTGCCGAGAATTTCCAATCGTTCCAAACCTGTGGACTGCTCGAGATCGGTAGGGACGGTACCGGGCGCGGCACCGGGTCCGAGAAGGTCTTCTTCGGTCCTGATTTCTGTATATTGTGATGCCCAAAGTCAACAAAGTTTGCCCACGCCATATAGCTCATATAAAACTCAATTGGATCCAATTAGTTCATACCGCTGAAGGTCTTCATCTTTTTGCTAGTGCTAGGGGAAGCCTGGACATTCTTCGCGTCGCCTAAAGGTGCAAAATATCAGCTTCGTCCATAATAATCGGTCTATCGTACGATGCGCCTTCGGCTATGACACGGGATCGGTATTTCTTACGGCGGATAGCTGAGACGGTAAATGTTCGTCGAGCTGCGGGAGATACGGCTGCCCGACGGGCAACAGCCACTGCTGTGCGTTGCAGGAACATGGCGTAGGCGATTGGGAGTGGAGATTTAAATTATTCGGCGGGTGGTGTTGAGGTTGGTGGATGGTGACGTTTTGTGATTGTGATTGTAAATTGGAGGTTTAGAAAAGAGGGATTTGCGAGTGGTCTGATTTGATGATTGTACCGCTGTACCGAACCGAAAGCTTGGACTTTCTGCTCCTGGCACCCGATTGCCAAGGTTCTTTCCCTATTTGGGACCATAGACGAACCATATCGAGGTCCCCACCGCATTAACCATGTCGTTAGTCATCAATTCTGAAAGTTGTAAACCTTCGATCACATGATCTCTGTACAACTGTAATAGACTGGATTTGGTGCAACAGTCGACTCATTGGGACGTTGGTAGCATTTAAGAGTACCCGCATTTAAATCTCAAGTAACCCCAAACTTTTAAAGATGAATCGACTAAATCAACCATATCACACTGCATTCTCACCTGTTTTATACATAATCTATGCACGAAAATGTGCGCTGGCGAGAGCATATGCCTCATACTTGCAGCCTTTTCATCTTTAATTAATACACATTTGATCGCATACTTATTTGGTCAAGTCTAGACTACGGCAGTACCGATGGTCTAGGCTATAGCCATAGCTAATATCTCATGGATCTCGTGGATTTCATGGATCTCACGGTTGCTTATAGACGCCTCGATGAGGAAAAGAGGCATGCGCAACCAATATTGAGGTCTTCTGACCTTATGTCCGTTGCCTACTCCTAGTCTCGCCTTTCCGGGTTACAGGCGACAACACAACGTGGCGCATACATGACTGCCTTATGCATGTCCTGCCTACCTAGTACTTGGCTCTTCAATGGCAGCCTGCCAAGATAGTGGCGATGCGTCGCAAATGACTACCTACCTATTACCTAGTACCTACCTAGGTAGTATGTCAGACAACCTTGATCCATTTTGACGAAGATAGCGACAGCGGAATATTCAATAAACACCAGTCTACTCATTGCAATGAAACTAAGAATACCGAGAGTGGTATCCTGTATGAAACAATCACACCCATCCTCTGCAATTATGAGACGACATACTGAAGAAATAGTCGACATTAACCTAACAGCTAGATACATATGTGACATCTGATACCTAGGTAGGTATGGCCCTCTACTCATGTATGTACTCTAATACAACCAGATCCATGTACCAATAGCGAGTCTCCCCTCCTGTCTATCTGAACGTCTACCAAACGAGGACCGAAATCGCACTCGTACGCGTACGCGCCATATCCGCTAAAGCTCAAGGCTACCTACTTCTCCTTCCTGGACTGGAAAGCCTTGAGGACTGACTGCCGTTGCTCACGAAAGGTGTACTTGAATTCGACATCGCCACACACACCACTCTGAGCCTCCTCTTCGGTAACCCACAAGAATGCCTGGTGCTCATTCGGATCCAATTTCACCTCATACCCATCCACTTCAACCAGAAAGGAAAACTTGCACATGCGCCGAGTTTCCCGGATGAAGAACACCTCGCGTCCGCCAATAAGGGGACCGATAAAGTTGGCGCATAACCCGCTTTCCTCCCATAGCTCGCGCGCTACGCCATGCAGCAGAGACTCGTCTTCGAAGTCGCATGATCCACCCGGTATCTCCCATAGCGACGGCATCGAATCATGCGCCGCCCGTTGGACAAGGAGCAATTTCCCTTCGGGGTTGAAGACAAAGGCACCGACAGCTATGCCATTGAAGTCCGGGTGGGCGATCAGATACTCCCGCATAGACAGGTTATAGCTTGCCGACGAAGGCGAGAAGGCGAAATTTGTTGGAGCCGAAGGCGCGGATCCCGCAGGTGCTTCTACTAGCTCGCCCATTGTGACTGCTATGTAACTTGTGTGATATATTGTAAAATGGTTCGTAGTAAACTTAATATCTTATAAGCAGTAATCAAGTATGTTTCTTGGGATTTCTTGAGCGTTATGAGAAATTCTGTTGATTCAATGCAAATATCGAGAGTGGTAGTGAATGATTATATAGCATCCGGGAAAGGGTCCAGACCCGAATTGATCGCTTGTCATTGCCGTGACCGAAGAGGACCTAGATCGGGATTATCGGGCTAGTAACTGATTCAAAATGACCAGTCAGAACTTTAGACTATCCCCTTTATGCCCCTCCCCTCCCCGTAAAATGCTTGAGGCTGAACAAAGTGGACAAAAGGACGGAAGCCTTAGAGCTTCAATGCCCACTTTCTGCCCCCAATATTCCCATACTTCCATGTCCACATGTCAATATATCAATATGTTAAGCATGGCGAAGTTATTAGCGTTGACATTTGCCCAACAGTTTCAGGCAACTATCATGCAAAATGTAACAACCTGAAATGGAAAAAACAGCGAACAGATCCGCTAGATGACGGTAGTTTCAGGGACATCACAAAGGATAGCTGGAGAAACCTATAGATTGCCCAGTGCTGCGAGCGTCTTACTCATGCAGCTTACCTACCTAGGTACCTAGTGTGTTAGACATTCTCTTCATCGTTGAAGAATTATTGTGACGGGGCACGTGAGGGTGTTGGTATCAGCTTAAGAAATTTTAGTCGGGTAGAGCGGAGTTATCAAATGTCGTTTGCGCCTCCAACGCCCCGATATGCATACACGTTAGCAGGGGTCGTGCCGTGTCTGGAAGGGAGGTGAAATCAACTTACTCCGCGCCTACCGGTTCTATATCTACATGTACATCTATCTATGGTAATTAGGTAAGCATATGCAAAGTGAACTTGATTGTCATCAAGATCAACGAACAACGGAAAGCTAACATTAAAATTCCTAGTGAATGATGTCATACTATAAGGATAAAAGGGAAAGAGCCATGATTACGGTAATTCATATAAAATTATGTCGCATTAAAGTACAGGCAGGTAGGTACTATACTTAGGTACATAGTTATTAGTGATTGGGCTGTCGGGTTATTCCAGTAGAAGGCGTAACCCCTCCGTCGCTTCTTCACATACATCAAAAGACCATCATCAAAAGGCCAATCTTACCCCTGATCATAATTCTCAAAAGTTCTTCTCTAAAATCCCACCAGCAAAGCAAATAAATCAAAAAGTACCCCGAATCTCGCAGGGGTCGCCGATTAAGAGACGCCACACATAATATGTTCGCTCACAATGCCTATCTCGCATGCAAGCTGGACACACGACACACGGGACGGCTCACATTATAGACGACATCATCAGATCATTACCTTTTTAGAGGTATATAAATAAGTATTGTGTTCGAAGAGCTGCCAGCCTCATCGCAAAATACAACCATCCTACAGTCATTCCCGTTTACCAACTCTTACGCTCAGTCACTAAAGAACGAACGTTCCCTCCATAACCTAGCAAATTTCTGTTGATAGCCGGATAAGGAGATCAAGAAGAATAACCCTTCGAACAAGCATTCATCGATGCTTCAACTCTGTTCTCTTAGCTCTCAAAAAGGTGAAACATGGGAGGCTGATCGGAAGTCCGAACGTGCAAAGATTGCGAATGGAGATACCATCAAAGACGCACGATGAACCCGGTACATAAAAACGACAAATGAAGCACAGGAAAGGATTTAACTTGTCCATTCATTGACCATGGAACAATCCCCGGCGACTTACTTTTAACGAGTTCGCAGGTATTGTTATCACTCTAGTCATGCAGAAGCCCAAGACAAGCATTTAGTAGAAGATGCTATTTCATCATGTCTTGCAGCTCCAATGCATTGCTGATCCCCTACCGATTTTCTGTGGCTGGTCAATCACCGGGTTGGAAGGTCATGTCCTAAATACACCAGCACAAATATTTCGACACAAGCGAAACGTCAACTTGTCTGGACCTGAGTGGATATCTAGGAGGGATAGACCTTCTGTGCCGGGTATCCAAAGCGGTCGCTATACATCGAGGTTGACAGAAAATCCTCCATCGCATTTTCCCGGCATCAATCTTAATGGGCTGAGAGAGTATTCACCTTCCTATGCACATCGTGCTTAGTGGAGGGTCTTGAATCAACATACACTCTCGGCGTGGTATTGTGGGATCAAATGCCGGAGCAGATCACATGCATACTGTCGTTTAGACGAGGGACATGCGTTTTCACTCGGGTGTCGGTTTGCGGACCACTGGCGATTATCAAAATTGTTCCAAAAACCCGCGATATATCAAGGCGCTCTATCCCCAGATACCTACAAATCTTTGAACGGAAATTGAACTCTTAAGGCAAGTTCCTAGAGACTTTACAGCAGTCATGCTCGCACTTTTGGGTCGGATAAGAAATGACTAAATAATGGTCGATAAATCCCGGGTGCAGAGGGCTTCGTTTTTGCATCATATCTATTAGGAACGTGTTAACAAAAAGTCCACCCGAACAGGCGAGAGAAACGAATCAGACCCGATAAGCACCTGCTCTGATGTAGATAATTCCCTCCTCCGGGGATGAATGTTGAGTGGGGTTAGGAATAACCCGTCACGGAACGGAAGAGGCCATCAAAGCTGTGGACTCCGGGCCGATCGCTATGGTAGACACGAGATCTGCGTACCGAAGATAATATCGGAGGATGCGATATCTTTTGTCGATCAATGCTTACTACCCTAATTATGGACTTCCAATTCTGAATGAATTCAAGTATACGGTGCCGAGGACTATGCTCGTACAATTTATTGTTCCTATTAATGGACAACGTGGGGTTCTTCTGCATCTGAGACATGACGGACAGGTTGAGACGAACCGACGGAGCCCACGAAGCGGAAACACGTGTGGAATGTCTCCAATTGGTAATCGGTGCTGTTAAACGAAGCCTTTCTGGGACAGTTCACATCATGAAATTATAGAACGTCTAGATTAAAGAGGTAGGAAAGGCAAGTCGTTCTCTCTTTTGTCGAACTTACTAATATCTACACTCACAGCCTTAATAGGACATATATGTATTGATTCATCGGAAATAATTTACGATATTATGTACGAAATACGCATTTACGCGAAAGTCCAAGAAAAAAAGGAAGAAAAAAAGACTCGACTAACGTGAAACGGGTAGGACTTGTCCTATTCGACATCTTGGCAAGTTCTCGTGTTGTGGCTCGTGCCACCCCCTTTGAACCAGCTAGAACCCTGCGAATTTGCGAATTTGTCTTAGGTTTTAGTCGACCTAGCAGTCGCCCAGCTAGCTAAGAAAACGTGGAGTTTCTATCGGATTTCATACGTGAGCGAAACCATGAAGATTCGGTATGATCAGCCTCAAGCATACCCTTTTACCGTTCGATAAACATGCTATATTAGAGAATAGTATTATTATAGATGCCTTGTGTTCTCTCATTGAAGGCTTCCTCAACGATCTCTAATGAATACCAACGAAGGTGTTCTTAGCTGTGAGTCGAATACGACTCAAGGTTGTTGAAACGAGGTTACCTCACATATGTAGTAACATATGCAGTATTAGAGGATGCCTCAAGTTGCACTGAAACGCCATTGTTAATTAAAGAGACACCGACCCAATATGCCCAGCTGCCTGGGTTTTACTATTAGCGATGCCTAGAGCCGCAACAGGTTCGAACCCCTGCGCCATACCCTATGAGGATCTCGGCAATGGGTAGCTTACCTCTCACCCTCGCCGGGGTGTCTTGGAGCTCACGATATTCTCCAATTGAATCTTCCTCAGCCTGCCTTGTGATCTTCCTTTTACTTTCTTAGTTTGCTTGTCACTTCTAATCGGCCGTGGTTCATTGCTACGGCGTTATTTTCTCTTTCTTTTCATTTGACATCCGACCGGTCGGCTCGGCATTTTTATTCGTTTCTTAATTCTCATTTTTATATTGTTTCCGGCCGTATCTTTCGTTTCTTACCGACATCCTAGACGGATTTTTTTTCGTTCATCCTTCCTTCAACCTGGACCGTCAGATAGATCGAAACGGATATAGGAAAGTAGACGGAGCTGCTGGGCCAGCGACAGATTATCCAGCAGTGATAAGGACTATAGACGAAGTTTGAAGCCGATCTATAATTCATACGTCGTAGTGAATCCATGCGGGAACTTAAACGGTAGTCCTCAAAGCTCCCACCCTGCCAGAGATGGCAGTCCGACTCATCTTATTCCTTCACCTAATAATAGGAGCTCATTGTCATGTCGCTGCCCTCGAGCGCCGGTCTGACCTCTATGTCAAGTTACCTGTCGTACATTCCACGAACAAAAAGGTATTCTCAGACTTCGGGGATAGACGAGCGATAACAACCGTGCCTCTTGCCAATCGGTCTGATGTAGCATACTATGCACAACGTTGGTAATCCCTCTCCCCTTATACCGCCCGCTAGATCTTACTAAAATATGAAAGTTGAGATTGGCACGCCAGCACAGCAGGTCTATGTCCAATTAGATACCGGCTCGTTCGAACTTTGGGTGAATCCCGACTGCTCAGATCTTCAGGGCTCAGCAGACATCAAATTCTGTCAGGCAGTAGGGCATTATACGCCATCATCTTCATCGAGTGCCAAACAAGTGGCTGGTACAAAGACATTGCGGTATGGCATTGGTAGCGCCCAGATCCAGTATGTCGCGGATGATATCGGGCTTGCGGGCACGAGTGAGTTTCCCTTTGAACCTACCGTGGTAGGATCCAGAATCTAACATTTGACTACCTAGACTCGAAGCTGAAAGGGGTTCAGTTTGGAGTTGCTGTGGATACGGTTGATGAATTTGCTGGTATTCTAGGGATCGGCCACGGAGCCAACGTAACGATTAACTATAATAACTTCATAGACGAGTTGGCGGTACAAGGAGTGACAGGAACGAAAGCGTTTAGTTTGGCGCTCGGCAGTAAGGATGAGCAGGAGGGCGTCGTCATATTTGGCGGGCTGGACAAGGGCAAGTTCACCGGTAATCTTCAAACGCTACCGATCATCCCGGCTTCGCAATCACCAGACAAGGTCCCGAGGTATTGGGTAAACATGACGTCCTTAAGCCTCACCCCGCCGAGCGGCCAGAATAAGGTATACGAGAACACCACGATGGCTGTTTTCCTCGACAGCGGCGCCACCCTCACCTTGCTGCCGACGAAGCTGGCGAATGCGATCGCGGCGGACTTCGGCGCTGAAACTACGGACTCCAACGGATTTTACCCGGTCGACTGCTCTCTCAACGACCTGCCGGGTACCCTCAACTTCGCGTTCAACGGTGTCATGATCAAAGTACCGTATAACGAGCTCGTCAGAGAACTCGCAACAGGTTTTGGAACGCAGTGCTTTTTGGGAATCAGCCCGAGCGACGACTTCACACTCCTCGGGGATACTATGCTGCGTTCTGCTTACGGTAAGTCGAGGCCTACCTACTAATATCTCCTAAGGTCTTAAGAAGGTCATTCTCGTTTGGATAGGAAATCAAAACTAACAAGACTTCCCACAGCCGTCTTCGACCAGACCAATAACGCGATACACCTAGCCCCGTACGTTAACTGCGGCACGAACGAAGTAGAGATCACGCCACAGACGAACATGGCGACTATCAAGGGCGACTGCGCCGCGCCGGCGGCCAAGAACGCGGCGTCGACGGCTACGGGCGGATCCGCTACCGCGACGGGATCCGGGGCTGCGAAGACTACGTCGCCTATCACCGCGACGAGCGGCGCTGACCAAGTGACGGCGAAGAGCGCGGGATCGAGGAATAGTGTTAAGTGGGGGTTGGGGTTGTGGTTGGGGGTTGCGACGCTTTGGGGGGCGGTGGCTGTGGTGGGGGTATTTTGAGATACGAGCAAGCGATGTTTATTTGCTTTAGAAAAGAAATATTTTATGATTTTGAATGAACGATATTCATTTACGAGACTTCCGTCATAGTGTGAGGTTTGAAGTTCGAGGTATAGACGTGGTATTGGGGGCTCCACGATGCCGGCGTGACTCATGGCTCGGATGGGCGGAGAAAGTCTTGAAGATCGGTGGCTTGAATATCTGTTTGCACATCCATCATGCGCTTCGTTGCGCTAATGCTGAAGGACCACTTAGGTATCTAGGTTCTCGCGGAATTGATGTTACGTTATATCGAGCAATACCTACTTTGGTAGGTGGCTTGTATGTAAGGACTGTGTTAACGGACTTCTATAACGGGCGCGCTCATCTATTCTAAGAAAGGTTTATAGAGCAGTATGCATACCTAATGATTGGGGGTAGCCTCGGCTTAGGGAATAGCAAAATTGATTGAACTGTGGGAATTTACTGGATTTTAAATATGCGTGTTTGGTCGAAAGGGGCTGGTGGTCGCTTTGGAGGACGAACGTTTGTTTGGGGGTATGCGGTAATGGAACTAACAACCAACAACCAATAAGAGACGTACAGTACGCTGTATGTATCGACGCATGTAAAACGAAAACGAATCGATATACATAACCGTCGTTTTCGTAAATTGTTGTTCTCCCAATATCCCGTATTCTAACGGCTCAGTAAGGTAGGCTATTCCAGTCTTGTCCTAATTTAAATACATAATTACCTTACTTAGACCTAGATAAGTACTTCGTAAGTACATTCATAACCATCACTTGCTCATCGTGGCGCCGGATGTCGTATATTGACCCATCCAATCTTCGCCCAACTTCGGCTCGGCTTTGCTTTTGCTTACTGTACCTATCCTCTATCTCGGTCCCGGGTGCTTCTGCCGGCGCTGGGGAGGCTTCCCGCTTCCCTGTAGGTGGATGGGTGGATGGGTGGGTAGCGATGGATCTTGATCTAGCGTCGTCGCACACGATCAGGTTGCTCGGCATGCGTGTGTTACTGCTGATGCTGCTGTGTTACGCTGCCGTCCGGAGTTGTAGATGGGGTGTGACGAGTGTCTTGGCTGTTCTTGACGGCTTGGGAATTTCTTGTTTTGGAGTGGAAGTGAAGCCTCACGTTTATATGATTTTGTAGGCTCCTGGTGGAAGTATGACGTGCATGTAAATAGAAGCTCGAGTTGTTAACCACGAAATATCTACGTACTTCAAGACACAAGAACAAGAGGACAGATTTCGTCCCAGCTAAATGGCGTCAAACGCAATAATTCATAAAGAATCTATATATGTATGTATGTGGGTAAACACCGATGCAAAAAATGTGGTATCTCGAGAGTAGGTAAATACAACGATTATATAAAAGTTTGTTTTTTCTTCCTCTTTAACGCTCTGCGTAAAGAAGTATTTGGGTATCCGCCCTTAAACCTACGACCCTCCCTACACTAGTATGTAGATTGTATGCCACAAGACTGCCACCATCGCCTAAATAATGCACCCAAACAAACAGACAAATACATCTACGGCTCCTCCACCACCACCTCGTCGTTCTCTAATAGCTTCTCGTCTACATCCACATCCACCTCTCCATCATCCTTCTCCCAGCGCCCCCGACTAGGCCACAGGTCCTCGAAGACCTGCGCCATGACGTCGCGCACGCGACCGACTTCCTGCGCGCTCTCCGTCATCACGTCGTCGTTTAGACACCACTGTCCGAAAACTTTACCCCGCCGTATCGTGCGCTCTAGCAACTCCGTCTCCGCTTGCTCGGCATCCTTCACCATGACGAATTTCATCGCGTCCGTATCAACGATAGTGTGCTGGTATTTCCGCAGCGCTTTGACGATTACCTCGCGGTCGTGCGGCTTGGCGCTCTTGGGTGGGAGGAGCGGCTCTAGTCCTCGTGGCGTGGAGGCGAGGAGGAATTTTATTAAACAGTCACCACATTGCGGGTGCTGGTATGAGAGGCGCGAGAATATGTTAGAGGCGGTGAAATCGGGGTTTCTTGTTGTGGAATCAGATAGAGGTGATCCGAAGGAGTCGCCGAAGCACTTGTCTACGCTGAAGTCGTTGCATTTGATATTGCGGATCGTCTCGGGTCCATCGAGCGATGTCCATAGTATGTTTATGTTTGCTTGGGGTGGTTGTAGGCCCGCTCTTTGGAGAATCTGGGGGAGTTTGTAGTACATCCGGTCCCGATCCGGGCTTTGCGCTGCTGGCTTAGATGCGTCTTTGCTGGCTAATTGTCGCCAGCCTGGCTCCATGGCTTCTAGAACGTGCTGGCGTTCCGTCCAATCGAGATACCCGTCCGTGTTCTTGTCGGACCGGGACATAATGAAGGACCAGAGTAAGGCCTCCCGGAATCTCTCGATGGTGTAATGAAAGCTAGCGAACCACGGGTAGATTTGAAATTTGGACTCCCCGCGGAATCGCTCACAGGCGCCCTTGGCAGACGGCTGCGGGAAGGAAGACATGGCTTCCTCCATTACTTGGCGGGAGACGGAGTGGGTAAAGTGAGCTTGAACGTGACGGTTGCGTTCGCCGAACCGGTGGTTGAGGAGGTATGACGTATAGTAAACAAATGGTTTCTCCCCAAACGAAGGTATTTGGTCTTTGCCGCCAAGCTGCTTAACGTTGTAATGATCGGGCTTAAAGCCCATTGTGTGCCCGAATAAGGGCGAGTAGAAATCGGAAGCGGCGTGAGGCATACCCAGGAACATATCATCCGATAATGCCACAAGTTGGTCAGTCGTAGACGGAGTCATGTATATTTGTGACTCGATGGAAAGTGAGTTGAAGGTAGGTAAGCATTCCTTTTCCTGTTCTCGGAAGAAGGATTCGTGACTAAGAACCTGAACATGTTCATTGGTGTTCAGGTCGTTTTTAAGCCATATCGGCCGCTGAGGACGCATATTCTTGCCATCCTTGTCGTAAGAGCCATTGGTGACTGAATTCACTAGGAGTTGAATCTTGTTGACGAACCCCTTAGCGTATACGTCAAGACTGCGGAGGGAATATTTCAACTCGTCCCAGTCACGATATCGGTTGATGCTGTGTTGCGAAATCCACTTCCCTTCCCGATCATTGAGGGGTGACTCTAATTCATAAGTATGTCGAATATCTTTAAAAGCATCCTCGGTGCCGTTAACCCAATTATAGACGAAGTCGATCTTCGGCTCGGCTAGCGGGCCATGCTTATCGACATTAAAATGACCTGAAGAGAACCACTCGTCCTCCCACCCGTCTAACTTGATGTCTTTAACTGCTTCCTCGAATGATATTCGAATAACGTCAGGTAGACCGTGATAAAGTGCCTTTTCGTCCTTCGCCGGCTGAGGGTTTTCCTTTTCGTCCTCGCCGCTGCCCTTTGTCATTACGACGGCACCACCACCAACCCATTGAGATGGCGTACTCTCGAGCGCGGCATGGCGCATCAGCTGGAAGGTAGTATAACTCTGGCCATCCGACTCGACCGACTCCCACTTATTCTCTATTAACACCCATATTAATGTTATGAAGATGGTAAAACATAGTATTCTCCGTATCCGTCGTGATGTGAATGTCCCTTGTTCTATGGTAGGAGAGCTAGGGACTTTTATGAAAAGTCGAGGTAACATCCTTGGCGACAGTATGGTCGGAGAGTATTCGACTGGACTTTGACTCTGGCTCCGGCGAGGTATAGACAAGTTCTCGCCTGACCACACCATCCTGAGATATGTTGCAGGATTTTTCCGACTTGGCGTCCGTTCTTATCGTAAGTGAGGAATGCCAGATGATTCGTTTAAGGATTTTGTTCCAACGATAGAAGGTAAAAGTCCTTCCCTATCAAGTATTCCAGATTATCCCCGGAGGAAACTCTGTCTCGTGAATGCGCAAGCTAAATGAGTGGAATGACAACTGAGTTGCCGTAACGTAACGATCGTGATTCGCGTGTTCCGTTTCTCACATGTTCGGTCCGGATAACTACAGGGGCGTCACCTTGAGAAAGCCAATCTCGACGTCGAAATGCTCATGACTGTTATCAGGTCGAAAGGTATGGTCTCACGATGGTTGCATCTATCAACGAGAAAGAACTCTCAAAGGCAAGTAGAAAGCAGACCGAGCAAGCAGTATAGGAAACGGATCGACAGCACACGAGCACTTGCCTACTCAGACGGACCAGCCGCGGACTAACATTATCGATGTTCCAATGTAGGTAAGTCTGATGTCCAATGTCGGCAACGAAGCCCACATCCCTAAATTTTTCACAAAGCGGGAGGGCGGACGAATCATCTTGGCTGCTTGGGTTGCTTAGGACTCGGCAGAGGGGGACGAAAGGGGACCTGCATGGTCTGCAAGGTCCATGGTAGCGAAGATGTACCGAATTTGCATGGCGAAGATCCCAACTTCTGGGATAATAGAAAACGGCCTTCCATTCCAGGTTTACAGAGCCGCCAAGCAACTAACTCGAAGGTCACCACTCTTCCCCCACGTCATGGTGTCATGGATGTGACGATAAGAAGAAAAAAATGCAAAAATGCAAAGATCCAGGGGACAAGGTTTTCTGTATTCGGACGAGATGAAGGTTAGCTAACCAATCACAAGCTCGAACACGTTCATATAATGCATAGAATTGCCCCAGTCGGGCTATAGTAACAACAAATTTTAGGAGACTCAGCAGATTCAGGAGACTTAAAGCAGACTTGGGAGACTTGGGAGACTTGGGAGACTTGGGAGACTTGGGAGACTTCGGGAGACGCGAGAACTTTGACAAGTTGGGTTTATTGAGTAACGTACATACGAATCTGCATTACCTCACACAAATTGCTGTGGTCTTCTGAGTCTTTTTTTCGGAGTCATGGTGTCCCTTACTTTGACTCCTCAAGTCCTAATCTTTTCACTTAAGCTCGTCATTCCGATCATCGATGTGTTATCAGACGTTTGATAGTAGCTTGAGTTAGCTTGAGTAGTTTGAGATCCATTGAAGTCCGATGTGGTCTTCATCTCCTTCTTTTCTGGGGAATCGCACACGTGCCACAGTCAGCTTTCGCTTCCATTGAAGTCGCGTGCGGCGAAACCTCTTCGAGAGACCTTCCGTATGGGGCTATTGAGTTGTCTAATGGAGTGCTGCTATTTGATCAGACGCATGACTATCTCGAGAGGCTAATATCGTTATAGAAGTGATCGACCTCTGATAAGTTTATGGGCTATTAGGGGGAAGAGAGTAATATGTATGCACATATAAAATAATTATATGTTATGGGATGGGAATAATAAAAAAGGAATAATAGGTAATAAAAAAAATACTATCTGCAGGGCTCACGAGCCTGCGACAACGCAACGGCTTGGCATGCAATACCACACCTCTTGGCACGACGTATGCTAAGCCTTTTCGGCTCTGTTACTTGCAGATCCGGTATTCCCGTCGCTTATGATTGGCGGCTTGACGATATACCGCCTGAGCCCTGAATCTTAATCTTTCCGCGATCGACCTTGGCTTTCTACCAGTTGGGCGGTCCTCATTCTGATGGTGCAGTTGGTGTTGAGCGTGATGAGGCACTTGTGAGGATATCTAGAAATATCCTAGAATATCCTTAAATGGCGAATCTCCTAATCCCCTATCTTGAGGCCTTACAGACAGACCCAGACAGACCCAGATAGACGCAGACAGGCCTTAACAAAGTAAGGGAGCATCCAATGTGACGTTCCTTTCCTGACCATGTTTAACAACAACGATGTTAGACAGTCGGAGTGCTCAGGATTGAGCATTTGAATCCTCCTGTTAGACTGGATATCTGATATCTTTACCTACCTACATACTAGGAGGTAGAGATATCTAAGGTATCTTTGTTATTATCACTTTTTTCCACATTACCGGCTCTCGGTGAATGTGTGCTTCGTCTCATTCTGTACACTCGTTCTCTGCTTAGTTGGTAATTACACCACTTTAGCATCTCTTATCGAATCCCACACTATTTGCAGCAGATGCGGGTAGTATAGCAGTCGTTAATAGGTCGTTAGTTTTTTTGATCTGCCGCGCTTTGTTTAATAGATTTATTAGATAGTCTTGTTAGTCTCGCCGTGTGGATCTCGTCATTTCACTACAGGAGTCTTGGCTGAAGACCGGGATATGCGAGCGGCTTGTCGAGATCTGTGTCATCATTTCGATCAATACGATCATTACGTAGGTGAAGAAAAAGCTTAACTTTGAATAGGAGGTGGATTTGCTAAAAGGAGGGACAGGGACAGTGACACTCCCGCTCCCTATCGACTTCGAAAATTCATAGGTCGACAAAGAGGGAGTGAGGTATCGGTTGGGTAACGTCGACATGTATCTAGCAGGTCACCCCAATAGGGAGGATGAAGAATCCCTCCTCCCCGGTTCACCCACGGCAGATTTTGCTCGCACCAGTTCGCCGTCTGGATGGAGAAAGGGCCTTCAGTCGGTTTCACCGCGTGCGGCCTTATGGAGATCCCTGACCTTTCTGAAGCCGAGTTTCTTGGGGAGGCGATCGCCAACCTCCGAAGCATCAGCGAAATCCGGTGCACCGGCGAAGAAGCCGTACGCGACCGAGTATCTCGATGGCGTCCGCGGCGTCGCCTCTTTGATAGTTTTCATCCTGCATTGGACTCACATTCCTTATCCGGCTGTTAACTCGGGATGGGGGTACAAGGACAACCGATCGTTCTGGTTGCTCCCATTCATCCGCCTCATCTACTCCGGTGCCGCCATGGTCTCGGTCTTTTTTGTCGTCTCCGGCTTCGTACTTTCTCATCGATTCATTCAACGGATGCATCGTCGCGAATACAATGAGTTGTTCTCCGGCTTGACATCGCTCACCTTCCGTCGAGCAATCCGCTTATTCCTTCCAGCCTTTGCGTCTAGCACGTTAGCTTTCTTATGCGCATGCGTTGGTATCGTCAATGTACCCAGGAAGGTGGACGGCAAGCCATTCCAACACAGTCTGAATTCGTATCTAGAGTACCTCGACATGGAGTCCAACCCATGGGACTGGTCCGCGGACTTTTCCGGTTTCTATAACCCACAATTATGGTCTATCGCTGTCGAATTTCGTGGTTCTATGGTTATCTTCCTACTCCTTGTCGGGCTTGCGAAGACTCGAACCGCCGTTCGATTAACAGTCGAAGGGATTATCATGGCCCATTCCTTTGGCCACAGGCGCTGGGACGTCGCCCTATTTATCGCCGGTATGATGTTGGCGGAACTTGAAGTTCTACTAAAGAAGCCGAAGAACCCATCGACTAGGAAGTTTGTTAACGCCTTGCTTATCCTTACGATGGTAGTCGGCCTCTTCCTTTGCGGCTATCCTCGCGATCACAACACTCAAACTCCTGGATACATGTGGTCCAAGTATGTTTGGCCCCTGACCGCTTACCGTCGGAGATTCTGGCTTGCAGTTGGCGCTATACTATCCGTCGGACCTATGGTATTCTTGCCATCCATTCAATCCTTCTTCCTCACCCGGCTAGCCCGATATCTTGGACGGATAAGCTTCGCACTTTACCTCGTTCACGGCCTTGGGAACCGAACAATTGGCAAGTGGCTGCTGAACACTTGTTGGGCCTACATAGGCAAGGAAGGGTACTGGCCTTATGCCATCAGTTTTGTTGTCTCTACGACACTGTATTTCCCAGTTGTTATATGGGCCTCCGACGTGTTCTGGAGAGGAGTCGATGTGCCTTCGACTAATTTTGCTAAATGGTTTGAGAAGAGATGTGCTGCACCGGAGGGCGTACGATAGAATATTTGCCGAGTGCATAATCCGCTTCTTTTGATACCTAACCTAGGGGGGTTTCCATAGTTATTGTATATGAACAACAATTCGAACATTCAAGCGTTTATTATTGTGGCGTCTAATTCTCCTACTATTTCGTAGATATTGGTCTTGAATATGCTTGTTGCGATCCGGGTCGAACGGCGTTTAGAAGATAGAATATTAGCGGATGCCTGTGAGCATCATAACCCCAACCCTAACCCCAACCCCATACTTCTTTTCTTCTAGAAGGGATAGATTATCCATGGGGCTATCGTCGATACCTCAACGACTTGACGCGTGCACTACATTAGTTAACAATAGGTATCCTATTTAAACGCTCATCAATGCAAGCATTTCAACGAACTAAAGCCGTCGCTCCATCTCAGGCCGCCCATAATCGCTACCATGCAAGCAAGCGCGACAAGCACGCTCGTGCCTCCGTACATATACGAATGTCGTCTACTCAAGGCAGTCAGCTCCGCGACCCAGGTGGACACGGTGGTCAAGCATCCACAGAAGCCATCCTCGATCCCTTGGAATACTTGGCAGCTAATCACACCGCCAACGGGGACGTGCGCGAGGTCCCAGGCCATGCCAAGAACCATGGTGCCCAAGATATTGACGGTGAAGGTGCCTAGTGGGAACGACGGCAGATACCCGTTGAGGTAAAGAGAAGCGTAGAATCGGCCAAGACAGCCGAGAGGGGCGAATACTAGCGCGAACGTGGCTCGACCGCGCCAGATCTCTGACGCTCCTTCGTTGACGAATCTGTCTGGTGGAAGTATTGATAAGAGGATGGCCCCGATCCACGAGCCCCATGCGAGGAAGACGGCGAATGGGTCGATGAATTTCCGGGTGAAATTGAAAGGAAGTGAGGGTGTGATCGGTTCTAAGGCCAAGGCGAGCTGGGCTCCGATGAGGAGACCGGCAATGGATAACGTAATAGTGGTAATGGCAACCGCCACAAGGGCCATGAAAGAGTAGCCGCCATTCCGAGGAATAGTAACCGGACCGGTTCCTGGTGTGAGCAGATCGTTTGATAACGCGAGGAATATATCACGTATGAAGGACGAGAAGGACGTGAAAGACCCGCAAAATCCAGTGGCAAGCCCGATGTATAGCGGTATAGTCTTTTTGGTAGCCATATGCGCCTTCTTTGCTGCAGCAAGATCGATAGTTACCCTACCAGAACTAGATTCTCCCGTTTCCTCGTTGAGCTCACTCTCCTTCGCCCTCAATAGCTGCAACTCGTATGTCGGCGTACCCCATTCGAAACGGAAGAGCATACGATCTTCCGCAAGAAATCCCAAAACCATACTCCCTGCAAAATTGGGCCACAAAGAACTGAAAGTAACGGGAGCGCCGACATAATTGGTGAGAGCCTGGAGTCCGACCCGGGCAAGAGTACCAAATATGGCGAAGAGAATGAGATATGAGATTGTGTAGATCTCAGTTGCTAATCTCGAAACGTGGTGTCCTCCCTCCTCGGCTTTTTGTGGTTCTTCGCCACTATGTCGTCGAGCCTCCTGCTGGATGGTGTACCGACGTTCGAGTTCCCTTCCCTCCTCAAGCGAAGGACTTGGACGCCAGCGACGTTCATCCCGACTCGGGATAGGGGCTATCTCCTCTAGCTCAGGTACATTGGCGTAAGAATCGGGGATATCATAATTCGACTGTGAGACGGACGACCGACGCCGTTGCCTCCGGGTCTCCAATTGTTTCAATTCTTCGGCAGTATGTGGAACATCGGGATCCAAACGATCGCCATTTTCGTCTACATCATGAAGATTCTTGTACGACTCTGGCGCGTCGTACTCAGCTCCGGACTGGTAATTACGAGATGTAGATAAGACGCCATCGTGGCGCACGGCATCTCGCTCGATATTCAGCTGTGAGGGATTATCGGATTGGTTGTCCTCCATCTCACCATCTATCCAGGCTATCCTTGACGCGCATAAGCCTCATATACTTTGAATGTCGGCTTTGATTAAACGGCATCGAATTGAAATCTCGGGCAACCCTCCACATCTACAGCCACAAGGTAAAGGCCCTGTATTGGGCGTCTAATTGTTGGTGTCGAAGTCTCAAAAAGGTTGTTTACACGACGCCATCGTGCCGGAGTTGTGAGATTTAATTCTCCTCTTGGCAGGGATTTTCAACCATTACACGAAATTATGCAATGGTGAGACAATGCACAAATTTGGGGTATGTACTGTACCTAGATATGTACTTTGTACGCTCGAGTTACATGACACGCGTGACTGTTATTTGTTAGTGTATGTATTGAGGTACCTAGTATTAGCATATCTCTTATCAATGCCGTTATCGCGAACGAGTTTAGCGCTGTTGTCATGGTGGGGAATGATAGCTGTAGCTGCCCCGCGTCCGGAACATTGGAACTCTTCGATAGCCCTACGTTGCTTCCCAATAGGTAGCCCAGTTAAGGAGCCTAAGGTCTAAAGTTAGCAAGAGCCAGCTACTCCTTCATAATCTATACATTCCGTAACTCCCGATCTTTAATTACAATTGCTATCATCTCTTTAGGACTACATACATTCGAAGTTATCTACAGATCGTGACATACGTACATATATCTTCTCTATTCTGCTAGCATTGGACTATAGTTACCAGATACTATCTGTAATTCGCAATGTCGCTGCCATCCAACGTCCACGTCTCAAAGCACCCATGCCTGAGGGCTAAGCTGAGCCGTCTTAGATCCAAGAGGACTGAGTCGCGAGAAGTCAAGTCTTTAATAAACGAGATAGCTTTGATTCTTGGTTGTGAAGCTCTAGGCTCGGCATTGACACCCGTCGACGGTCCAAAGGTAGCTTATGCCTCTCTCACATTACTCTACTAAGATTCAGTGAAACGTCTTGTAACTATCTATATTAGTTATAGTTGCCTATATACCTCGATAGTTGACACATCATCCCATTTTATAGGACGAGACTCCGATCGGATTCGAATATACGACAACTACGGTGCGTCCGGATGCGTTATCTATAGTACCAATCCTTAGGTCGGGGTTAGGCATGGTAGAAGGTGCGTCACCGCTTCTCGCCCTTCACCCTTCACTCTTCACATCAACCCCCACTCTGCGACACCCACCTTCACACATATATCCCTTTATCATATAACTCGCAAGCCTAACATAATCTCAAGCTATACAAACTATATTACCCGAGCCGGTCCCCGTACACCACCTAGGTCTATACCGGGAGCCTAGCACCCTCGAGCCCGTCGAATACTACAACAACCTCCCTCACCACGTCTCTTCTTCGAACGAGCCAGGCTCCCACGCGTCCAGTCTGGCTATCATCGTAGACCCGGTTATCGCGACCGGCGGGACATGCCAGGCGGCCATCCAGACGCTGAAGGAATGGGGTGTTAAGAAGATCATCGTTCTATCCGTTATTGCTGCTGCCGACGGTGTCCGGCGCGCTGCGGAAGAGTGGAGCGAGGCTGTTGAGATATGGGTTGCCGGAGTCGACGCCGAGCTGACACCTAACGGAATGTTGAAGCCCGGCGTGGGAGATGTAGGCGATCGCTTGTTCTTGACGATAGGCAAGTGAAGTGAAATGGACATGCTAGTGATATAGACGCACGTATTCAATAAATTACGGCTATGTTAGACTGGCAACACTACATACCTACCTATGTAACTATTCGTTGCTACCTAAGTGAATTGTCAGGGTGAATTATTATAACGGTTCGTACCGTTCCTCGTCTACCGTCGTGCGGTTCTTCCAACAATCCTCAACCCATTGCCGCGATACCACTCTAGGAACAGGGGTCCTGGAACTAATAGATGAGCGTACCTCTGCCGCCCGCTCCATCTCCCCAGTCCGATTACTGCTCATCACGACTACATGTGTAATATTCTTATCGCCCAAATCATCAACCACAGACCCACCTCCATATTTGACCCAATTCTTCAACTTGAGGCATGATATAGGGGAGACGTCGTCCGTCGTTGCAAAATGCACTTTCGCGCCCCTGAAAATGCAACTCCTCAAACTGCCCATATCATGACCGTGCTCTGCTAACTGGTTGAGGAACCCTTCCTTATCAAAAGGTTCTCCCACGATTACTACTCTCTTTGGCATCGACTTGAGTACCTGATCCAGCTCCTTTACACTTAGATCCCTAGCGTAGCTATCACCGAATTCGTCCACATTTTCTTCTGCAAGCTGAGTCGTGGTCTCTGTGGCATGGAATAAGTGGCCGGATTCAAAAGGAAGTAGGAAATCCTTATCATGCTGCGCGAGGCAGTCGAGTATCCATTTTGGCTTGATAATATCTATATCTCTAGCTTTCAGCAGGCTGGCCACCTTAACCACTCTCTTCTCGGCAATGAGAAGCATGTGACTTTCTGGATCGGCTCTTTGGTATATCTTGCCGCCGTTTTCCTTGATCAGCGTCTCGAGTTGCGTCTTCGATTTCTTAACCGGATTCGTGCAATCCGATAAAACGCAGAAGTCTAGTCCCTCAAATACTTTTGTTTTAGGGCCTTCGAACATGGCTGGTGCGATGTTATCTTGACCGGCGATGATGATATCCTTTTTGACTCTCTTGGCCGACCGTTTCCGGCGCGACTCCATATTCATAGTCTTTTCCTCATTCTCCTTCTCAGCGCGAGACTTCATGTCCACGAATCCTTGAAAATCTAGACACGAGTCCCAGCTTCGGTCAAACCGTATACCCTTGAACCGTGGAAATCGCAAAGTTATACCCGTAGCAAACTGATCTGACTCCCCGGCACTGGCAGCTTTCACGGATATGACGATAGAATCGCTCGGGCGAATCCACTCGTCAGGTCTGAGAATTTGGTGTCTCTCCCCACCAGCCAGCTGAATGTATTTACTCGGCGGCTTTTTCGAGTCCCATTGCTTCCATTTCCCATCTGTATGGTGTCGGATATCCGCAAAATCTTCCGCACGAAAACCACCGCCCACCTTGACGAAGCTAAAGCATGTCTCCGGGTTAGCTCCAGCTTTTATGTCGTTCTCTGAAGCTCGGAGGCCGCAGAGATAGGATCCGATCGCACCGCCACGATGACCCTTCCCGTAATATCCACCTATAATAACGACGTCTACCGACTCACCGAAGCCGCTCATGTATTCGGGTTTGACTTTGATCCAGTTATCGCTCCGGTCTGCCAAGGAATACATGGACCGCGGGTTTTTGATGACCAACCCTTCGGAAGCGTCAGAGACAATTTTCCGGAGCATAGGCTCGATCACCTCTGCTGAGGTAGCTGTATCATACTTGTGGACTTCCAATCTATATGGTACACCTAGAACGGCCTTTTCGAGTGCTTTTCGGCGATCTCGCAAGGTGTACTGGGTAAGAGGTTGATCGTTTAAGTACAGGATATCAAATATGCGAAGAACCGGTCGAGGCGCACTGTCATCATGTGGGTTTTTCTGTCCTGCGAGTGCTGCTGTCTTCAAAGTGCCAAACTTTAGCACCTTGTCGAGTTCTGGATCCCATACGACCATTTCGCCGTCAAGGATGACGTTTCTGACCCCAGGGGCGAAGGCATCCTTAAGATGACGGGTTAATGAACCGTTCTCATCTCTGAAGCCGTTGCCATAAAGATATGTGTAATCTTTGGCCTTCCTCGACCAGAAGCGGAATCTCTTGCCACCAGGGGTCTCGTCGTCCTCTTCCATGTGCAATTGCATCCGCTCACCATCCAACTTCTCTTCTATCCAAAATTCATCATCACCATCTACCCGATTCATCGAATTGAGTTTATCTACCATCTTTTGGAAAGAAGCGGACATCTGGTAGTGACAGAGCATGGGCTGGAAGCATTGCATCAATGTGACGCTTGTTTGGCCGACGGTGAGACGAAATTTCGGGTCGTAGAGATCCCAACATACTTGCCGGAGACTTGAGGAAACACTGAATAAATCTTGGGCATCAGGATGCCATACTTCCATAAACGTTCTCTCCGTAGCTCCCACTCTCATCTGTCTTAGGATGATGCGGATAAGCCATCGCAGTTCTTCGGCGTTCATGCGCTGGTAAAATGTCTCAAATATGGGAAGTTGCTCGCTCTCGCCAGATGCAGCCGATAGCTTATCCAGCATTTCGTTCACATCGGCAATGCGCATATCTCCTGGATCTACGCGCATAGGTCTCTTGGAAAGGACGTCAAAGCATCTCCCGGAGAAATCACCAGCAGCATGAGCGGTCGCTGACTGGACCGGCTCTTTCCAATGAAGAAGGCTGTATCCATCTTCGGAGTTTCTATCAATTCTCATCAACTTAACGAGCAGGCGACCGATGTTGCTCTCCTTGAGCCCATACATTCCCCTGTCACGATCCGAGCTTGGTAGAATCAGGCGCATGGCTGGGTAGAAATCGTTTCCGACTTCTGACCGCCATCTCGATATGAAACGCTCGATAACATTGCGTTTGTACTCATGTGGTGAGAGTTTACTAGGTCTATGAGGTCCTCTTGGGCGTCGCACAACCTTGGGACCGGTTTGCTGCTTGTTCTCTTGCAATGGATCGAAGAGATCCTTGAAGAGCTCAGAAAAGAAGAGTGTTTTTGAATGATTCTTTGGTCGATTTGGATATCTTAATAGGGTATATTAGTTTCTGATAGGAGTACATACGATGGTGGCTTAAAATGACGACATACTTTGCATCAAGCTCTTCCAGCGCTCGTCCCCCCGTTGCATATTGTCGACGCTCCTCATCCTCTGCACCTTCGTCAGGTAGTTTCTGATGCCGTTGACTCATCACTCTTAATTTCCTTGAACTACTAGGTACAGTGTCAAGGGCACGTTCAAAGGTGAGGTTATGCCTGTAATAAAATCGTCAATTATGACATTGTTATGTCAAGTGTCCTCTCATATTATTGACTCTCATCCCAATTTCGTTTATGAACAATTGTGAAATGTGATGGAAATTCTGAAGGTATAGCAGCCTAGAATTGCTAGAGGTGTTAGGTAATTAAATAATCTGCCTATTTGAAGCTGAACAGTTGATCCATTGATGTGATGTGAATGGTGGATGGTTAGTGGATTCAATGTTGAGTGCCTGAAAGTGACGTATCTTTTTGTTAGTTCTTCCCTAGGTCCGTTATGGAATTTAAAGTTAGCCCTGGAGCCGATGAACTTAGTGGATCGTAGCTGATTTCCGAGTGGGTCAGCAGTGGTCCAATAATGGGTCAATGACGGTACCGCTGGGATCAATCAGAATGCACGCACAATTTTTAGTGTGGGGGTTGTTCTAATCAACGCGTCTCCAATACACATAATTCCCTACAGCTCAACGCGACTTCTATATTGATTGATTTGTATCAATCCCCCCAGTCGTACTTACTGTACCCACTTACTTGACCTCTGCGTCAAAGGCAGGAACGTGCTGCCATGATTGACCAGGTTTTGCTTTTTCCAAATTCACCAATTCCTTTGTTTTCTTACAGACCTAGTCGTCTCCAACTCCTGTATGACTGCTGGTCTTGTCCGACTCCTACCCCCAACACCTTTGCGCTCTCTACATACACCTCCTCTCTGTCATTCTCATGCATTCGCACACCGCTTGAGGTCTCTTAACACAATGTTAGGTAGAGCCGTAGACAAAAAGAAGGCCGACGCGCCTCGTGCCCCGCCCACCAAGACCGATCTCTCAAAGCAATTATTCCCTTCAAGCAGCCCCTCTGCCCACGACGGAAACATTGCGCAGTATGCATCGACCCATAGGTGGCCTGCTAAACCACTATCGAATATTGCGCCTGGATCTACGAGGGCAACAAAAACCAATCAGCTACCACCTAGATCTGCCAACCCACAAGAAACGAGCCGTCAATACAAACCCATATCTCGTGTCACCTCTAATCTAAGCTCCACTGAACGTTCACAAAGCCTGGCATCTCTATGGAGCAACGCCGGATCGTTTGAAGATACACCTGAGCCTGAGAGCGCCCCGTCCCTGGGCAAGGGAAGTGTGCCTGCCTTCTACGCAGAGAGTGACTTTAGCGACGACAATACATTGGAGTTGGATCCTCTGCCTATCGCATCAAAGCCCAATAAAGCCCCATCTCCTCAGCCACCCACCAGCCAGACGGCTTGGTCTTCGTCTCCGCCAGATCACCTTTTCCCTCCGCCAAATGAGAAAAAACTGAAACGCGAGTCATCGGATGAGGCCCCGCGACCTGGCCCGCCCCCAGCGAAGAAGAGGAGCTTACCCGGGACTTGGAAGCGAGACCCTGCTCCGCCACCAGCCCGGAACGACGATCTGAAGGATGCCCGGGCGATCAACAAACTAGCTACTCCCGCGGCTAAGAAGAAGGGGGATCTTCCCTGGGATGCGTCGCAGAGTGCTATCAAGGAAAGTCGGCGACAGCTTAAGAATCAAAACAAAAAATCCGGATCCGGGGCTGAACTTACAAAAGAGGAGATTCGTGCCGCTGCAGACGATCATGCCAAACAGAAAGCTAGGGCTTCTGCCATATCCTTAAGTTCTGAGCAACAACATGTCATCGAGTTAGTCATTCAGAAGAGGCAGAGTGTGTTTTTTACTGGCCCGGCAGGTACTGGTAAATCTGTATTGATGCGGGCGATCATTCAAGAGCTGAAGAAAAAATGGGCCCGTGATCCAGAACGTCTCAGTGTTACGGCGTCTACTGGCCTTGCTGCTTGTAATATCGGAGGCATGACGCTTCACAGTTTTGCTGGAATTGGTCTCGGAAAAGAAGATGTCCCAACGTTAGTCAAGAAGATTCGCCGAAACGCCAAGGCGAAGAACAGGTGGCTCCGGACGAACGTCCTCATCATTGATGAAGTTTCTATGGTTGATGGTGAGCTTTTTGACAAGCTTTCGCAAATAGCACGCACAATTCGGAACAATGGTCGTCCGTGGGGTGGAATTCAGCTGGTTATAACGGGTGACTTCTTCCAATTACCCCCCGTCCCCGATGGAGGTAAGAAGGAAGGCAAATTCTCATTTGAAGCCGCCACCTGGAACACCTCCATTGATCATACTATCGGGCTGACACAGGTTTTCCGTCAAAGAGATCCCCGTAAGTTTTAACGTGTTTATGTCCTCTAGGGATCTACAAGTTTACTTCTTTGCTAACACCAATTCAGATTTCGCTGGTATGCTAAATGAGATGCGTCTTGGTAGAATCAGCGAAGATACGGTCCGGATATTTAAAGAGCTGTCGCGGCCGTTGAACTTCAATGATGGGCTTGATGTGACCGAATTGTATTTATCTCCCCTTCAAATGATGTGCGCTTGGTGGATGCTAATATTGATCCTAGATTCCCCACGCGTCAAGAGGTTGAAAGATCTAACGACTTCCGATTGCGTAACCTGCCCGGAGTCGTATATCACTACGAGGCCAACGATTCGGGTGATGCTAATATCCGAGACCGACTACTTTCAAACATGATGGCTCCCAAAGCTATGGATTTGAAGAAGGGCGCTCAAGTCATGTTGATCAAGAACCTAGACGATACATTAGTAAATGGCTCTCTCGGTAAAGTTGTCTCATTCATGAATCAGGCTACATTCGCCATTTGGGGTGCTCGCAACGACGAAGTTGGATCTGGAGATGAAGGCGATGCAGAAACAAATTTTAGAAATAAAACCAAGGAATTTAGCCGCGAGATCGAAAATATAAAGGACAACAAAGAATATCCGGTCGTTCGCTTCACTGCAACAGACGGGACTCATCGAGTCCTCCTCTGCGTCCCAGAAGACTGGAAAGTCGAACTACCTACCGGCGAAGTTCAGGCATCACGCAAGCAGTTACCTCTTATCCTTGCCTGGGCACTGTCCATCCACAAGGCTCAAGGCCAGACTTTGGAAAGAGTTAAGGTCGATCTCGGCAAGGTATTCGAAAAGGGACAGGCGTACGTTGCGCTGAGTCGAGCTGTGAGCAAGGAAGGTCTCCAGGTACTGCGTTTCGACAAGACCAAAGTCATGGCTCATGCCAAAGTCATTCAATTTTACAACAAGCTCTACAGTGCAGAGACCGCAATCAAACCAAAGAAACCGTCAACGATATCAGACTTTGCATTCAAAGGATCAGCAGCATCTTCGGGGACTAAGGGGAAAGGCATGAATGTAATTGATCTAGACGACGAGGAAGAGGCGATGGCAGCATATGGTCCATAAACAAGTATGCATGTACATATGTATGACTTAAGGGGCTGTTTGGTGATGCACTTATTAAGCCTCAGCCTCTATGCTAGTTGCTTTGGCACAAATGGCACAAATGGTACATGTGGTAGGTTTATAAAAGCCTTAAAGATATCCACAACTTGGAACTCTAACTCTAACTCTAACAAATATTAAGTGTTGTTACCTATGGCATTATTGCCACTAAACACTTAAAAACGCAAATCAAGAAATATTTATTATATACCGTAGGGTCTTGGGTGCAATTTGCTGAGAAATGTACTAGGTATGTAATTGCATGTAATTGCATGTATCTTGATCTTGATATCCATGATGTCTCCATACCCTTGATTAAGTGGGTATGAAAGATGTGCAAGAACGTCCCTTTTTGCTCCATCCAGAAATAACGTGTCTCCATCCTGCATATAATAATCGCCGTACGGCGTAGATGTCTGTTGAAGAAAGACAGCTTCGCACCTACCCCATCATGCGGTACCCAAACAGCCCAGGAAGCCCAAGTGGGAAAGTAGGGCTGGGCATTTATTAACATGTGATTGGTGGCGTCACTTTTACTAGACGCACCTTTATCGATAAGAAAACATTAAACTCGTACTTACTAGGCGACGGCCAAAAAAAGACGAACATTGAATGTTACTTCAAATGATTTAAACTCTTGACTCTCAACATAGAAATTCAAAGCTCCTATGTTTACGTTCATATCGACGTGACCGATTCGACCACTTACCATATTTCCTTCGTGCGATATTTCATCTTCAGTCAGACGACAATTGGCGATTCCTTTTATTATCTCCGACGGACTTCTCCAGTCGACATAAGTCTTAGGTGCTGCAGCCCATTCCTTCAAAGTTGATGCGACCCGATGCGATAGACGTTCCAGCGCTGTCAGAGTAACGACTCTCGGCACATTGTCAAGGCGTACCCTCTTGATACGAACATCGAACTATTCGGTTTCATCAAGCTTGATAATTCAGCCTACTAGAAAATTAGTTGGCGTTTTACGTTTTGCTGAACCCGTTGCCGACACCGTTGTTTCTCCGCTTACCCAGTCGACGGAGACCTTGATACCACCCTTGATTCGATATTCTACACGAGAATAGATTCTTCGGCAATCTAGACCCACGACTTGATTGAATACTGAGACCTCGAGAGGTGGACATCTAGACGATAAACACAAGTTACCTTATTTTATCCTCGATTAACGATCAAGGACAGAAGCAAGGGCGGTAGGGATCGTCTTCAGCATCCTGAACCTGCGATTCAATATCGGAATTACGACTACAGGATCACGACTAAGAATACTAGACCTAGAGTGTCTTAATCGTCACGGGCTTGGCGAACCTAGACCTTTATTGCATCGAATTAAGACTCCTGATACGACAGTCTTATTACCTAATCAACCACGAGAATTCGAGATTCTAAAGAATCCATATCATTTCTCCCTCGAAACATCTTGGTGAAGTGCTATCGAGACATCTACCGGGTTCAACTTCCCTTGAGGCACCGTATTTCATTCTCGCCGGTCATTAAATCCATCGCCGCCTCTTTCCATCAGCTCTGAACGGTTCATCAAAACGGCAGATTCAGGAGAGATCTAATCTTCACGTAACAGAAACAAACGAATTCGCTAAACAGACAAAAATGGAAGAAGAAGCTACCGTAGCCCAATGGATGGGTTCCTATTATCAGGTGGTCTTAAAGGAGCCAGCCGGTCAATGCATTCAGGGGATCTTGACCGGTCTCGTTCCCCAACAACACCTCACACTAGCTCCCGGTATGTTGAAATAATGGCGTTAAAATGGATGAATATCAGCTAACATGAGATCAGCTATTGTTTTGGGCACCAACCAGTTCTATGAACGACTTAACGTCGATGCTATGAATGTTTATGACATCACACCGCTTCAAAACATCTCTTTCCCGATGCCTACCTCTTCAGTCGCATCTCCGCCCATCCCTTCGATACCTTCAGTAAAGAGACCTCAGCCTGCGTTTCAAGATCCTGCTATTCTCAGCCTTACTCCTAGATCGGACTCGACTTCACGTTTTACTCACCCTCCTACGCAGCCAAACATAGCTGAGAAACGAGACCCCCCGTTTGTTACCAATCCTGCAGATCGAATGACATACGATTCTCCTGACGAAATTACCGATGCAGCTGCTCCTAGTAGCATTAGTGTGCCCATGGCTCAATTGAAAATCTCCCCGAACCCGGAGGTGATACATGGACTAAGAGAGGGGGCTGAATCGGTGTCCAACATTCCCCATGATCCATCGGATCCCAGAAAAGACCGCTCCCGAAGCACGCGCGGCCGGGGACGGCGTAGAAACAAGATAGCTGAAGGCAACAGTTCTTCAACACAACGAAATAACCGAGGCCCAGGTTGGAGAGAGACCCCTATATTAGAATCGACGGAGTCATTCCAGCCGTTCAAAGCTCTCAAGAAGAGCCAGAAAGCTCGAGTTGACGCACTTGCAAATAATGGCTGGGCTTCAGAAGACGTCACGGACGTGCAGGGGGCCGGTGACTTCGACTTTGAAGGAGGCCTTGCTAAGTTTGATAAGCGAAAGATATTCGACGAGATGAAGGAGCAAGACAAGATTGACGAATCCGAACGATTAGTGTCTCATAACCGACTTCCCCGGCCAAAGCCGGGAACGGCTGGGGGTAAGAACCTGCATTACACCGAAAACGTTCTGGATCTGCCAACACCCACCTTAAAGCCGAGGGAGTCGTCGGGCGATTACTGGAAAAGTGAGGCTGACGATGAAATTCTGAACGGTGCCGAGCAGCATTCGGGAAGTGGTCGTAATTCTAGACTACGAGGAGAATCTCGAGTGTCGATGAACCGACGTTCGCAATCGCGCAAGGCTAGTACTGCGGCAAGTGTTGGCGGTTCAAGTCGAGTTAACTCAGGGGTATGTATAAGTCGCTTTTCGATTTGACCACCATTTTCGGAAATTGTTTATTGTTATTGTCGATAGAGAAGTATTTTACTAACTGTTGTGTCACAGCAATCCGCTGCAATTCCTAGCGGTTTCTACGCTGTAAAGTCCAATCGCCGAATCGAGGCGATCGCTCATCTCCCTATGCAGACACTTGAGAATGTGGCACGCCATGAGTTCGGCTTCACTGAGGATCTCTTGGCCGAAAATGCTGGCCGCGGTATTACGGAAGTTGTTATGCTTGCCCTCGATGACCCTGCGATCACACTTCGCGCTGCTGCAACTTCACCACCGACTAACCCCACGATCGCGGTGCTGGCCGGCAACAACAAATCGGGAGTCCGCGCTCTAGCGGCCGCTCGCCATCTCCGAAACCGCAGTGTAAATGTTCTGGTCTGCGTCGTTGGCATCGAGCGCGAAAAGGAGTTGCTAGATGATGTCAGGAAACAAATTCGACTTCTTCGCAATTTTGGTAGCATCATATTCACGAAAACGGAGCTTTTCGAACATGTCAGCCATACTAGTACCGCTCTAGAATCGGCTTCTCAAGGTTCCATAACCCTAATTATTGATGCTCTCTTAGGACTCACGACGCCATTTGAAGAGCTGCGCAAGTCCGACCAGGCCACGACGTACGAATTGATGGAGTGGTCTAATAGGAACGAGGCATTCGTGATGGCGATCGATCTGCCAAGCGGCATCGAGCCTCAGTCCGGCAAGGCCAACGTCATCGACGGAGCCAAGCTCTACGTCCAACCCCGCTACATAGTTGCCCTCGGTGCCCCGAAACTAGGCCTGTTGAAGGCGTTAGAGATGGGCGATGAGAATGGCGATATCGTCATGGTAGAACAGTGGAAGATTTTCTTAGCAGATATCGGTCTTAGCCCTGTCATCTGGCGCAAAGTGGCGACTAAGATTCGTCGCGGAATCGAGTTTGATAACAACTGGGTGTTAGAACTGCGCTATCAACCCCGAGTGGACGGTGTGGATGATTAGGTGTCTTCCAACACCGTCGCCCCTGCATGCCACGATTGCCTAGCATGCAAATATATACCTTCCATGCATGACATATGCGCATCGAGGGGCACCAAGCTCTAGATCGAGAACTCGTTGACGAGATTTAGGCTCTTCGAAGGCGACAATTACGTTTCTCGCTTGATCAATGACGATCTTAGGATACGATTCGTAATGATCCTACAAGAAGATCGGCGTCCTCTACGAACTCGAACACGGATCGGATACTTGACTGCTTAAGAACTGGTACACTGTCGAGATGGCGGTACTAATTTACAATATCCCTTCTAACTCACGATTAAAATTCTCCATGCCATAGGAGATACCACAACCGAAAACCCTACGGAAACTACTACTGGCTCTTTTTGTTGTCGATATATTTCATTCGATCACGGCCATACATTACATAATGGCGAGGCAGTATTGATCAGAGCTCTATTCTAGAGCTCTAGAACAGAACTCAAGAACAGAAGTCACAGACTCTATGACATGGCGAAGGGTAAAACTATTCTACTCATTGGTGGCTTTCATATACCCCAATTCTTGCATTTCGGTGGCGTTGGTAGGGTTCTCCGTGTGTATGTGCATCATCCGCGCGGAAGGGCTACGCGGGCCTTGCATCTGTGTATTTTATACAGTGGTGAGCAAAGGCCTTCAAGTGACGACATTGCTTTTTCGAGTAAATTCTAGTCAATAAAATACAATTGACCTTATATGGCCTTTTTGACATGCCCTTGATGTACTGTCGTAGGATCACATACTATTTCTATTCTACCTCTTGTAAAAGTAGATCCAGAATTATCCGTTGAGTATCGTCAGAAATATGTAGATAAAATATTAGCGTACATTTGGGTCTGGCTGCCATTCTACTATGGTCTGAATGGCAAGTTTTAGCACACTGTCAGGTACAGATTTCAACTAGGGACCCTTGTGTGGCTAACAATTTTTACTCCTTGTAGTTTAGCCACAGCATTATTTGACCCACGAGTACCCGACAGTGTGCTAAAACTTGCCCTTCCGACCATAGTAGGAGTAAGCCCTTTACACCAACCAATGAAACTAGCGCGCTAATTCTAGCAAGGTTTAATCTGATTCTAGTACGCTAGTGGGAGGCGGGAGAAAAAAGAGTTGAACTTTAGCTTGAAAAGCAGCCCACATGAATTCCTCCGATTGGTGGCTTCCATGGCCGTCAAGAATTAGTAACCTCCTCTGATTTGGATCTTCTGGGGCAGTCTCAGGAATAAAAATATTAATTAGCCAATGAAAAGCTATCATATTATCGGTCCAACCGTTTTTAGAAGCAGCAAATCTCCAACCATCCAAAAGGTCTAAGTGCGAATCTTTATCAAACCATTGAGTTTGTACGCTAGCCTTTTTGAGGAAGATAAGTGAAGTCAGTGCCCTCCCATTGGCTGAGGTACACTCCAAAATAGAAGTCCACGTGCGTGAGCCGTGTTCATCACACAGTATTTTGCTTTTCTCCGATTGGCTAATAACAAGCCTACTTAATCCACAATCCTCTTGGGTCCCTGCTTCGACGAGATTGTACCGATGTGATTGGTCGATTAATTGAATGAATGGTGATTCTAAACGATCAGAAGAACCATTAATAGCTGCAAGTGTTATCCTTTTTGCTTGAGCCGATTCGATTCCTTTATTTCGATTTAAAAAGTGAGGTACCCACTCCTTTCCGAGAGGTTCGTGATCATGATTGGACCGAAGCAGGCGTATGGCTAGGCTGCGGATCTGGTTATAGGTTAAAGTTGAACCTAATTGGTCTTGGTGCCTTAGCCAATTGGCTAGATCGAGCTCCTGGTGGGGCGGTAAGCGTTGTCGTACAGTAGCGGCTTCTTGGCGGGATTGGCGACCGTTGACTCGTTCTCTAAGAGTGGATCTTGGAATGTTCCAATCAGAAGAAGCCTGGTGAAGAGATGCACCTTTTCGCACGGCTTCTACAGCCGATTCGAGCGCTGATTGGGTGTATTTATTTTTACGGAGCATATTGACAGAAATAAATGCGTTTGATTGGTTGAGAAAGAGTGTAAAAAGTGATGAGTGAAAGTAATGAGAAAAAAAAAGGCATAAAAATACAACATTGAATGGAATATATATTTCGAAAAGTGGTCCGTGAGTAATACGAGCGTTTAATTGGCTAATCTCGGTCGACCTTCTAAGGGGTGCCGCTCATAGGGGGGTGCTGTTCACTACCTTTTTAACTCCAACCTCATTCGGTCAACTTGGCCAAGGATTATGGTATCCCTGCTAGTTCTCGATCCTACTACCGCGGTACCCAATAAGATGGTGTGATTTACTCAGCAAATGCGCATTGATGAGCATTGACAGGGGGGAGCTCGGCACAAGCCAGCACAAGCTCCAGCGACATATCATCCAATGGTGTCATCGATGGCATGTTTCGTCTCGTACGAGAAGCTGTGATTTGCCCAGGCGTCGACGAGACTTGCGTGTGTGCTAGACGAGCGTTGTGTCAAGTGTTTATTAAGACGGTTCCGGCCAGCTTACATACACCTTTCCATACAGCCGTATTACCAACGCTGCTACGTAGCTACCTGGGAAATAAAAGCTGTAGTCCATCCCACTTCGCTTGAGGCTTTTCTTCAAGATGGAACCTCCGGCGAACCTTCACCCACGCCGTAGTATCCTGGATAGACCTATCCTCATAGCTATTCCTATTCTAATCGGATTATTCATCACTCGATCACCTTTCTTCATGTCGGCCCCGGCTCTAGATATCGCTGCCGCTGACGGCAAGCCCTGGGCGGATACTCCTATCAAGCTGGTTGCGACCCCTCAGTATGAGACTAAGAAGGTATCTGTTCCCTCCAACATATACTGCTAACAACAAGTTGCAAAATCATATAGTTACGGGAAGATGAGTATGAGCTGACTTAATATCTTCATCAGACCGACATCTTCACCACGGGAGCAACACACATGGCCCTCCTCCACAACGCCATCCTCCGCGGCTTCAACTCGGTATATCTACAAGCGCCACACGTCAAGCCCACCGACAACTCGGACTTCATCGGCTACGCGCTCACATGGCATAAATTCGTAGCCACCCACCACGACGACGAGGAAGCCACCCTCTTCCCCAAAGTCGAGGCCGTCCTCAACGACCCCGCCATCTGGGCCGGCACCCACAAGGAACACGAAGCCTTCCTAGGCGGCCTCGCTAAATTCGAAAAGTATCTCCGCGACGTGGAATCTCAGCCTGCGAGCTTCGACGGGAAGGAATTAGTCAGTATCATGGACGGCTTTAAAGACTCGTTCGACGAGCACTTTCACAGCGAAATCAAGACGATCGCGGATCTGGCAGACCATCCTAATGCGCCGAAACCAGGGTCTGCTGAGGAAACGGAGGCGTCGCTGATGTTTAAGGCTTGGGGGAAGAGCACGGTTACGAAGGCTGGGACTCTTGATGTCGTGCCGTTCTTTTTGTTGAACTTGGATGGCGAGGTCGAGGAGGGGAGGTGGGAGAATTGGCCGCCTATGCCGGCGCCGATTAGATGGGGGCTAGTAAATATTGCCGGAGCGTGGCATTCGCGTTGGTGGAAGTTTAGCTCTTGTGCGGCGGGTAGACCGAGGAAGTTGTATGCGCTTGAGTAGGAAGTGAGGTGAGGGAGTGGCTTGATACCCGGTTGGTTTTTGTATTGGTTAAATTTGGAACGCGGACTAGGGCTTGGACTTGGGATTTGGTTAGGTGCGTTTGATATTGATATAATTGGTAATGACTCCACTTTAAGGGCGATTTCAATCATAGCGTTGTGAAGGCATTCCCCCTATTCGGGAGGAAAGGTTAGTGATGGTACCATAACACGAATTCCATACCCAACCTCTCTGGCAGCTTGTCAAAAATGTCGTCTTGAGGAGTGAACCTAAGATGAGTGTCATTACCCGTGGCATGGTGATATACCAACCATAATATCATGCCTACCATATAGGTAATCTACATCACTGCTGTGATATCTCAACCTTATCCCACCAGAAATCACTCTCCTCCTTCGCCCACGTATCATCCTCAACCACCGCAGAAACACCCACACCACCCCCAATCAACTCCTCATTCCCCAGCCCAAACACAACCTTCCTCCCTTCATTCCCCTTATGCGGAACCCACTCCGGCCTATCCCCATACTCCCCAGGTATCTTATTCGGATCCCCGGTACATATAAAGCTCGTGATATACGCATGCAACACCCCCGCCAACTCCTCCTGTCCCTTCGACCTCGCACTCACATCTTTCTCCCGCGCCTCGTACGCCATATTATCCGCGTGACTCGCGCCCCCAACCACACTGCTCACCGCGGCCCAATGGTACAGATACGTCGGCACATGTCTCCCCGCGAACCACGCCGTCTGCCGCACCGGCGCCACATATGCGTAATGCGCGTACGCCGCCTCGATGCGTTTATACTGCGGCCCTACGCCGTAGCTCAGCCTGTCTTCCTTATACTTCGAATCCGGAACCGTGTCTGGGTCCGGGTACAGCTCGTTTATCGTAGCGAGGTCGGATGGGGAAAGTTGCGGGAGTAGAGAGTGGAAGAATTCGGTGAATTCGGAGGACCGCGACATCGTTTTGGGGACGTAGAGGGACCCTTCGTTTCCGTTGAAGCCGGTCATTAGCGGCACTTTGTGCCAGGACCCCGAACGCCAGCCGTCGATTGGACGGTGTCGGATTAGGAGACCGTCGATTACGGGTTGGAAGGCCCACCGGAGGCTCGGGTTGTAGTTGTAGAAGACGGTGGTTTGGGCTTTGGCTATGGTGGAGAGGGGTTGGGCGCGGAGGAAGGGGAAGATTTCTGCGAAGGGGAGGTCCGGTGGGCATCCGGCTTCTTTTAGGAAGGCTTGGAATTGCTCTTCGTGGATGGGAGAGTCGTAGTTCCGGACAGCGCGGGAGGTTGGGGCGCCGGATTCCATTATTGCCCGGTGGAAAAGGGGTGGTTTGCCTTCTTCGTAGTCGAGGAGGTGGTGGCCGATCTTGGTGGTTTAGTTAGAATGGGCAATGTTCTAGGGAATAATGATATTAGAAAAGGTAGAAATACAGAATGAGCTCCTGCAGAGAGACCAAAAATGGTGACGTTATTCTTGTCGCCTCCGAATTGTCCAATATTTTCTTGTACCCATTCCATGAGCAGAATTTGATCCTTCAACCCCAAGTTGAGCGCTCCCTCCTCAGCACTAAGCTTCGAAGGTAGGAACCCGAGAGCGCCGATACGATATCCAAAAGACACAAGGACAAACGGCTCGGCGGACCAACCGACCATCGAAGCGCTATCATGCGTTGCCGCATTTCCACGATTAAAGGCACCGCCATGGAAATATATGGCGACCGGCAACGGCTTAGAACCCGGAGCTCCGGTCCCGGTTTGGCGGAAGATATTAGCTGTGAGACAGTCCTCACTTTCTTCCAATTTCGGCCCCTTGACGATAAATAATTTCGCAGGTGCTCGAGGCCCAAATTTGGATGCGTCGATGACGTCTGTGGAGGGCGCCACCTTCTCGGGTGGTCGGAATCTCCTATCTCCCGTTGGCGGCAGGGCGTAAGGGATTCCTAAGAAGGCGTCCACGGGTTTGGGGTAGCCATCTTGTTGTTGGATTCCCACCACCGTTCCCTGAGTAAGGGTGACCTTAGGCCGCACCGTCGTCTGTCCTTCTGCTGACATCACGTGCGATCCAGACATGCAGGTATTCGATTAAACTCTCGATACGGTGCATATGGTTTAGATATAATCTCACCCTTCCCGGGAAATAGGGGTGCGGAGAAGTGTGTACAAGCCTTCGGTGAACAGCGGGAGTGGTCTAGTTTACTCGGAGATCTCCGCAAAAATTGGGGGCTGCATGACCGGTATGCTGATCCGCAGATAGGATCAAGATAACCGACATGAAAGGATTAATGCAGGACACCCCCTCATTTTCTGTCCTCCTAAGATGAGACCTTATTCCCTTACCCGCAAGATGGATGTTAAAGAAACCTAGGTAGGTACCTATCTAGTAGTTCCAATGGGGAAGATCGGCTGAGACATTCCCAATAAGAAATCAATTTTAGCCACGAATGTCTCAGAGAAGCCTTGATTACCCCCTGATTGGTGGTGTGGTAGGTATACCATGTACCTTCTATGGAATTCTCCAATTTCCTAGATGTGAGCTGAAATAAATGTACTATTGATTTGTATTTTGTATTATTTTCTTTCTCTAAATTAACAAGATTGAGATTCCAGCCCCTGTCTAAACGATGATGTGAAATGAGCCCCTATTTGTCTTTAAACAATAGAAACACCAGTCTATACCCTAAACCCTTGATTCACTGAAATATTTGACAACATCGCAACTTGAATTGAACACCAATTGCCAGTCGTCAGGGTGAAAATTTCGACGGCCTAGATATAGTCATCATATCCATGAAGTATCCTGATATACCTGGTACGTTAGGAACTCGCAACACAACCAATCTTTCCAGAAAGGTAAACTCGACTCTTAGAATCTGATAATGTATCTTTATGATCTCTCATCGTATCATTTTGGAGGTCCTAATAATGACCCAACGTCGGCATGGCCTTCATTAGACTATAATATCTTAATTAGAACATTTCCCCTATAAGTTTTATATCGATCGACTCACGTGGCCTCCGCTTGCTTTTCCCGTCACGGTAACCGTGAATTCGTCCCGTTTTAACTTCTCCGTTGTTATTACTTCTCATACGAAACAAGAGCTAGGACAGCATCCTAGACATATATCTCCTCGTACCTGTACAGAGTGTCGACCTGGATAATGATGATCCAGATACGTCTTGAGCTGACTTGAGCTGACCCTCGATGCCGGAATTGACATAGTACTTCTAGTCGCCACTCGTTCCTCTGTACTTCTTGAGTTATAGCTGGTCATGTTCGGGATTGCTTCGGAGCCTTTGAGTTTTATAGCTGATGTGAGAGAAGGTAGTGGTTTCTCATTGGACCAAGACACCAAACACTCAGGGAGCCGGTTTGAGGTTCTTATCTATCGAGAACGAACGTTGAAAATGGCTAGGCTAAATACCTAGGTAGAATTCCTTAATGGCGGTGACACGAATAACGGGCGCCACTTATTAATTTGAGATATAGTGTCTAGGTATTGTTCCGTTATTTGAAGTACTAGGTACGCACGAAGGTAATTTCCGATCTTCAATGAGTGTCGACACTCCATTGTGATGTGGTTCAAGGCCACTCATATGATAAGATCTCCTTATAGTACCCTCTAATTTCTACTGATGACACGTTTTGATCTATTCATGCAAGGAAACCTATAGGTATATAACACTATAAGTCTATAACTGGCAGTGGACCCTTAAACGATTGTGTAATGGATGGCTTGGCTTGTCCATCGAAGCGATGATTGGATGCCCATCTGAGCTCGCCGTTCATAACTAGATTCGAGGATATACCTCGGGGCGCAACGATGTAACTCTATTGGGAGGATATCACGATGTTCCTAAAGCATGCTTTAGCGCTGAATTGAGATCGCCTATGTGCTGATATGCCGTCGTAGGCCGTCCCGTAGCTTACAATGTACATCAAGTGGCTGCCAGCAAGCATACGTAGAGGTCGCCATAAAACCAACAACGCCACGATCAAGTTGAACAACGCAATCAAGTCATTGACGTGGAATCCGAGTCGGTGTGGATTTCCGAGGTAAATAATCTCAATGGAAGCGAGTGAGGCAACCGAGCGTCTTAGTTATATTCAAATGCAAGCGCTGTCATGTAGAACATAGCATCAGGTGTTCAGTAGGGCGAGCTGACATGATGTCCGAAACGGGCAGACTATTGGTTCACTGCCACACTGACGTATCATTATTCATGTGAGTCTGACCGCTTTGCCATCTCAATTGCCCTCAATTCAGCTTTGATATCACGCTTACACTAACCATAAATGTCACCATTGACCAATGCATTCTTCACAGGTATGTGATCATTGTAATGTCCGAGGGGCCACGAACTGCAACACACTACTTCGGATACTTCTTGCATGATACATTGGCCAATTGCGACCACTATCCCCGTGTAAACGTTACGCAAAGCTTTATTACTGGGTATGCTAGACTTGCGATTGGTTGCTTCCCTTCAAGGAACGGACCCGAGGGCTTGTTCGTAGATCTCTACAAGGCGCGGAGGATGTGGACCACTCATACCATCGAGATCAGGGGGTAAGATATCTATTGTGATTACCTCAGTACACAACTCCGGATCTCTCCAGACTACAATAGGGGTATATTTTTAGCATCAAATCATCAGCTATGATATACAAACCGCTTCTTTCCTCTTCAGTACGATATCCTTAGGGTTAATTAAGGTGAGGAGCTAGATCGGGATCTTGATAGGTGGCCTTGTCAGGTTTCAAGAGGTAGCGATGATTGATAATTGCCCGACAGCAGAAATGGCTGTACCTGTCCTTTGGATCAGTGTGACGTTGTGGCTTCCTAGTCAGCTACCGTCTGGGTGCAATGAAGTCCACGCATTGCTCCTTAGGTCATCTATAAGGCGACAATCAAGGTCAAGATGTCTATAGACCGGAGCATCTCCCGGACAATTACACACCGTCTTTAGGGGGCCAAATTCTTTCCTTCGCCCGATAGATACGAACCACAGCCTAAGAAGTCTATGAATCCAAATATCTAATCGGGTATCGTTGTCCGAATCAGATGGGGGCTATAGCCTCACCCCCTATATAATTACACTTTACTTCTTAGTGTTAGAGCCTCAATGCCTTGTCATCTTTTTTGCATAAACAACATTCGTCACCAGAGTACACATCCCTCTTTCCAAATCCAACAAGATATACCTGACCTTTATTTAATTTGTTACCCATCATCTCTTAGGTACCTGGGCTGTGCATACCTGACCGGCGTCCCCCGCTTCGCTCGTGATGTCTAATCTACTACGCCTAACAAGAAAATCGAAGCAGCTCGGATTGCATAACTCAGAAAGAGTTCGAAAAGTCACCGATCGAGGGCAGGCTAATTATGACTTGGCGAATAGTTATCATTCTCAAAGGCACCTTAAGGTTAAATTCAAACCCGAACCGGTTCCCGACAACTATGAAGATGAGATCGGCAAAGCGCTTGACGATGCGAAAGAAATCAGTGTTCTAGATCCAACCAGGAAATACCTCCCCAGACACAAGCTCCCTGAAATTCTAAATCCAGAGAGGGTTCGAACTATCTTGAGTTTACCAGACTTCGAAAGATGTCTCGATAAAGATAAGCTGATGGAAGACATATTGGGCCGACGGCAGCTTCTAAAGCTGTTGGCGGTGCTAATTGGAATTAACAAAACGCGGGAGCTTCTCAAATATGTTGAAGATGGAGTGGACGATCGATGCCTTCCGATGTCTTTAGATGCCTCACAAAAACCCTTTTGCCAACTTCATCAGACACACCACAAGACACTCCACGCATATCTTCGGGACGAATTTAGAGATCATTTCTCTTCGTGGTCTTACTCCCTGAGCGCCCCGTACATGAGCTACGCACCGAATCTCCACTCCCACTACGTGTTGAATCCTTGGGATGTATTCCCTATGAAAGGAAAGAAAATGCACAAGAAATCGATAACTATGAAAAACGGCAACCCAATGGAACCACTGCCTCCTGATGTCAACTTGGATGGCGGTTTCAGTGAAGTATATCGAGTTGTTATCGAGGCGAGTCATCACAACTTTGGACAGCTTGGAGTACGTTACCTCCCGAGGTCCCCAGATAACCATGACATTCAATGACTAACTCATAACTTCACTAGATACGCCATCCCGATGGAATTTTTGCGTTAAAAAAACTTAACACCAATAGCGAAGAAGAGTTTAATATGGAATTAGCCTCTCTACTATTCTCTATGGATAAAGCCTCTGGGAAGCCCGCGAGCAAGCATCTAATTCAACTCTTGGCTACATTTGAAGTCTCGGACCCAAATTCCGAAGACAAGTGTCCGACGTACTACTTGCTTTTTGACTGGGCCGAGGGAAACCTCCCACAGTTCTGGGAAAGAATGGAAGAGGTTTATGTTAGGAATAGGAGTCACTGCAAATGGATGTCCCTGCAATTTCACGAGATCTGCTTAGCACTTCAGTCCGTACATAACGAACGTGAAAGAACTTTGAAGTTCATCAACGAGAGCGATAGTCTTGACCTATACGGACGGCATGGTGATATCAAGCCAGACAACTTCTTATGGTTTCGCCCTGAACAATCATCAGATTTACTTGCCCTATCTGATTTCGGCCTAGGAAGACTACACACCCAGGTATCCCGATCCAACCAGAATCCACAAAGTCTTGCTAGAACAGCAACCTACATAGCACCAGAGTTCGACCTGGAGAATGGTATGATCTCCCGTGCTTCCGACATATACAGTCTAGGGTGCGTATTTCTTGAATACGTCACTTGGTTCTTGCTAGGCTACGACAGTGTTATAAAGGACTTCCCGGATCAAAGGATGGATAAGGACATTTTTGCTGGATGGAAATCAGATAAGTTCTTCATGATCGAAGTCGACGAGAACGGAGCTCAAACTCCTATCATGAAACCACAGGTCCGAGACTGGATCTCTAAACTGCAGAAGCACGATGATTGCAGCTGGTACCTTCACCAACTCCTTGAGATAATAGGGGATAAGATGCTCGAGCCAGAGCGAGCAAAGAGGATCGACATCGCAAGTCTTGCCGACGAGATGAATAAGCTTCGAAGAGCATGCGAGGGCGACGAGTCATTTTACCTAGATGCTAAGCTAAAGCGCTAGCAATATACTTCAACAAGCTAAAAGGAATGGGTTGGACACGCTATCTTTCTAATCACGCATAGGAGGTACTATAGATATCAAGGTCTCATCCCTTTGATGCTACCGAATACATGTCCACTGTAAGTCCATACGCCACCATTCATATTCCTACTCATACTAAACTGAGAACAGGTATAACATCTCGATGACTACTCTATTCCCCGTCGACCTCCTCGCGTCCTAGCCATTATAATGAGACCGGATAGTCTCCTCGATCTTTGCCAATTTTTCCTAAAGGATTGATAAGTCTTGGTATCCGTCACGGAGACGACACTGGGCAGGTTTACTTTTGGCATCGCTTCTGGTAACCGCAAGATCCACCTAGTGGATCTCGTCTATGAAGCCGGAGAATCAGCATACTGCCCTGATTGCTGGGGATAGGGGGGCGGGGTCACCTGTACTCCATACTTTCCCTCGCCAAACATTTCGTCGAGGACCTTCTTGAGCTTGATTGGGTCGTTATATCTCTGCCTCAATAACACTTCATTCCCTCCTTCTTTTGCTGGCGATGGCTTGGGGTTAGGCATTTCTGATCTCAGATAGCAGTGTTGATGTTATACGAAGCTAAGGACAACTGTTTCCGATATTCCCTCTGGTGGATAGGAACTGGATAAACCTTTGGGAAATGAATCTGCCCTCGTTCTTTACGTGGGTTAGGTAGACATGAGGGTCAGGTGCAAAATTAAACAAGCGACTTACGCGGTGGTGGTTAGGCGCCAACCAACCAAAGATCATCAAGTGTTACTCTCCATGTGGCTCGAGTATATGTAAGGTGGATAGGGGTATGCACGGAGGTTACAGTTTGGTTATATAAGCACATTTGAATTGCCAATCAGATATAGTCTCGAGAGCGATAGGATACAGCAGATATAAGGAAGTTTAGCGTGGCCGGAGCGTGGCGGTACAAGATGGGCTGTGATGGACGACCACTAAGGATTCTGAGAATGCCTATTATACTTCAAAAATCATATAACACTACTTGGCAGAGGGGTAGGGGGTTTCATAGTTTATTTATCCCGAGCAGAGCTTGACGAAACGTTCCTAATTTCCTGATGCCCCGAAATCCCTAAGAAAACCGGTGCCCCTGAACTTCAAATTTAGTTAGACCTTGGCTCGTAAATAGGGGGAATGGATTGGCATGCGGAGGATGCATCTTGGTCCAACCGCGACTTCGGGATATTTCAGTATGAACAACGTCGTACTGTGGTTCTTCGAAAACTGGAGTCTAATCCGGTAAGTATTATGATGTACCGTCCATTGGATTTCGCTAATATGTATGCTAGACCGTGGTAAGAAGCGAGCTTCGAGACAAGCAAGAATGGGAAGACTGGTTCTGCTATGATGTACGACAAAATATCTGGCTCATCTTAAAAGAATTAACTTGGTCAAACATTAAACCTAACACAAGAACATAGGCACCAAGCACCAACCCTACGGAAAGTGGTCTCTACGTAGCGTAAGAGACGATTCAACAGTTCAATGAAAGGTAGATACTAACGTTAGCTTCTACCAGACTCTGTAGCAGGGCTACGCCTGTCTTCGAAGGAAGTGATATGCCAGTCACAAATGTTCCTGTCACTAGTGACACCTGGGAAAGACTTACGAGAGAGTTCCTCATCCATCGAGAGATAAGACGGCCAATATCTAGAGGGGTCGATTACTTCACATCGCATCGCGAGAGAGACAAGGGAGGCGAATCGAAGATATGTGAGTAAATCCCAACTACTACATACTAAACCCCCTATCTAACATCGTGACATAGATTTCGTAGCTCGAATGTCGGCATCTCTCCCCAAAGACCTGGCACTATCCGTAACATACATTCCGAGCAAGGATACAACATTTGCCGTCATATACGGATGTAATGAAGAACAAATGCAAGATATCGAGCAGCGTATCAATAAAGCAGGAGACAAGACCAAGTTTCCTTTACTAATGGTCGGACTCCTTGCCGAACTCGAGCGGGAAAGGCTGTTAGATGAGGCCGAGGATCTCATCGACGACTTTACTCTGCGATCTGATTATTTCGACAGCGAATCAAACAAGATAGCTGCGGACATTAGCAACGAAAAGACGCAGGAGTATGTTTCGCTATGCTTCAAAAGTAGATCTCTCATGGACCATATCAAGGCCGTGAAACATCAACTCGCTAAGCTTATCGCTGAGATTGACAATTTTGCGATCGAGGGCAAAAGGACGCGCCGGTTTCATAAACATGGGGCTTTGATGAAGAATAAAGTACTGGATATCATCGATGAGTGTGAGTTTCATCGACATGCGACTTTGATGAAGAAGAGGGTACTGGATATCATCGACGAGTACGACGTCAAGATCAATGAGTGCAAGATGATTGTGGAAGATACGACTCTTGCTACGCAGACAGTAAGCCAACCCCTTAATGAGACCCTCGTCATCATTATCCCCAAATACTCAAAAATGCCTAGGCGTATAATCAAATAGCAAGAATGGATTCAGCTATCAATACGATGATTGCGCGACAAGCGAAACTGGAGGGCACACAGATGAGATCAATAGCACTACTTACGATGATCTACCTACCCTTCTCTAGCGTTGCGGTAAGTATCACACACAAACTAGATTATGAGTCTCGGCTAATGTCGCAAAGGCGATCTTCTCAATGGACATGTTCGATTGGAAACCTCAGACCGGAGGATCGGTTGTCTCTAAGTACATCTGGGTGTTTGCGGCGTTCGCGACAGGACTCACTGCCATCACTTTCTTCGCTTGGTACCACATCACATCTCGACACGACCAAATAAAACCGGACGCTTCGTGGGAACAGGGGAAATTGGTTTAAGCGCAAGGACGCATGAAGATATGATGAGGAGTTATGTCAAATTTATTACCTACCTACTACCTATATTAGTGTGTGTAAATATATGTCAAGAATTGAAGGAAGGAAATTCGAATAATCAATCTATTATGACTACTAGATTCACATATACCAACACCTAACTTCTTTTATATTAAGAGCGTCGTTAGCCCTAAACTAAACTAAACCCTGGCCGTTAAACATCGGCATATTATCTTGACGTTTGACGTTTGCCACATTCAGGGGTTGTGTCCACAACATGTGGGCCATGAGCAATCACACGACAGTTGGGTCGCGCACCCAACACGAGTCTTGTGCGGTGGTGGTCATACACCCGTACCTTTGAATCACTGAATCTCGTTAATCTGCAACATGCCGTAGGTTGAGGAACATAACTAAAGACTGATGAATTGAACCCTACCAAAGTACCAACATAGAAAAACGGAAATCAACGGGGAAAAACACAAGTCTTTCCAGTATTACGACATATATCTTGAACTTCATTCCGTCATTTTCCATTCCATACCGTTCCATTCTTCGTAGCCAAAAACCTCGCCTCGTCATTCCACGTCGTGATATTCGTAACCTCTCTTCAGATGAAGACTTAAGACTTAAGTGTCCCTAGAAGCAGAATAAAGTGATTAGCCTATATATCCTCACAGGATGGAGTAAAATGGGTATCGCATACAATAGCGCCAGCGTCAAATCGCCATGAATACGCGCCTTAAGCGTAACCTCGACCTCAAGGTTAAGATCGAGACGGAGTCGGAGGGTGTCGGACTTGCTTCCACCGCCCTGGTCCTGCTGCTGCACCATCTGCTGCTGTTGCTGTTGCTGCATCATCTGTTGCTGCTGCCTCTGCTGGAGCATCTGCTGGTCTTCTTGTGGTTGGAGCGGCTGCACGGACCCCGGACGGCGACGGTTGCGGCGGCGCGTGCGCGGCGGGCGCGAGGTCTCGGACATCTGCTCCGAGGCGTCCGAGGCATCGGATTCTTGGGCGACTGTTGGCTGTCGCTGCGGCTTCTTCTCGTCGACGCTTGAGGATGACATTGTGGGTTCGATGTTGTTATTGAGATCTAAGTAAGCTGGGAGATATCGGGTGGGGAGTACAGATGGATCAGGCTTGTTTAATTAATATAGTTTAGCGGTGGCTTGTAGGGGATGGGAAAGAAGACTAGATACAGGATATGACGAGCTACGGATAAGTCGGAGGCGCCCTTACGTTGTTATATGAATTGGGGACGTGTGGCTGGGAAGGTCCAAACGCCTGGAAGAGATCAGGATTTTTCTATCATTTAATTACGTTACCTAGATGTGTGTCATGTATTGCTCAATCGACGATGGCTTGGGATTCAACGTCACCACTTCCGATGTACCCTCACGTATGTGAAGTACGGGAGCATATACTTTGCGGCCTAGAACAAATCCTGATTTTAACCTAGACACTTACATCATGAGGCGATTGGGGGTGTCCGTTGGGCGTCGAATCAGACGCTGTCCCGAAAGCCTCATGTGGTAATTTGACGTCGGAATCCCCACACTTTTCTCACCCCCTTACCATGCCCTGCATCTCCCATCAGCACACTGTTATAGCCCCGCTAATTGGGGTATAGGGGGCTCAGACCTTGTTATACGTTACCGCTCGACGTTGAAAGGATTCGGATTCTACTGTCAGCAGACTCCAGTAACGAAGGTGCTGACAGGAGATATCCAGGAACTGGAGAGAGCAAACTTGAAGGAGGATTCTATTGGACCTATCACGTTTCACTTTGAATTCGTAAAAATGGCGGCTGACGCCATGGATTTCTTTATTGCTGGAGATATTGTATTTGCATCAGAATTATCAAATATTTACCGACCATTTAATAGATAGGATTGTTTACAACCCGAGTCTTCAACAAGCGACTAGAAAAGTAAAATAATTGTTGGGGATCAAGGTAAATGTTGGTCAAATGACTGATTCTTGAGTTTTAACTGCCACACGGGTTGTCTTAACGGTCGAAGAGGACAAAAAGATGCTTTGAGAAGAATATTTGCTAAAGACTGGTCCCTAGTAGTATCCATCTTTCTCATTATAGACTAATTCTCGTATATATAGGTGTATAGTTTATTATACATATTATGGGTGTCGTCCCCGCTTCGATGGCAGTATCATGAGAAGGAAGCGATGTTGAAATGTATCTCATGATCCGTGGCGCTGGGAAGGATCGATTTCGATGTAGCGTCGGTATAAGACTCCTCAATATATATGGATAGGATGTCTGCGATGTATGTTTCCGTTCAACGGCTTGCGATACCCCTGAATCCTGTATTTATACCCTCCCACCAAGAACCCCTAACACACGGAGATGCATGCTGTTTTATCCATCAAGAAGCCTCCAAATTGAAGTTTTCTTATCGGTCCTAGATATCCAGGTTCGTGAGTTCGAGCTCGAGCTGTATAACTAACGATTCTCGCGTTACTCCAAGCGTAGGTAGGTAAATTGATGAAGTACCGCTAAGCATTATGGCCGAGTAAACCCTAGTTTAGATGGGATATACCCGTGCGACGGTAATCCGGTGGTGTATGCTTATTATTTGATATTCGGTTCTGGTCGAGATTATTGTTTGTTGCGCCTGGCGAGACGACACGCGGTAAAAGAAGCTACCCCTACCACGATCACGGCTATAATGATAATACCAGCAACTACCCCAGGGTTAGAATAGGCTGCTGCATCAGATCCACCACTTCCTGCTCTATACCCGGCTGGCATTGTTGTTGGTTAATTGTTCGTGAGTTGAAGAGAGTGTAAATTTGTTGACCGTTGGAAACCAAAGAAATGAGGGAAAGCCGTGTTTGAATGGGCATAAAAAATATACGAGGCTTAATATATTTAAGAAATCAAGGTATTCATGACATTATTGTATCAGGCAAATAGATGTGCCTTGCTACTGTATTCTATTGGGCTGCGGAATACAGCTGAGGCTGTGCCTCTTCGTCACATCGCTAGATTCAGAGATCGATCGTATTATGGGAGCAAGCAAATGTGCCTTGCCAGATAGGCAGGGTACAGTTCCATTTAAAAATCTAGAACTACGCCCGACTACAATACACAACTATGCAGAGAAATATTCTCGCCAATTATATTGAACATTAGCACATAACGGCTAATAAGATGCAAGATGTCTGCGCCCCGTTCCATGGAATTGACCTCGCGTTATGCTACTAAATAGAGGCATCTTCAAGTAATTGTAAATATGCTAACTGATGTTACTGAGATGGAATGAATTTCATATAGAATTTGAGGTCTCATTAATACCAACCTCCTTAACCAGCATAAGTCATCAACTCTACTGAATTTCGGATCACTGGGTATCTAATCAACATCATGTCTAGAATATTTATGATAATAGGTTGGTCTAGTATTGAATGAGTCACATCGCTTGATTCTGCAATGCCTTAGGCATAGTTGCAGCCTACAAGGGGGGTTAACGACTCGCACCTCGTAAGGAGATACTTCCAATGTACCTAGTATCTAACCCCTTAACCCCAACCTAGCATCAGGAAGGAGAACTCGCCTGAACACCCGTGAAAGCTCATTTATTATCGGCCGAGAACATCACTTGTATGTCGGAGCACTGCTGGGATAACTATGATAAGGCAGAATAGGTATGTACATTATCCTGTACCATCTATGCTCTATATTCTGGGTCTGATCGGCTATGACATGCGAAGCTGCATCCTCCCTTGCTCTCTAGCTACCCAAGAACAACTGCAAGTTAAGGGGATATGCCCTAATCAATGAAAAATTCACACAATAACGTTAGCGAACGCCCAACATTCTACCGTTCGTACCGATGCCCAATGAACAACCCTCCGACCGTGTCCCAAACTCCGATATCCTGTCTAATTCTAATATGAAACTCTATAGTACATCCTTATGATACAGTAATCTCGATGCCATCTATCGTACACCTTCATTAATGGTTCACCGAGCGTGTCCGTTGCCGACGATCTCAATCTCGTCGTCCGATGACAATCCAGATAATTGCCTCTCCACCCACGCGGAGATGCTCGAAGCGGCCTCGACGGGGTTATCTAGATGTAATTGGAAAAAGCCTTGCAATTGCGAAGGGGTAAATGTGTCATCAGGGATTTGCGTGGCGAAGTCCGAAGCGAGCCTACGCAGTCTCTCGTGATCCACTTGGACCTCCTGCTTTTCCCCTATTTTGTTTATGTCCTTCTTCGGCGGTGGCAGTGGTAAAGAATCGACGTCTGGCGCGAACATTCGAAGGAACATTTGTTCAGCTGATTGTCGGCTGATGTTGCCTAGTAGTATCTTCATATCGACGCGGCCGGGACGTATCAGAGCACTATCAAGACGAGACAGCTTGTTAGTCGTCATAATAACAATACGGCCTTCAGGTGATCCAACCCCATCCAAGACATTTAACAGCCCGGAAAGCGTGCAGTTCGTTATGGCCTCGCCATGCTGCCCTTGGTTTGTTGACTCGCGTTTCGTCCAGATGGCATCGATATCCTCTAGGAGCACAATACACTGCGGCGGCACCTCCTGAAACATCTGCTCCAGGTCCTGGTCGGTTGCTACGCTCGGGATCTTGACTTCGTAAAGATCCAGACCGAATTCGCCTGCAAGAGCAGTCGACAGCGAGGACTTCCCCGTACCCGGCGGCCCATAAAACAAGTACCCTCTTCGATATGGCATGCTCCGGAGATTATATAATCTTTTGGTATTAGGGTCAAGATATTTCCTGATATCGGTGAGGAGTTCCTGCTTGATCTTGTCATCGAAATGAACCGTTTCTAGACGACGTATCGGCTTGCGCGACTTCGGCTGCCAGGACATCCGATAGCGCGAGTATATGAGGACGAAGTATTGAGCTTGCTTGTCCGCATACTCTTGGCAAGTCTGAATTAGTCTCTTAATAGGCTCCGTTGACCGGCCAAGACAACCGATGGTGAGCTCTTCTCCGCCGACGCCATCATAGGCGGAATTAGCCACGGACGCTTTGAAGCTATCGAGAGGTCGCCTAATTACGAACAAGTTCCCTTCGTGCCAGAACCAAGTCGAGTCGAAGTGAGGCAGATACTGTATATCACGGCGGGTCTTCTTTAGCAAGGCGGCACGGTCCGCGGCGGCGCCAGGTTGAACCTGAGTGCGAGCTGTGAAGGACCGGATGCTACGAAACTGGATGACATTGGTCACGACCCAGTTCGTCACATGCCTATTCAGCGGGTCGTGGCCGGGCACGGTGACGGAAGAGATAAAGAACTGCCTGACCCAGCCATAGGTCTCATGCCAAGCGGACCTCAAAAACCTCCAGGCTGCGGGAGCTGCACCAACGCATGCAGCTAGGGACCCTAAACGTGCGATGTCAAGTCCTGATACCCAGTGGCCAATAAGGTCGCGTAGAAAGTCGAGGCCATGCATCGATGGGTCAAGAAACCTGTGGCTCGCTGTAACCCCAACGTGAAATGGCCGGGCCATGGTGGACGCGCGCCGCTTCAGTGGACGATCACAGGACAGGAACGACGCTAGGGAATTGGACGGCCAAATGGCCAAATGGCCAAATAATGTTGTCCAAATTGCCAAACGGCAGCGGAGCTGAAGAATAAGAATGGAACTAATCCGCAACGTCAAAATTGATACATTAGGTAACGAAAAGAGAAGTGAATGGCTGAGGGTATAGCGACATATTAATCCCTCTTAAGATATATTACATTGAGATAGCCGTAATGCGGAATGAAGTTGTTAAGCTGTTCATTTTGAATTATTAAGGTGAGAGTCTTAAGTCCGGCAAGAACTTTTTTGTTCGGCGTTATTTTATTAGGAACACACAGACTATGTACGCCACAAGCACCGCCACCTCTCTTACCCCTGAGCTGAGCTGAGGTAACTCAATTACCTGTGGCTTAATCGGAAGTGCAGTTATGAGATTCGCTTTCAGCATCGGTCATGAGTGAGAGTTCTCAATTACAAAAAAATAATAACATTATAAATTTTGCTTAATAGCCGCCCTTTAATGACAAAAAAAAGAGATGAACATTCTTCGCAGGGATCTTCGGATCGTAGCGAGACCGGTAGTATTTACATGTCCCTTTAACTTGGACGAAAAGGGGCATCTTGCGCTTATCAGATATCCATATAAAATGATATGTAATATTTGAAGCCTCGCACGCCACGTTCCACAAAGTTCAACCGGGATCTCGCCTCATTCTCAATCCTAAATATCTTTTTTTTTCCCTCCCACTTTCAACCATTTTCTTCACACGGCAATGGTCAATTGGCTCGACGATGAGCTGGCATATTAGCTCATGCTGCCCATGTTGCCGCATCCGGACGTCTCTCCAATCTTACTGAGGGGCAGAATTGGATGCAGCATCGCCAATTCTAGTCCAATCCCATTCGACATGCAACGAATCACTGCAGGACCCTAACTTTACTTGCCTTTTTCTGCCCTTTTCTGCCTTTCCCTTCCTTTCCCTGCCTTCTCACTTGATGCTGTCCACTAGGTATCGCCGTCCAAACCATCCATGGACATCACCTGGACTTCGGATTAGAACCTAGACACACATCCTGTGCCATATCTGTACGAGCGGTGCTACATACGACCTACCGAGGATTCGTTCTTGGTTCTTGGATCATTCTCGGATCATTCTTAGGTCTATGCTTCTTCCTATCTGGATATGTTTCAGTTTATTCCACGCCGTGGAATATATCCATACGCATTGTAGATGCTGTGAAATCATCCTGCAGCTCCGCCGCGGACAATAAGACGTCGCGCATTTTATCCGGGGAATATTCGTTCCGCCCAATCTGCGACAGCATGCAGACTTCCCCCTTCGCCATTCGGCCGCTCTCACTCGTCCCGGTCTAGTGATATGGATCTCCTTGCGCTTTACGCTATGGCAAGGCTCCTATGAGCTCTGCATGGCTCTGCATGGTTTTGCATGGCTCCGCGTTCTGCATAGAGTCAGATCCTACCTATATGACGATCCGTGTAGGCGCCGAAGCTACTTCTACGGACGGGAACCTACAGCCTGCCAGCTCAAGGATGGTAAACGAATTAGATCGGCCTGTAACTTGTGTCTAACATGCATTATTCCTATCGCGAATTCCCCGTCCGTGGTGTAGGTATTGCTTCCCCAAGTCCATCATCGTTGGCTGCCACCAAACAGGGCAAGACGAATGAGATTCTCTCAGGGCTTCATCGAAGACCCCGCCACTATCGTCACTTGTCCGGCTGTACGTCCAATATGGCCTCTCGAGTGAGTGGCCGGCGGCCCACGCGAAGATACCTTCCCGCAGCGATCGCTAGTTACACACTGCGACCTTACTGCGTCTTGGAGTAGCTGCACAGAATAAAATCGCTCTCCTCGCCCAACCTTCTCTTCTTATCTCGGGTAGGTCTCTCCTCGTAACTGTCTACTTCGCTTCGTTTCGTTTCTCTATCTTCTCTGCGCCCATGGCGCACCCCTTTCGGACAATATCATTCATATCCTCCTGTCCTATCGGTGCCCAGATCACCAGGAATGTATATTCCTCAGACGAATCATCCCAATCCCGACTCCTCCCTGGCTCCGGCCACAAGACTCGGAGTGGGCCTACCATCCGCCCAAGAATTCGCTACACATCACAATTCCCCTTTTCCCGTCGAGTCGGTTTCAAATACGGCACACCAGCTCTTTACCCGTAGCCTCGGCGCATTATCGACTACGCTTGAACACCTAACGAGGCTACGGAAGCGGGCGGGGTCAAACAGCGTGAACACCACAATTGGAGTGGTGGTCGGTATCCTCCTAGCAGTATTTCTACTCGGCTTCTTCGGGTTCTTTTACTTCTATGGGAGATCACTCCGCGCCAAGCAACGGAAACATCGTCGTCGCAAATCGGCCGCTTCAAAAAATTCTAAGAATTCAGAAAGCGCCGGCGCTGCCGCTCCGCCGGCTGCATGACACGATGGCACTTTTTATTCTCTTCACGAATTACGAAGCATGAATCATAAGGATCGGAAACCGGTACCAAGGCGGGCGCCGACATCACGCGTTGGAAGAAGGACAACGTTAAGGGCATGGGAATTTACAGGAAGTTTGTCGCATATCTACAGAACGGCTTATTCAGCGGCCAAGATTAGAATCAGTGTGTTCTCGTCATGTAATAAGGATAATTACGTTTGGAGTTGGGGTTTTCATGTTTGTACGATATGAGCGCATAGTATTTCAGGGGCATGGGCGGAGTTTCGGGGTGAATTGGTATAATGGGTAAGGGCTGTCTGCGATACTGCTTTGACGAGTTTCTTACAAGCTTATGATGATGATGAATCTCACGATCCCGTTTTCACATGGGTTCCGGGCCGAAGATTTGGACGCTAGGTGAGTGCAGCCACTTGATGAACGAGTCGAGAAAGCCTCATTTTCCCCACGCTCCACGATCGTCAATCTAGCGTTGGTGCCCAACGAAGTGCTTACTTGATGCTACCACCCTCAATTATATCAGGCTCCCAGCCGTATTTTATTGTATAGAATATGCCAACTCAACCCCTCTGTCGCTCAAAGATCGTTGCGGTTGACCAATCGCAACAATTCTTGACCAGCCATCAAGGGTCTTCGCTCACCAGCTATGATGCCTCAATGCCACGACCTGTTCTGTCGCACAGCAGATATTCGTCTTCGATGCATCAGGTACAAGTGGATCATTCCTAACGCGATTCCATAATTTGGTTGCCAACTTTTCTCTATTATCCTATCTTCAAATAAGCGAGACCCTGTCACCGGCAGATCTGAGCTGCGCCGCCCTGTGATGCGACCCTTCCTACACCTGCCGGATTTTTAAAATCCAAACGACAAGATTCTACTGGTAGCATCTCGCCCGCGTCAATAGTGTCCATGTCGTCAACCTGCCAACACTCGTCCAGCACACGATTAGTTAGATGTTCTTCGGACATTTCCTTCCCCGTGGGTTAGACACTTGGCTCAAGAGAAAGGCGTTCCTTGTGACCGACGTTCTCAGGTAGTATCGAAAACATCGATCATCTATCAAGAGTGAGACAAAATCTAACTCCGATGTGCGCTGGCTGTCTCAGGCTAGTTGAGGTGTCCCAACTGGGATTGTTGTAGATAGGAACAGGAAATCATGACAATATTAGGGACGTGGTTGATTCCTCTTTTGGGATACGTCGGGAGTATTACGAGGCGCTATGGTGTGACCTTCTCGTCTCTTACAACTCCTAACATTCTCGTGATGGACACTCATGGTACATCATGATAATGTATTGTCTCGTTGTCCCTGTCTCACTAGGTAGCTACCTCGATAATCAGCAACCGAATTGGGCGTATCGACCATTATTTCATGTGACAGTAGAAGTAGTCGGCTGTCCAAAAGGAGATGTTCTACTAGGGAGTAAGGCAAACCTCCAAATAACAATTACTTACTACGTCTGGAAGCGACTAATATATATACCTAGGGGATTAAAGGTTAGCGACACACATCGATATCATGTCTTAATTGACGCCAAACTACATAGAGCTAAGCCTATGCATTTACGCAGTGATCGCGTTGATTCTATGAGCGCACCCTCAGAAAGAGGAATATCCAATGGAACGTACGAGGTTGCTACAGGAGACAGCAACCCCTTAATGACTCTGTGTTAACAAAACACATTCATCACGTAGTTACAACGAATCAGGGGAATACATGAGTTTGGTATAAGGTTGAGAAGTTGACACGCGTACCTAGTACCTTAAATTCATCTCTAAGGAACAATTGCCATTCTCCAAAGGATATCAGCTACGTGTGAACATTTGAAGGGGTCCTTATACGGTCATAAGATCCTCTACCCCTTCGGAATCGCGTGATAGTGTTACGTATTCCACTGTCATGTTCTTTTCTAGGAGCATGATCTTTAGGCATGATACATAGATTATTGGTGTTGAATGTCTCTCATACTTACTGTTAGGGGGCCGATAGAGAAGAAGTGTAACAGCGCTTTCGCTGTATGAAGTGTAACCCTTCCGGCCGAATATCTCAGAGGATGAAGGCCTTAAGGGATATCAGAGAAAATGTAGGCTCTAATGGCTATACAATTACTACCTGCCTAGCAGGTAACTGCCGTACAACGAATCTATCTGCTACCATCACTCACTCTGTGACACACTCCCCAACCATGGGCTCAATCCTTGACACAATGATAGTATTTTCATCATATTGCTAACGGCGAACCTTTGCTACGTCATCAGACACTGAATATCGATGTGGTTCAAAGCTTTCGCCGTTCCCCATGCATCGTATACCTCACAACTTAGAAGATATGAGCTATGTCAACCTTGAACTCTTTCTTGATTTGATATTCTGGCAAAGTTATTCTTTCTAAGCGAAGAGGCTATACACATCTCGAACAGCCCATTAAGCCTTGTTACTGTCGGTGGTGAGTTGCCTCATACGAACCAACACACCGTTTCAGCCTCCCTGGGTAGGGTTTGTTGAGACTTGCGCCGACGGCGGATCCACCGACCCATCGGAGGTATTCCACATGGGCTCAGTTCACGGATACGGCGTACAGCGTACTAATAGACGGGGAACCATGACGTAAATAATCATGTAACAGCCGTGTAAATAATAGAAGAGGGCCCTTGTTGTGCCAATTGCCAGAGGCTATGAGCTCTTGGCAACAATACCAAGATGATCAGCGGCGGCACAGCAATAGTAGCGCTGAATCATGACAAGGTCAATTGGCTGTACCTGGGATAAGGATTTCTGTTGATGAGAGATCGTCATTTGATTTCAATTAAAAATAGTCAAAGATGTTCAGGCATCCGTTGAGGAAAATCTTTATAATCACGATGTAGCCTCCCGTTGTGTTGGTCGTGGCGTCAACACTGACGAATTCATTTCCATTTCCGCGGTTTTTTTTATTTTCATAATATTCTGTAACATTTTTCTATCACATATCATAAAAGTTAAGATAATATCGAAGATGAAATCTTGGATCTCCGGTCTTTCGTTGGCGGCGCTGCTACCGTTCGCAGCGGCCGACTGCGACAAGTTCGATTTTACGGGCCAATATGGCAGCGACGGCTTCACCACAACGTACAACAAAACCCTACGAGTTTCCGGTTTCACGAATTGCACGGCAGAGATCGCAGGCCAGGATACTAGAAATGGCACGTGCCTACTTAGCAATCCCGGCATCGGTAGTATGTACTCACCGCCTCGTCTCGTCGCCACAATCAACTTACTAACAGAACTCCAGTCGGCCTAGAAGTATACCCAGAGGTCCGCTTTATCCAAGTCGACGCCAAAGCGCAAAGGGAGGTCCTAGCGCTCGTGCAGGAAAAGATGAGCGCCGTCGCAGCCGCCACGACGAACTTCAACTCCACAATCGTCATGAACTACACGTCGATTCTCAGGTCGACAGCGGTTGGAAACACTGGTTACGGCGGGTTCACACCGTACATTAGATGTTTCGACGGCGTGCTCTCCGACTGCGACAAAGACGATAATCTCGAGGGCAAGGCGATCCGTGCCTGTGGTCTTACGTGGCTGGACAGGAATCAGGGCTTCAAGAGCCTAGGCTCGCAGGCGTACGATGGCGAGGAGAACTTCGTTAGCTATTCCGATGGCAACGGGACTGAGAACATGGGCGCGCTGCCGTTGTATGACAGTGTTTCCGGCCATGCCACCAACTACCAAGGCGACGACGAAGACGACCATGGAAACTCGGCAACGAAGACCGCGGTTGGAAGTGCGGCTTTGGTGGTTGCGCTGCTCAGTGCTGTTTATGAGATTATGTGAGCTGTAGCTCTAAGTTAGGCGACTCTTCAATTCGTATATAGATTTAATAGACGACGAGTTCGCCGAGAGAGGGGAAAATCGAGGCTCTCCGCACACTTCCCCCGCGTTTTCCAAGCGAATATTCATTATACCCTCGTTTGTCGGTAGCGAGTAAGATGGCGAACCACGGGTAACTAGTCCATTTTACTCCACTATAACCCGTCTCCAAGGCCGATATGCGGAGCTTCCATGTAGAAGACTTCAATAATGTTCTAATGACACCAATAGGAAACTAGTTTCCGACCGGCAACTGACGGTCTCGTCGGGTTGACCGCGATCGAGCCGACCACGCGCTTCTTGCTAGCACTTTCTCCGCATTACACCAATTAATCTGACCAGATGCGGCTCATGTGATTAGGTGGATATTGACGAGTTGGAGTTGGAGATCGCGGGGATATAATATATAACGAGGAATAGAATAGGAGTCGTGAATGTTCTGTTCTGCAGATTGAGCTGTGTTAAGATATCCAAAAAGGGGAAATAGGAAAAAAGGAGACACGTTACAGAATATCACCAACACCGCAGATATGTCAACCAAGAAACCAGTCATCCTCCACATCGGAGACCCTATTAAGCACAACCCGGAGGTATACGAGCGCTTCGCATCAGAGTTCACAGTGATCCGGCCAGAAGCAGAGGAGCGTCAAAGAGAACCGTTCCTACAAGCGCTTCGAGACCGGAAATGGGGAGACTTCGACGCTGTGTTCCGGCCGTTTTGGAACACAGGAGGCGAAATGGGCCGTTGGGATAAGGAACTAATCCCCCTCCTCCCAAAGTCGATGAAGATATACGCGAGCGCCGGCGCCGGGTACGACTGGGCTGATGTAGATATCCTAGCCGAGCACGGTAAGCCCCTTTCCCCTATACCTATCCTTCATCTTTAACTCCCAGCACAAATGAAGGATAACCAGAGCTAAACATCCCCCAGGAATCCTCTACTGCAACGGCGCCCGCGCCTCCTCCGAGGCCGTAGCCGACATGGCCATCTTCCACATCCTCAGCGTATTCCGGAACCTCGCATGGTCACAACTCGCCGCACGCTCCGGCGACCCAGCGCAATGGACCGAAGCGCATAAACACGCAACCGCTACCTCCCACAACCCGCAAAACCACATTCTCGGTATCATCGGGCTAGGAAACATCGGCACCGTGATAGCGCGCAAAGCCTTCGCCTGCTTCGGCATGAAAATCCACTATTTCGACGTCGAGCGCAAGACCGCCTCACACGAAGCCGAGGCCGGCAACGCGGTTTTCGAAGCTACGCTGGATGACCTGCTCGGCGTATCCGACTGCGTAGTCCTAGCCACCCCCTTCGGCGGTTCCGTTCTAATCGACAGCGCGCGCCTAACGAAATTCAAACACGGGTCGCGGTTTGTGAATATCGCGCGAGGCACACTAGTAGACGAAGACGCGTTAGTCGCGGCGTTGAAGTCAGGACAGCTGCACGCGGCGGGCTTGGACGTGTTTGCGAACGAGCCGCGCGTGCACCCGGAGCTGTGTAAGATGAATAATGTGACGCTGACGTGCCATAATGCGGGCGGGGCGATCGAGACGAATTTCGGGTTCGAGAGGTTGGCGATGGAGAATATTGAGGCGTTCTTGTTGCAGGGGAAGGCGTTGACGCCGGTTAATGCGCACTTGATTAAGGGTTAGGGCGGTTTATAGGAGATAGCTATGGATAGTAGTTGTATGAATAAGATCATAATATTAGGATTATCGTGTCCATGAGATTTAACATCTGTTCCTTTCTCTTTCGCATTCTTCGTGTCTCATTCTATACCAACTTATCCAATGTCTAAAATCCTAGAATCGTATATCAATACCTATTCTGTGTACTTATCCTCATGAGATCCTGAAATATTTTGTATCTGATCTGAGGCGCGTAGATAGGTTCCAAGAGTATCGTTACCGGAGATTGGATTGGAGAAGTCCGTACGGAAGTCCTCTCCGCCCTATTCGCTCCATGCATACTCCAACATAGTTGGAGATCTCTTAAGCCACTGGCTTTCCACTTCTCCACAGGAGTATGGATTTCAGTTAGCTAGCACGATATAGGAATAAGCGATCCGATCGGCTACGCTAAGAGGTCGCTCGGGGCGAATAGAAGAACGCCAGGAAATATCCACAAAGAAATCATAGGTGTAAGTGGCGTAAAATATCAATATCGGTAGCATGATGGACATAAAATAGAGACGATAAATACTATCATCTGCAAGCCCCCAAGACGCTGTGGGCATAACCACTAGCCTACCTCACATCTCCTCAAATAGAGGCATTGAGCCCCGTAATAGCTTTCAGCGCACCTTCTCTGACCCTCCTCGTGATTTCCGCAGCCGGAAGCTCTTCTCTGACCAGACCAACGCCCGTTCCACTAGCAGAAGTCAGCAACAATTCTCCCTCTCTCACACATTCCAGAAGAAAGAGGAATGTGATGCAAGCAAAGAAACCACTTACGACCAAGTAACCATCCGAGATAAATCGCCGCCCTCTCTAGCAGCCTCAAACCTCTTCGTATTCTCATCAAGCGACACCCCAGCCGCATGGTCCTGATACGTAGGCGTTATGATAGCGCGACCATCGTATAAATCGGGCCAGTTCTTGTTTCCCTGGATATGATCGTGGAGTTGCGATCTAACCATTAGCTCATTCTTCCCATACCCTCACGCGAAAATCGCAGCAGGAAACAATATAAAAAGGCCCAGAACAAACTTACTTAACCGTCCTACTCCCCCCATCACTCGTACCCAAAAGCGCCTCCCTCTTATAATCCTGGGCATCCGATTCCGTAGCAACGATATACTAAACACCACCACCCACACTAAATCAGCAAATCATCTTTCACACAAACCCACACTCACAGTTAGTAGTCAACAGCAAGAAAACTCACCCGTGTCCCCAAAACCCCCCCTTCAGCCCCCAACACCAACCCAGCCGCAACCCCCCTCCCATCCGCGATCCCACCAGCCGCCCAAACCGCAACTCCTTTATCCGGGAACTCAGTATCCAACATATCCCTCACCTCCGGCACCAAACTAACCACACTCGCCCCACTAGCCCACTGATGCCCCCCCGCATCCGTTCCCTGCGCAACGACAATATCCGCGCCGTGGGAAACCGCCTCTCTAGCCGCGGCCACGGAACCGATTTGGACAGCGATCTTTGGGGAATACGCGGCTTCTGATTTCAGTGCGTCGATGAGAGTGGGTAGGGTATCGGGGGCGTCTGGGGAGGGGGCGAAGAGCCATATGGCGGCGGGTTTGTGTTTCTTTAAGATCGGGATTGTGGTTTCGGCGAAGTGCTGCTTTGCTGTTGCGGAGAAGGTGACGAAGCCTACGCCGATGGGTAAGGGGTCGTTGTCGTCGTTGTTAGGACCTTCACCCTGGCTCTTTGCGGTGAGGAGTGAGCGGGCTTGTGTGAGTTGGTCTTCGAGGCGTTTGAGTTGCGCGGAGGCTGGGGCGAAGTCTCGGCCGCCTTGGATGAAGCCTGGGAGGGTGTTAGTGGAGGATGGTACCTAGGTAGGAGTTGTGCCTAAGATGCGTTGAGGTAAGTGGTAGAGTAGAAAGCGACTAACCTAACCCCCCGGCCTTGGTCACCTCCGTAGCCAATCTGGGGTTCGTAACGCCCTCCATCGGCGCGCTGATTACGAGTGGGTACTCCGTACCCGGAAACCACGACTTCATCCGCGAGCTAGCCATTGTCGCTAGTCTTCTGCGTGCGATATTCATCGGTATACTTAACCAGGGTAAGAAAACAAGTTTAAGAGGATTGATGAACGACTTCTTATAGTCAACTTCCTAAGACCATTTCTTCTTTATTGTTCACCTGGACCAATAGATTTCAACAAAATTACCGAGGTATAGAAAAAAGCTTGAGTCACCCTCCAACCGCTTACGATGGTGACCCGTATTCCACGGAGTAGTCTATCAAGAGTGAATTCACCACTGACAACCTCTCCGTAAGACGCAATTCCGGCAATGATGTGCGAAACAGCGTGTCACGAAAAGCTCGGTAAACATTGAAACTCCTCAATCAACCGATATTTCCAATAGACATTTACTTGCAAACTCGAAGGTGCGAAAGGAGCATCTCCTCGGACCTTGGTAACGTTTAGTTGACTTCTTTTCCCCACACATTTAATCCGGACATAGGGACGGCTATGCACGGTACGGCACCAGATCCACGGATCAAGAGCGCGGGAACCCCTTTTTCAACCAGATTGATCGCGGCTGCAGTAGCGTAGTCACATTGGTAGTTACTAAATGTAATAGAAATGCGAATATCAATAAACCGTTATATTTTGGTTGATTTCGGTATGCAAGGGAAAGGCGCGACTAATTCGAGGAACTAACAAGAATGAAGGACACATTTATTGGTCCGTTGGCATGTTCACGTCACATGTTGCGCAGCCAAATCTCCAAATCCCCGCAAAATAATTTCTCCGACAACCAAGAATGAGCCAATCAGATATCACGATGAGCATCTCTTTCTCCTCACCAAGGAACTACCCCATTTCAATTCCCCGCATTAAGCGCAAAGAATTTGGAGATCCAGGGTCCAGGTGACATCATCCCGACATATCACGTCAAAGTTGACATTGGAAATATTAAGCACAACACATTCAAAGAGACACCTTGATTGCTTCAGAATTTCTTTTTTTTCATTTGGTTTCTGGGACATTTCCATTGATGGAAGTCCCACTATCTACATGAATGCAGAGAGAATTAGCTATTCATAGTTATTCGTCTCTACGCAAGTTCGGCAACTAGATCTAGGCTCCCTCCAGCCTTCTAGTCCTACACCTGCCAATTGTTTTCTCCCATATGCTCAGCCGAAATCCATGGTCGCGGGGGACATATCACCACCCTGTACAAGCAATCGGCCCTCGATGCTGCAAGACGCCTCCACCTTCAATTACGTAACGCCGGGTATGATGCAATTGTGTCGAGGAAAAAATGAAGAACAATCCTTGTGTCCGTGAGGTGTCGAGTTCATATCGACTGTATGCCGCCTCCAAACGCCAATGCCAATGCAAATGTTTTGAGAATAAGAAAATGTGGCGGTGGTGCAAATATCCTAGAGTGCTAGGATTTGTGATGAATAAAAGTAGGGAAAACTAGTATGTGTGACCCGTCGGTGATCGATGGTTGGGTGGGTATGCCGGAAGAAACTCCGGGACAATGCCTGAACGTAGATCGTTCCGTCGACCAAGAGGCTGATAATGCATCTGGTTCGATCCGAGATGGTATTGAGAAAGAGGTATAGACGGAGGTGGATTAAGTAGATGGTTGACACGGCGGACCGGTTTGTAAGGACTCGCTCGCTGTTGTAGATAGACCAGTGGTGAGTTAGAAATGGGGGTATGGGTCCCATACGCCTCAGCGAGTGGGGATGAGCCGAAATGAGCTAGGCCCGTAGGACTATGTCGCTTGGTCGGCGTGCCGTAGCTAGGTGGTAATACGTAGGACGGCGTCTGCGGTCCGCAAGTAGCGACCATCGAACCTTGAGGTGCCCAACTGGTAGTAGCGGTAGGGTATACGGTCGACATCGCCCTCATACCTGATCCGATCGGAGGTAGCGACACTGCCGGCTGAGGGTAGTGAGACGAGGGAGGATACGTAAGCGGGGTAACCGCTTGGCTAGTATCAAGTGTAAGGTGTGGCACGGGTAGACGAACCCCTTCGGCGCCTCCGTGAATCGGTCGAGTCGAGGGCATCATCGCAGCAGGAGGCTGGCGGGTAACTCTCTTCGGAGCATGTTCGAACGTATCGGGACTCTCCAAGCTTCTCTTGCGCACCATGGGGTGACCAAGACTCGGCTTAGATGCGAGAGGAGAGACCGACGGGGCATGATGGTAACCATTCCACGCCTGGTTCTGGATAGCCGGGTTGGGAGAGTAGGCTGCTGCAAGCGATAATTGCGCTCCTGGTCCGGTCGAAGGCAGGATACAAGTGGGCGATGGCAATGGGGAGGTATATCTTCCATGGTTCGGGGATGGCACAGTCATAGGCATGGGAGGCGGAATATTCCGACGTTGCTCGTCAATCTTTGCCCTTTCGTAATACTCGTGAAAACAGGCAAGCTTTTGCAGCCACTCCTCCCATTCTTCCTTAGACGTCAGGAGACCGTATCGCATGTTACTCAAAAATTCGACCTCCATAATGTGTATCTCTTTCACCGAAATCGAGGAAACCTCAGCCCAGGTGTTGTTCGTGTAGGTATTATCGTCCAGGACTGCGATTATTGTTAGCAAGGCCCGGCGCTAGGTAATGGATTAGAGATGCGAGAGACTTACATTTGTTGCCCAACATGAGGGCGACAGTTAAAAGTCGGTATTCACTACCCGGACTCCCGTTCACCTTCGGGTTGACCTTCTTCAGCCGGTAAACAAACAACAGCGCCAATAAGATGACGTTCTGCGTAACCTGAGTCGTGGATAGAATCTTATTCACCCACTGCTTGTACGCAGGGCACGGTTCGGTATACTGGGACAACGGCGGGATCGGGTCGGCGGGCGAACGCTGCTTGATCTGCTCCGCAGCGGTGATAGTGTCCATGGTCTCAAACCAGAAAAAGCATGTCATCTAAGCATACGTTAGCTACAGCTTACAACCACATAGTACAGATATAAACTTACCAATGCGGCAAAATCATCCAAGTTCCCTCCATTCGGGCTAATGCACGAAGGAAGTTGCATGCAGTGCGTAACCATGGCCGAATCTCTCCTAGAGACTGTGCCTTCGGAACGCACGCTCAAGGAGCCCGTGGAACCAGGCGTCGTCGATCTAGTCGAGTGTTGCGAGGATTGCGAACCAGGGTATACTGGCTGAGATGTCACTGCTTGGGATACGGCTGGCTGAACGAGCTGCGGGGGTTGTTGATATTGCGGTTGCTGAAGTGTATGTGTTGTAGAATAAGAATTGGCCATAGTGCCAGGATACACTCCTCCAGTTCGGCCGGTCTGCATTAGAGCGTTCGGTTGTCTCGCGAGAGCGACATGGCTGTTGTACGTGTTGGATAACACGGGGTTGTGGAAAGTTGCGCTCATGGTATTTTCGGTGGGCGGCGTTCGGAGACCACCCTTGTAGAGGTGAGTTCCGTGGACGAGGTGATCCTGCAATTTGTCTAAACTCGAATTTTGGCGCAGAGGATAAGAATTGGTAAAAGTGGTATGTGTTGGAGAAGGGAGGTGCGGGCGAAAGTTCGAGGGTAAGGCGACTGAAGACATGTGGGATGAATTTGGTAGGGTCGCCTTGAGGAAAAGGTGGAGGTGGAAAAAGTGGTAAAGTAATAAAATGGAGTGTCTGGTCGAGACTGTAGTGAGGGTGGTGAGGTAGTTTAGCAATGTATTGTAGCGTATCGTGGGTGGATCGTAAGTGTATTCGTATCGAAATCGTATCGTATCGGAAAAAAGTGTACCTGGTAAGGTGACGAGGACAACGGCAATTTCGATGACGGTACGTTAAAACGTTCTTGACTACACTATTATATCCGCCTTCTAGGTCTTCCTCTTTTAATTCGTTGTTCGAAGGGTGAATTCTTCTGATCGAGGATATTGGTACAGGTGGTGGATGATTATATGAAGATGGTTACGGGTCATCTCTGATGAGCCATGTTCGAATAAGAAAGGATATTCTAGGAAGGAACGACGCAAACCGTATGAAAGAGTTTGTTCGTTCCTGATTCCAGAATATCCAGGTGGTGGTAGTGGTTGTTGTGGGTTGCCGTGGACAGGTGAGGTGGATGATCCAGTATTATCCCAAGGTTGTCAAGCGTGGTCAAATATGTTGTCAGAGACGATATACCCAGAACCTCAACTTGAAAACCGTCAAGGTGTTGCTGCTTCTGCTGCTGCTGCTGTACCGCGGTTGCACAGGGAGACCAGACAACTTATTAGAGATTTGAACAGGTTACCAATTTAGCTTCTCCGTCTGTATGCCACCTTTCCCGGGTTTGTTTCTCGTCGTCTTCTCTTTCTGCTTCCTACTCTTTACAGATCCGGACTTCTTTTCTATATTCACGCTCGGCAAGGAAAGTTGGAAAGTTCTCTTAACGATCTCCTGGTGTAGATGGGACCATGAACAGGATTCAATTGAAAGTTGGGGTATCATGAAAGTAATAAGTAATATACAGACAAATAGTAAAGTCACGAATGTTCCAGGTGAGGCAGGGTACGGATTAGATATTATGAATGAAATTTTTTGAATGAATGACTGAATGAAGGAAGGGCTTGTTTGTATGTACAACCGACTTACACGACGATGCTGGAGTATGCAGTGATTACCTCAGGTACAGCGGTAGTAGTTAGTGTCATGTAGGAGGTCAAGGTAGCCGGATTGAGACTGGGCTGGATCGGATTGGATTGGCTGGATTGTTATGGTTGCTCATCGAACCGATGATTGGCGTGTTCCATAGACCTTGGCCGGGTACCGTAGTACGTACATACGGTACGGTACCTGCAACCTGATACCTCAATACCTGAATACCTGATACCTGATACCTACTACCTACCTAGGTATGGGCATGGTACCTCAGCAACCATGACAATCATGACAACCTTGTGAGTGTGTGAGTGGCCAAGCTGACCGTGGATAGTGGACAATTTGGGACCGTGGACCGCAGCCCATTGGCCCGTGGGTCCGTGGATACGGCTCGAAATATTCAAGGGCCAAGCCTTATTAGGTCGTTTATCGTTTAAAGTGGTAATGTATGAATGTGAGCAAGTGAGTGACTAGGGGGGAGGGGGCATAGGAGGAGAAGAAAAAAGAGGGAGAAGGGATAATGGCAGGCGTGGGTGCGTGCGTATGTTGCGTATGTTGCGTATGTATTGTCGTAAAGGGAAAACTGTGGACTGTGGGTTCCAGGTTATAATCTGAAATGTTTTAGTGGTTGTGAGTGGTCGAAATCGGTTGTATGGTAGTATGGATTGTATGGGTTGTATGGATTGTGTGTGTGTGTCCAGTGTATGAGCGTGTAAGTGCTGCTGGTGCCGGTTGCTGTAAGTGGTAAGTAGCAAATGTGGGCTAAAAGGTTTTGGAATTGGAACAAGGCTTTGAACTTGAACCCCTGCCTCGTCAAGAACGGAGAAGGAGCGCAGCAATCATCAGCAACAGCAAAAGCAGTCACGACTAGGTTTCCCGTACTAGGGGGGTGTTTGAAAACGTTAATTTCCTTGCGTAGCTAGAAGGTACGTTAGCCTTGCTAGTTTTTCCCTAGTCGGTAATTGTACCGTCTAACTTTCTCATTTTGTATGTAGGGGGTGCGTTTAACCTTACATATCCATCCATTATATTCATAGCAGCATGTACATAGTAGTAATAATAACGTCGGGCAATTGGCTAGGAAGGTAAGGAACCTAGAACAATGAGATATCCATCGTCAGCAAGCCAGCAAGCCCCTTCCTTGCTCAGGCTGCTCAGACTGCTTAGACTGCAATATGCACTATTATCCATTATCTGGTGGATTAATACATAGTGCAAATTATGTAGGAAGGTACAGTGGGTATGTGCACTGTACTTCCTTACACTTTTAGGCCTGTCATAATTCGGCGCACTGGGATAAATATTATGAGTGCGACGGTGAGAGTGGATTCGGATTAAGTATGTGGAATGGTACTCATAGAATCCCCACCTTTGAAGACGCTCATACTCCTTACAGCAATATATTTGATTATTGGGGTTGGCGCCCGTATGACAGCAGCAGCAGCAGCGGAAGCCTTCAGTTTAGTAACACACATCATGGATATGTACGGCCTCATCTTTGACTGGTGCGTCAGTTGTGTTAGTACTTAGTATTTCGAGATGTGACGATACTAAATGCGAACATTCAATGAATCCGGGCGGCAAAATGTCAACGCCTCCTTGAATCCCTTAATCATTGAACTCATTTCGCAATCTAGTAACTTTTTCTTTTTACTATTAATTATTACCTTGTTTCCTTGGGTTGCTTGGGTTGGAGACAAGGCAGGAGGTGGAAGGTCAAAAGTACACTAGAAGGATGACCGACCGAAACGGAACCTCACTACCTAAATTTTGAATATTTTCTAGGATGAATTCGGAAAACGTAATAAAGGGGGCTGAGGGGAAAAAAGACGAAGGGGGTGCGATGGGCGTGGATGGAGAAATTCAATTAAGATAGGCACTGATGGCGTTAGCGATAAAAACGATAAAAAAGTCTTAAAGGGAAAACCACAAAGTGGGGGAGAGAAGTGGATCTCCATTATTCAAACACCCTTTCAATACTTATCTCCACACTCCTTGTCCTCGTATCCAATCAATTCTCTCGCTTAAAGCAAGTTTAGTTCGGGATTTCGACGATTTGGTCTTCATATGTCTGGTCACTTTGGCAGTTTGGTAGATGATACAGTACATCATCATCATACACCTCCGCTGAGACGCCGGCGGAATCCCTCACACATCACCGTCAGTCCATTGCATTTCGATATCCCGTGTTCCCCCCCTACTTTTGTCTTTTGTCGTCACATATGGATATCTACCTAAGGAAGTACCTGGCTAGCTGTGTCATGCCGTGGCATTTACGAGCTTGCTGGGACCTCGGGAACCTTGGAAGGTTGGAAGGTTATGTGTAAGACTTCATTACGGCTGAGTTGATCATTCCGGAGATTCCCTATGTCCACATTTACAACTCGGTCATACACGGCTACGGCTACGGCTACAGAACACGTGTGACACATGATGGGACCGCTGTCACAAGTACCCCTTTTATCTTGTTACCTGAATCTATTTGTATGGGCGTGCTATGGTTGGAGGTTGCATACGTAGGTGATACCGCGTACAATGCGCATATAATACTATATTGCCTACCTATCTATGTAATAACCCCCTTAGGAATATGACTATTCTGCTAGTACTTGAGCTATGTACAGCGTATTCGAGATCGATCATCAATCAAGATCCAAGCCGCCGCGCATTGGTCGCAGAGAAGTCTAGTCAGTTGCTCGTGTGAAACTTATATCTAATATATTTAGAAATATCGTTAATTATTTACACTGTGTTGAACACAACGCCCAATCAATTCCAACACACTATGATGTATACATAATAGTTATATATAATATAATACTTTCACCCGTCTTAAATAAAGATAAGTATGCATATCAGTGTGTTTGGTATGTAAATTATTATGATATTATCAACGTTAACCATGTATAAGTTTCATACTTCCTAGTATCCTAGTAGATTGCCGGCGGGATACGTTTGGAAGAAATGCTAGCAAATCTTGTGTCCCTCATGACCACCATGTACGAAAGTAATAGGTATTAAGACTGAAATCGTCAAACAGATCTACACCTAAAATAGGCACATAGGTTTGCCCCCGTACGATATACGGCATGTCCTTTTTGAAGGTCAGGTGTCTGGCGTCTGTCAAAGGATAGTATGGACAATCTCCACCTAAAACGAAGCGCGGAATGAAACAGATCTTCTCATATTCCGGTGGGAGGGGGGGTTTGTCAAAGACTTGCCATGTACCTAAAACAAGCGTTGAAGCCGCGCTGTCTTGAAAATTTGTTTCTTTGCGCACAGCGTATTATGTGCCACCGCAACCTAATACATGGACTCATTACATGGACTCATGGATCGCATACTTAGGATGGTGGACCAACTTTGCAAACAAGCCCGATAATAGCTCTTTTTTCTTCTCTCGATGTTGTGTCTAACGAACGGCGGAGGACTCCGTTCTTAAAATTTGTCCGAGAGCTAAAGCAGCGCCCGCCGATGTAACTTGGGGCTTCTCTGCTCGGTTGAGGGACAATATGGAATACGCAACTTTCTTCAAACAGGACCCGTTAGGCTGGAAACGGGCATCTCTTAATGCGTCCGGGGTCAAAGAGAGAGAAAGGGAAAAGAGGCATCTTGGGGTGGTACCGGCGTCTTGGGAATGCCAAGTAAAAGGAACCCTAATGGAAGCACACATACTATAGTATGATAGAATACAGCCTAGAGACTCCTACTACCACTGGACGGGATAGGCTTTGTTTCACTAAAGACACGCCCGCGTCCACGGACGGCTTTCGCCTACTCCAGCCTGCATTTTCGAACAGATCCCTTCGACTTTCGGGGTCTTTGGGGCTTGAGAAGGGCGAGTTGGAATTCTGCATTTTGGAAACGAAGTGCATCCGATAATAATGTGGATGCCGCGTCGTCCCCAGCACCATGCAGAATTCCAGTTAGAATCCGATAAAAAAAAAAATCAACCTAGCAACCTCCAGGCAGCCTAGCAGCATAGCAACATACCCAGTTACCGCCGCCGCCTACCAGCCTACGAGATGAGCGAATGAGTTTGTTGCAAAGTTGGTAAAGTGGATAACTGGATAACTGCGCCTAGCCGCACGGGGGTTGTCATTTCGAACTTCGAATGTTCAGCTACTGCTAAGTGCTACTATTAGGTATGTAGTAATTGATTTACTAGGTACCTAGTAAATAGCAAAACGACCGCGGCGAATGGAGAAAGACATGCAGAGTAGGAGGAAGGTTGAGTACCACGTAATGCTTACGGCCTTTCTTAGCGTTGTCAGGCCTAAAACCCGGACCGTCCTGGCTTTGATGGGT